CAATCAATCAATATCTAATATATTGTAACTTAAAATTCGCAGGTCCTGCTACTATTTATAAATCTCGAATAATTCTTAAATGGTATTTAATTAGCAGTAAAATAAGAAAATTTCATGTGCTAGAAAATACGTGATTGTCAAATTTAGATATATGTACATTACAGTGAACGGTAGTCACCAACCGTTTTACGAATATTTTAGCAGATTATTCTGACAGCCCAGGGAGAGTATTAATCAGAATTGGAGAAATTAATCTAAGTTTTCTTAATTTTATTTATAATAATTAATTGCATTTCACGGTTATAAAGAGCTTCTGTAATTTCAGTTTCATCAGCTATAGACAACCAACAACAAGACTGCTTTAAGATTCAATGAACTCCAAATTCAATACAGGTAACATTACTTAACTTAAATGTATTACATATAAATCATAGCTAATTAATTATTTGCAGTTTGCCAAGTAGACAAACTTATATCTTTACGAACGAAGCATTAGATGATCAGATTCTAGATCTAAACTATATTTTTCCAGATCTTTTTATAATTTCAATTCTGCAGTGATCCTGTCTCTGCTTAGAATAATAATTCTTCTAAAGATTATTTTACAGATTGCCTTATACAGTAGTATGGTAGTTAATACTAATTAAATGCTATTAGTTTAGTCAGTAAAATATCATGATTAGACCGAAGAATTACTAGATAGAATTGATATTTTTCCCAGACAACGTATCGTGCATTTGAATCAGTTTACTTATGTACCTGGGCCGTTATTTCTGTTATAGAAAGTACGGTAGGTTAGAATAATTCTAAGAAATTTGAAATGGTAATGGAATCATCATATCCAAATTAATCATTCATTCATAGCTATTCCCTATGACGTTGAAATAATACCGCTATAGCTAAATATTTTATTATTTTTAATAATTAATTATCGTCTAGATGAAAGCTATTTCACTTGAATTAGGTGTATCATCAGGAACAGCAAAATGAAATCAATTAAATCTAATTCAAGCAGAATTATTCCTGTACTAATTTAACAGTAAATTAAATTTACACTTCTGGAATTAAATATGGAAAACAGATGGTTAGAGTTTAATTAATTATCAAACTCTTAAACTTAATGTTAGAAGTTATATATTATCTGCTAGCAAACCTACATACAAACAGGAATAATTAATAGAAGCAATTCAGAGAATACCGTATTTCAATTACTTTAAGGATAAAAGGTTGTTATGAAGATGAATTGCTAAAATTATAGCATCTTAAGAGCTTAAATATTCTGTAATACAAGTAGGTGGCCCTCTCACTACACTCAGATCAGTGTTCTTAATCTAGTTTCTTTACTTGTATGATGTACAGTATTTAGCACTTTTACTGCATAATTACAATACGTAATTATACGCTCAATTCAGAAATGCTTTAAAATTTGAATTGCTTGATCGTAAAGATACGTCCTTATTATCATGGAAAGTATCTTTAACGAACCTTCATATAAGAACCTAAATTTTTTTAAACCATTATGGTACTACACAGTGTACAGTATTAACTTTGACTACCAACCAAAAAGTTGGACGGTATTATTTTAGATATAGATATTAACTTTCCAGTACAAATTCATGACTAGATATTAGCATAATTTATAATAGTATCTGCTTGTATGCTTTGGCAGTCAGTGATCTTTTATAACCAGATTACGATGGAATAGAACCTTGAGAATGGGTGCACTATTATTTGTGATCAAGGACTGCTAATTAATCCAGAAATAAATTTGATATACTGAATAAGGATTTCATATCAGTAAATTATTAGTTATATCTACTCATAATATGGCGAATAAGCTCGATACCTTAACAATCAAAGAGGAAAGCAGGTAAAATAATATTTAAATTATGCAGCAAGGTATTGAACGCTAGGACTCGTCAAGCCTATCATTTATTAATAATTATGATTATGATCAGAGTTATTTATGACTATACTTGAAATTACCTGGATCCTTCTGAGCTCCTTTATTGGCATAAAGATCTATTTGAGGTGGCATTTTCGTGAAAGTTGAATAATTATAACGTAATATAAAAATAATTTTAAATCAAGCATAAGCAGAGGACCTTTTCATGTAAATCGCCACTTGTCAATATGATACATACACAAATATCTTTGTAAGATATTATAATGGTAGCGTAATTTTTTCCACAGACTAATTGATTTGAGAAGAGAACCTTTATCGCTATAATTTATAAATGACTTAGAATATATTTACGGTCTAATGGCTGTAAACAGTCTGAATTTAATTCTGAAGTATAGTATTATTAGAATTAAGGGGTTTATTTATACGTGTCACTGAAAATTTTAAGTATGTGAGTATAATCTAAATCCATAATAATCATATAAGTGGTGTTATTTTACTTTATGTCGGACAGATAATCTACTACAGCAGCGATGATTTAAAATTCTAGTCTAAATTCAATAAACTTCCCAAACCAGTATTGGCTCCTCTAGCTATATTTAATAACTCATCACAGTCGGTCAATAACGCTAAAAAGGAAAATATAAATATCTCCTCTTGATATATCCCTAATCATAATTCTACAATCTATCCTAGCTTACCTGCAGGAATACCTATCGTTATAGGAGCATAAATTGATATAATGATAGCCTATTCATGAATTAGAATAATATTAATCGTGTAAAGCATTACGAGACTAAGATTCAAGTCAGATGATAAGGTTAAAATCCATATGTAATATGATGGGCCTATAGTTGGTTTTAAAAATAATTACAATCTGCGTATAATAATTATAATTAACAAAACTACAGCAGCTTACGATTATAAGAATATAAAGTTGAAAATCAAATGCCATTTAGTTGTTACTTTCGAAATGTAGAGCATAAAACGGTCTATGTAGGAAGCAATGATGCAATGTCACGAAATACAACTAACGAGAAAAATTCGAAATTAAATTTGATGATTTGCAAAGAGTTAATTATTTTCATTTCCTGAGCCTAGGGAACAATATTTAATAATTAATGAATTACAGTAGCTGAATACGGCAAGAAAAGTGCGAAATTTAATACTCTTCAAACTATACACCTTACATTATTCATCTTATTTTATCACATTCTATCTATATATAATATTCCAGAGATGGCAGATGTTAAAGTAATTTAGAGCAATATAGCACGTACGAGTATGATATAAATATTACTGTACAATACAGATAATTATACGAATTAAATTGATCAGACTATTTAGTAGCTCTATTAATTCATCTAATAAGCAGTATGGGCTTGTACTTATCCCCCTCATACTTCGGTAATTAATTATTATTGCGAGTTTCAGAAAAAACTTTATCCACATGCATGTTCACATGTATAGACTTGAATTATAGCAATCTATTGCATTAGAGCCCTTTAAGTAGATGTTTATTCTTATTTTTATTGAGCTTCAGAAAGAAAATTAAGCTTGAATCACGAAATAAAATAGGTATTCCGCGATATTATACCATTAAACTACTTATTATTTAAGCCACTTATTTATAATTTTAGCAAATTGGCAGGTTTAGAAAACCGCTTCTTTTTCCTTTAGATCAAAGCAGGAATCTCTAATATCTTGTAATTATCAAAGTCCGATAAAAACAGCATTGAATACGAGAAAGAAAGCAGGATATGCAGGATATTATCAACAGTATATTTGTTGGGTTCAGATTATAATTATAATTTATGATAGAATATCAACGAAAATGAAAATGAGACTGAATAGATCTTTTTAATTTCAAATATTAGAAATACTTTGGAATACGTAAAATCTAATTTTTTATTTTACTAAATTAGCATTTTAAATTCTATCTTGGGTAGACAGGGTGTCTCCAAAAAATGCAATAAAGTACTCCTAAAATAGTTCTACAGGTATTTTAATGATGCAAGCGTTTCACGAACCCTTTAGTTAGACGATTCTATGTAGAATTGTTAGCGTTACAGAATACATTAAAAACTAATAGTTTTATGCATGTTAATAATACTGAAATTATCTATTTATTATAGTAAGTATTACTTTAGAGAAGAACGTCAAGTGACCGATCTTATTTGTTATAAGATGACTTTAACATTTTTTACCGAATAATCCGTTATGAGTAATATAAATAATAAATGATGAAAGTCACAACAGAGATTGTATTCAGTAAATTTTGGTCTCTTCAATGTAAATAAGTCTTCCTTCAACAGTATAAAAACATATATAATTACTTATTCGATAATAGCTGATTAAAGCTAGTTTTTAATATTAAAAGAAGTTTGAAAAAACTGCAAAGAAATAGGATCGAATTGAATCTGTAACTCTATATATTTAATAATCAGGATAAGGACATAGCGAAATCTTTAATAATTTTCATACTTGCATTCGAAGATAATAAAGCTAGAGCTTAAGATAGATATAACCGTACTGACATTCTCCGAAAAATTATACTCGAAAATATGATAATGGCTGACTTTAGAAGGCATAGTATTTATCATCCTTACCGGGTATTAGGATATTGTTAGCATTAAAAAGGAATTACAATCATGATCTTGGAGCTTAAGGACTATTTAAGCGCCTTAGGAGCGAAAAAAAATAAAATACAAGTATTTTGTAAATTAAAACGATCATTTAATCTGTTATAACCGTCTACTCTGAACAAGAACATAATCCATGGCAACTTAATTAAGTTAACTAAGTTAAATATTCATTTGGTTAAGTAAAGTTTCTTCTATCTAACAACAATTATATTCAAGCGTTTAAAGGCATAAAATGATGCATTACATACATCTACCTTGATCATGGTAGTGAATTGCTACTTCATGGCATGACTTGCAAAATTTCAAATTAGTTATATGTATATTGTTAATATAACAATACCGTGGGTTAATCTTTCGATAGCACTTAATAATTTATTAGCTGAATATTATGGCTGTCGTATCTAAAAAAGGCAGTAATTGTTACTCAATGATTAGTCATTGAGCTGCAAAGCTTATGCCTTTACACTATACAGGGTGCATAGAGAAATATCTGTGGTAAAGATAATCGAAGAGTTGTAGTCAAAATGGGAACAGATTAAATTTCTTGTGCAGTAGAAAGCGCATTGATGGCGCGATATGCCAGACCACGACATGATTGGTTGTAGTATTTTAGTAGTTGGAATACCGACCATTCGATAAGAACTTTGAACTAGAATCATATAGTTAGAGAGTAACGTAGAACATAAAGAAAAAAGAACATAAAATTAGTTTTCAACAATGACCATATTACCCTATATTTCTTGACAAGGTGTCTTAGAATGAATGAAATACTTTACAGATAAAATGCCTAAAGCTATATCTGTCCCTCTCTCTCTTCATTTTATAAACAGTTTATCAAATTGTTAACTACAGATGTTGAATATCTCATTTTAAACGGTTAGATGTCGAAATTTTGCCATCTTATCCAGGTGATTCATTAATTATTCTTAGAATACGAAGATTTGTGCGTCTTAAGTTAGTACTACGCTATGCTGTAGAGTAAATTTCGATAAATAATTGGAAGGGTTGCATCATTACATGGAATACATGCAGATCCTACAATACTTTGCTTTATATGAAGTTAGGACGACTTTTCTAACCGAGTATAAAACGAAAGAATGGGACTTTCCCTGTTACCCATAATCATGTGAATATATTTTAAAATGCTCCGTAGTAACTTTCCATGATTAATAAGGCTATACTATCAAGTAAAGGTAGATCCTAAAGCTATTTGTTCTACATGCAAGCAAAGTCGAAATTCTAATCGGTTATTTGGCCATACAACGATAAAATCAAATTGTAGGACTGCTAGAAAAGATATTTGTTTATCATGAGTTATTACGCTGTGCAATATAACCAATTCTTGATCAGTTATTGACAAGACAGTAACCATAAAGAGACCGACTATTTTTTCAAGTACCTTACGAAGTATCATTCACAACTACATGCCCAATTGGCTAACATCACGGTAGGTCACTGGGAGATGGTCCAAAATTATACTTTGGGATAGATTTAAATAAAAACAATGATCCTGATTATACCTGTAAGGGCTCCTACTTGAATGACTTCTTTTACATAGGAATAATATCGAATTAAAACTTGGCCATAATCGGATGTTGTTGGCACCAGTGTTACTAAATCTGACGAATTAGATCCTAATTCTAATTCCTCAGTCGTCACAGTAGTTGATTCGGATCCGGATGATGTTGATTCCGAAGTAGACAATTCCACAGCAGTTGAACCTGATGTTTCCGATCCAGTTGTAGTCGATTCCGTTGTACCTAATTCTGATGTTGATGCTGATGTAGTTGATTCAGATGTAGCCGATTCTGTTGTAATTGATTCTGATGTGCCAGATAGCGATGTAGTCGATTGTTCCGTACCAAATTCTGATGTTGTCGATTGCACTGTACCTAGTTCCGATGTTGTTGATTCCAATGTCGTCGATCCTCCCGTAGTTGATTCTGATGTTGTGGATTCCAATATCGTCGATCCTTCCGTAGTTGATTCTGATGTTGTCGATTCAAATGTTGTTACTCCGTCTGTAGTGGATGGTATTGTTGCTACTGCAGTTGGTTGTGAAGTGATTGGTGATATTGGTGATGCTTCTGCAATCAGAACAAGCAGAGCAAGAAACTGAGCTCTAGCTAATTTAATGTCAGTATAAGATCACTTCCAAGTATTCTAACACTACAAAATAATTTATTTAGAACCTTTTTCACATAAACGATAAACAGACGAGGTGCATGGGTAGTTAACCCATTTGTAAGTGCCACTAAAAGGTGTAACAACGACACAATCATCAGTGTTAGGGCCAATCAAACCCCAATTAACGTAAGATATTGCCACTGTATCGTTAACCCAGATGAATTGAAATGGACTATTGACGTTGTGTATATCTCGGAGACCAATCCATAAATGCAAATTCAACGGCAAGGTAGCATTTAAGACTTTACTTATGGCCTCTTCGTTAACGATTGCTAAATCACCACCTTTGCCTTGGCAATCTGATCGACTGTCATCATAACCCAAATTGGTGCCATAAAGAGTGAAGGCACGATTTTCATATTGAAAATCGACAGTACAATCTGTTGCAATACATTGAAGTAAAAGCTAATTATTAGTTTATAATTATCAACAGAAAAATTAATGTAAATGAAGCTATTGCAGATAGTTTATTCAACATGAATGTTAAGGTCAATTCCCTCTTCTCAATAGTCTCAATAGCCACAATGGCAACGATTAATTTGATAAATAACAAGCATGAATATCGTTACTTAAGTCGGAAGAGTTGAATTCAAAACTATTCATTAATTTGATCATGATTAGAAAGGTCTCATTAAATATCATTAAGCATAAATAGAAATTTCCGTCTTGGTACTTATAAGGTAGCTAATTTTAGAAACTGAAAAAAAAATTGGATATACAGTACGTTGTTTTGTAACATATGCAAAAGTGATTCATTACATAATATACTGCAGTGTTGACATAGGGAATAAGCTTCAATCTCTTATCATTGCTAAAGAATTCTAGCTCTAAAAAATATAGTATGGAAATAGGCATAATCTAAGACAATTTCTATGTGGATAACATACGTTTATCTTTGATTTATTTCTAAACAGTGGCCGATTTAATTTAAGATCAATGGATAGGTTCCTCAGCTATCGTTGTTACACTTTCTAGTTTATCGTAACAATAATTTACTAGTCCAGTAGGGCTTGAGTACTGAACAATCACGAGACCAATAGAGCTTAAGTACCGAACTAACTTTATTATGCGTTAGGAGCCGTTATATTTAAGAGACAATTACCAGTAATGTGCAATAACGGACATACCATGAATGTTAACGACAATCTTATCTTATTCATAATAAGATAACAACTTATTTTCCTAGATATGCTATCTAGGACTTAATCGTCATCATTACAGACACGGACATACCATGAATGTTAACGACAATCTTATCTTATTCATAATAAGATAACAACTTATTTTCTTAGATATGCTATCTAGGACTTAATCGTCATCATTACAGAACAACTGCAGAAATATACTGAATAAACAGGCTTATTCAATATGATAGATCTTATCGATATTATGTCTACAACAACTGTATTATTTCGTAACAATCGTAGAAAAAATTTTGTAACGTTATTAAACTTATTATCGATTATGATCTATCTCAGAACATTAAAGGTGCTGACATTCTTCTGCGATATATAAATAAAAAGAAAGCAAAAAGAAAAGAAATTCCTGATATTCATAGTGTAATAAGAATCGCTGTCACACCGTCTCATCAGACTGCTTTTTTATTACTTGAATGTAGGATTATACTGTAGGTAATACTAACACCGTGGGGAAGAATAAAGTTTAATTGCAAACTAAATGTGATATGTCACAATACAGAACTAATACATACTGTGATAGAAGTAGAAGAAAAATGGCAAAATCCTTCTAATATTGCATCTAAGAGGAATAGTTATCTTGCTCTTTCGCATTCTCCTTAACAAGGTTTTGAAAATATATTGCCTAAGTAATAGTATGAATTTCTAAGGGAGTAGGAAACGCACGGTAACCTATAATGTTGAAATATCTCCGGACCCGGTACGAGAGATCAAATCTATTCCTTTCCTTCAATTAGTTAATTACATTTCTTACCGTACCTTTTTGACAGGCAAAATTGCGAGAATTCATGCAATTATCATAGTACCATGTATGATTGAATTGATATCTCATAGTACAACAGAGCTCTGCCGTATTATTCGATTCATGAGGTATAATGTTAGTGAAGTCGATTAATTGGCCATTCATCCATCGTAATTCATAATAATTAAGTTCTGAACTATAAAGATTGTGCAATCCGATCCATATGTCTGCATCAAGGCCAAGGTGATTGTAATACATTTTAGCGAATGATGTTTGCTTATCGTAAGTGTCTAATATAGCTAAACTACCGCCAACTGATTGGCAATATATTTGAGCAGTGAAAAAATTATATTGAAAGCTAGAAACATGATAACAGGTATTCACTTCATTGTCTGTTCGAATCCAAAATTTCTCCACTAAAATGACAGGAACAAGGATTTATGTATTAGTTATCTTAATTGTAGAGGCATTGGCATTGATATCCCCATACTGCAGTGATAGCTATCATGACATCTTATCTCAAGTAGATAAAATGTAAGACAACAATTTTAAGGCTAGTGTACAATAGAATGCACATTTAATGACTGCTTTGCACTTTTTAGATCTAACTGGTAATTCAATTTTCAGTTAGGAAAGATTTTTCAAGATTAACTTACTAGATGATGGTAATCCAAAAACCACACAAAATTGAAGTAAGAACAGCTATGAAAGAAATAACAAGTCAGTTAATATGAAATACTTCCAAGATATTAAGCCCTAGAAATAGCGGATTGCCGAAATGGATTCGTCGTTTTTGTAGTTAGTAGCAGTAAATTTCAAATATAGCCTGCATGTAACTGATCTACCATCATTTTCTGTCTTTAATAATCCACTTTTACAGAACTGAATCACATGATGAACGAGAAATAATTATATGAAGTTATTCTACTGCGCTTACAGTAAAACACGGATAACTTTTTGACGCCATTTTCGGATTGATTTTAAGACTAAATTATTCTAAAACGGTTTCGATTATTAAACACTTTTGTGTTTATTTTATATACAAATTAGGTCAATCTAGACGTACATTTTGATCGAATAAAATATTAATGAGTGACAGACAATTTGGCCAGGTGCAAATTTTTAATTTAACGACGCCTTATTCGTTCGTTATTTTTCAAGGCCTGTCATTCTGCGCTGTAGTAATTACACTAAAATAATGTATAATACTATACTGAAATTATTTTTTTGCCACCTTGGCATGATCGCTGATAGGTAATAGGATTTGCATACTAATGATGTCACAGCTAAAATATACTTATAGTTTTTAAGCATATATCCTTCATGATGGAACTTTCCTTTGAATTTCTTAGCAGCTTGATCAAACTAGCTAGTAGTCACTAAAAGTACATTTAATGCTAATGATGAAAAAGTGAATGCAATAAAAAGATCTGCAGTGGTGGTTGCTACTTCTACGATTCGCATTGAAATGGTCTAGTAGACCCAATTTCATAGTTTAAAGGGTTAACAAATCAAAAGATAAGGTAGTTGGCCTGTTTTATAAATAGTACTATAAGGTACGACGCTTGTTTAACCTGAAGAAAATAAAATAGCTATCACGATAGTTTATTCTTATGTTCATATTATACTAAACAAGGAAGTCATTAATTTAATTAATAAGAATGCAAGCATAATCATAATTTAGATTTATTAAAGTCATGGTAGCTCATCGACATGTGCTCTAGTGTTATCAACGGTAATACGTATATACTCGTATACAGCCGCTGTTTGCATTATGGTTCATAACTGTACGCATACGAATATATGATAATCGTTCTTATATTCAGCATTTCTATTTACCGTGTGTGGCTATAATCATTGCTAACAAATACGTGTACATTTGAAAGTTGATTTTACATCCAATTCGAATAATTACATGTAATTTATAGTTAATATGCCGTACACACTTTACGACAAAAATTATTCATCTTTGTAAGTAGACTAAAAAAAGCTAAAGTTCAATCTTGATTCATAAATTAAAATTCACCTATCCTTACACTTACCCTCCATCATGACTTAGGATAGGCTTATGACATAGAGGGCCTCAAATAGACCGTTAACGTTATAAAATTTTAAGCCATAAAATGAATCTTTCCTTTATTAGTTAATTAGTTTATAGCTTCTCTATAACAGACGTTGAAGATTAATTAAGACCAGCTCTTCATTCTCTAATTGAATATAAGATGATTGCGTATCAATCTTATTTGTTGATACGTTTCAGCTCTATTCTCAGCCTTTGCAATTATTACTAAATATTAAATCGACGATAAATGAATGCGATTTAGGGATTACAGTTTTGAAATTGCGAGCATCAGATTAAAAATTCTGGCCTTTTCTAAAGGGACAAAATTGGCATGAATTGGGGATGGGTATTCTCATTGATTATGGATTAACCATATTTCACTGATCAATTCCATACCTGTAATTATGTAGCGGAAATACTTTAGCATTATTTCATGTAAGTCATTCTATTACTGAAGAATCATTTATTGCTGCAATACTTGATTAAAAACCAAGAACTATGCAAAATAGAGATAAATCGAATAATTAGAAGTTAAACTATAGACAATGAATTAATTTAAAATTTATCGCAATTCTAATAATGATGAAAAAATGATGACCTACTTTTAGCGGATAATTGTAAAAATGACTGTTCAATTTTAAAAGGAAATTTTCCTATTGTTATAATAGCGATTTGAAGACATGTTGCATACTGCCAGCTATTAATCGCCGTCAGAAAATGTCGTATACTGTGTGCGTATTGTTGACTAATATTATGATTGACAATTCATCTAGATATTTGATAGCGAACCGAAGAGCTAAAGCTCTCATTCATTGACGTAAGCACGGTTGATTCAGGCAGAAATCGATTATCACAGCAGCTCAATCCTTGCTTAGGGATCAAGCTAAGTACTCTTGACATGTAACAATTATCTTGACAGTTCTAGTAGAGGGCTTTTGTAAACAGACGTGGTTTCTGTCAGTAGTTTAAGAAAGGATTTCGATGAGTACAAGAGCTGGCAAGATACTACAGGTTTATTTAGATATACATAAAGGATCAATCTTGACATTGGAATACCGGAGTTGTAATGTGTGATAAATTGATACGTAAGAGGAGTGTTTGGTAGTGCCTAATTTACAGCATAAAGATGTAAAAAGGCAAAATAGATGCTTTTTCTAAGAGAATTTCTCTTCAAAGTCCCAAGTCAAAAGCGGCTACGATGCAAAGCATAAGACAAGCTAGCTACATCAAAGTTTCTCTAATTAATAATACTAGTAAAGCCCCCGTTCAAATGGACGGATATATATTCTACACAAAGCAAGACATTAAAAGGAAATTCACAGCCATATTCTTTCTGATTGCTGTCTATATGCTTTCTCTGTCTCTATCCTGTAATATTCACCGTATAAACTAGTATCAACCGTGCATATCAAGTGGCATTCATGAATTCATAATTGTGCCATCAATATTATAGTTTTTATTATGTGATGAATCATATGTTAACACGCAGTTATTAAATTAACAAATATCCAATGTCGTCGAAAAGTATAATGTGATTCTTACTATACTTCTGTAGACTTGGCTATTAATTTATTATTTATGATAGTTTTGCACCAGGGAAATTGGTGAGGCTATTTAATGCTTGAGACCTGATAAGTGAGTCGCTAAGTTAATGGATAACACTTATTTGTAAATTCAATCGTCCATTTAACTTAATAACTTATATCTTGAGCACTTTACAACGGCTAAAGACACCAATGCAAGTCATCATGTACAGTAGAATCACTTCCTATGCGCTAATTGGTGGTGAATTATTGTGGTCTTGTCCATTTCCTTGTGCTCCTTGTCGAATTGCAGTAAGAGTTAACACGATTAGTGTTGCAGTAGTTTACAATAACAGTATGGTACGAGTAAAAGCGGTGTGATGTACACTGTACAGTACAGTCCTGTACTGTATGTAAAACAGATGTCATCCAACTAGGTTCAATTTCCACTATAACATGGTGACTTGGACGACATGTATTTTGTTTGTATTTTCCACAGTACAGTACAGTACGTACTGTGGAAAAATACTATCTACTGTAGATGGCCACCGCCCAAAAGTGCGGCTTCACTTTGTGGGTGTGTTGCGTCATTCACCCTGACTACTGACTCTCAGTCAGAAGAGTGACTTGACCATGACTGAAGCGGTAACGGGACGTCATGGGTGCTGTCATTTTCGTTGAGTCATGGTGGTTTCATGCACTGTAGGGTACAGTACTTGATATTGTAACAGAACTGTACAGTACTGTACATGTACTGTTCACTCAGTGTACAGTACTGTACAGTCCAGGACTGCCAACGGATTGTAAGACCAATACTGTACTGTTAGTGGTCTTCCAAGTCTCTGCCTGTTACTGGATTGTCCCTGCCATTCACTCTCGGGACCATCGCATTTTTCAAAATAATCTTGCTGATCATTTCTTGATCGAGCAATAAGAAGAAGCAAGGGAAAAGATCTTGTGATCGATCGATCAGTCATACGGAGCGTATCATGTTTTGCAGCTGGAGAAGCGAAAAATATAAAGATCACTTTGAATCGGGTAGGAAACAATGTTGTTGATAGGACTTAATACTGCTCAATCCTTTCAAATGGATCATCATGACAGGTTTCTCAATCGATTGCCGGCCTACGATCATGGACAACGTTTCTTCATCTACTGTTCATTGAGCGGTTGCTCTCTTGAAAATGCGATCAATTCCATTTCACGCACCAACCAAGATTCTGAAGCGTAACATCGTAATGTTACGCTTCAGAATTTGGCTTGGTCCGTAAAGTGGAATTGATCCCATTCTAATTGGAGTACAGACTCATGTGTAAATCATTGCGTACTTATGAAGGTTTATAAACATCCATTATACTGTACTGTATCTATAATTAATGATCGTAGTGCACTGCAAGTAGATCGTGGAGTTGTATGATTTCATGGCAATCCTTTCACTGTCAAGTAGGAAAAGGCAGTACTTTGCCTTCTTGACGGTGAACTAGTAGTATGTGGGAGGGAGGACTTGACAAAGCAGCTGTAGCTGGCACTAAGCAATCACGCTCAGTGAAATGGAATGGATAAAAGGTGGTTTACATGGGTAAAATCACTAAATTACCTTTACTGTAGAGAGCAAAGTTATTATCGTAACCTTACTTCATCTATCAAAGTAATGGAAAATTTGTGGCAAGTTCATCCAAATCTGCTTAACGGTATCGTTTAGGGATGGAGAGTCAATAATAAAATAGATCTACGGCAGTCACGGCTGTTGTGCCAATTTTCATTACCTTACAATTTATAGAATTCATCGAGATACTCGTACCTAGAAATAAACATCCAGCACTGTAAATGTAGAGTAGTAGTTCATGATGGAATGAAAACGGAAAAATTGTATGGTTATCCGTTGACTATATCTTTATCAGTAAAGTACTGTCCGTGAATGCATAACATTTGGATATGGCATCTGCGCCATAATTATAGCCGTTCATTTCTGCATGTAATTTACAAAAGATATCGCAACACTTATCGAATAGACTACACAAGGACACAATGAATTAATTCTATAAGTAATATGAATGGTTGCCGATCTTGTATCGCCTTTCACTCCAAACCCAGCTATCTCTGTAATTGAATAATGCCTTTACAAAGTTACGTTATTTGTATGCAACAGGATGACATAAGAAACCTGAACTAGTCTTCAGTCAATTATCATGACAAAGTATCCGGTGCTTAACATCGATATGAAGTGACCGTTATTAATGTACGCCAAATATACACCCGTGGAGGCAATTGGAGGCAGCGCAAAATCATTTAGGATGGTAATGATTGTAAAATGCGATGCTTATCTATTTTTTTATCTTTTGTCATTAGGCAAATATGTCTGCTCAAAGTGCAATCATGACTTATTTCCTAGCAAGTCTAAATATGAGCATTCATCACCTTGGCCTGCTTTCACTGAAACAGTTTCCGAAAATAGCCTATCAAAATATGAAGAATCACCTGGAGCACTAAAAGTTTCCTGCGGTAACTGTGGACAAGGTCTTGGTCACGAATTTCTTCGTGATGGACCTGGTGGTAAATCGCGTTTTTGAATATTCTCAAATTCGCTCAAATTCGTTCCAAAAGCTAATTAAGCTGGAATGAATACCGTTTTTTATACTTTAACTTTATTGATAGTTAACAGTCACATAGATATCTTGTAATCGATTGCTATCCACTATATGTTTTACGTAACAAAACATAATTGTATGACAATGAAGTTGAACCACACGCGAACGCTCTTTCCTAGTTTTATTCTATGTGTTTATCGGCTTAAAGAGTAGCTCATTTTTTAGCAAACAAAACAAGATTGAAAAGTCGTCGTTTACTGATGTAACTTCAAAATTGTTATAAGCTGTCTTATTAGGACGATAGGCATAGTGACTAGCTGCAGCGTTTGCAACAAAATTAAAACTATTTAAAATTTATACATATTCTTGTAATATTCATAAAGCAGTCGGTTATATTATTACTAATGGTAAATATTTCTAAATTTTATTCGTATTTGAAATTAGCTTCGAGAGAATAACATGACGGGCTTAAACTACAGCCGATATGGCCGTTTTTGCTTCTGATGACTTTATTTGATCGAAGCTAATTGCTAATTTAGTGACATGTTTATTTTACTTCCTTTCTAGCGATTTCCATGTATTGTAGATGTTAGCGTAACTGCTACTACGCACGATAGTTTTGCTTGTGATACTGCGTTAAAGATATAAGCGTACTGAGAAATGGGTATAGAATCGTAACTTGTTAAAACTGCTTAAAAAAGGTGTAATCAATTCATGATTACTTACGGAATAGTTTAACAGTAATCTGCTAATAAATATTTTCTTTCTGACTTCTGTTTATTCTGCGTGTAATAAATCACAATACACTAAAGCCCTATAGAATGGTGGGCGATGATGTACTACTAGTTAATATAATGCTTCAATAAAATAGTCTCTATGTATATCAAACACAACCTGATATAACTTACATCGATAGTATTATTGCCTACGTAATTGTATTGATGTTGATAAGAACATATTACCGACCGATAAATAGATTTCATTCATGAGCCAGTAAGTACGGTCTGACAAGTAAACAGTCGTAAAAGATACGTGGACAAAATACTCAACTTTATTACAATCATTTTCAAAAATAGCTATTTCAATTACTCTTATATTTATTTCATTTAATAATATAAAACATTTAGCGCATCAGAATATGTATGAATTATAATTAGAGAAGAATCAAAAATTTTTAACAATAACTAAATCGATACACCAGGATTTAATCGTTATTGTAATAAGTAAAACTCGCGCTTAATGGACTCAACTTTAAAACCCAAGCCGGATAGTTCTATATTGGTTTATAAATATTACGATTCATATTATAATTATTGCTATTTGATAATAACACCTCTAAAGTGAACATCATTGCTGTAACGTTATTACTGTTGATTTTGACCATAAATATCTTGAATTACATGAAGAATTGTCGTTGCCATAATTCTAATTTCGTCGCTTTCACTTCTTAAAAATATCTCCAGCCTAATTAAACCTAAATAAATACTCCAATAGTTAACAAATAAGTTCAAGCACTTATCATTAACATAAAAGTACGATAAATACATATGTAAGTTGCCAATACGAGCTATCAATCTTTTCGATATATTTGAAAACCTTATTTACCTCCTATATCATCGAAATCAGTACATATCGACAATTTCATATCATCATCTAGCGTTCCCTAAAAATGCCATAACATTATTATGACTTTTCCAGTCGATACTATTGGTAACACGTGTATTATACAATGTTGACTACTACGCAAAAAGGTTATTTCATGCTACCTCGATTAGATTTAAGAGAGCAGCTAGGGAATGCCTTATTATCTGCATTCAAAAAATAGAGAATATTTCTAATGAAAATGTTGGAAAATTGCTACATTAATAGCAAAGTAGCACGCACTACTTGAAAATTTTTCACATGAATTCATACAAAGTTATAAACATGAAGTCGTACCATATGATTTTTAATAAGCAGACTGCTATAGAGCAAATCAACGATGCCAATCTCACACAGCTGTTGAAGCTATATAATAAGTAAACAGTTTCGTTAGTTTGTTACTCATTCGTAAGGCATTACTGGTAAATTAAAATTATACACTACCTTTTCCATGAGACTAACCTGATCCTCTGCTGCTCCAGTTATAAAATTGTCAATTACCCAACAAATTTCTTTTACGATATGCATATCAGGCTAAATTATGATAAATAAATCAAACCTTTATTAATCTAGTCTATAGCCAAGAATGTACAATCTCAGTCTTTAAGACGCCATTCATTTATTACAGTTACAGAAGATGCTGTATGTGCTAGAAAAATATTAAAAATGGTTTTACATTTCTAATTTGTTCAAAAACGGTGGGAAGAATCTTAACATCGAGCAGAACCTGAAATATAAACAGGCCAATTTATCACACTTCAGCAAGAATAGTTATCTTTTCATAAATTTTAAACTTACTTGCTTTATGTTTATAGAACCAGTTGCAATATTGGAAATGACCTTTATAGTGTCCTGTAACAGTAAATGTAAGTAAAATAAAATGCATCGGCTCTTGATTCTGCAAGCATATAGAAATAATTTATCTTCTACGCCGTCAATGGCTAGCTAGATTATATACAAATAAAGATTCCTTTACCAATATGATATATACATCCTTTGTCTTTAACAACAGCTCGAAATGATCTTGTGCATTACAATCAATTAAAGCCTAAAGAATGTATAAAAAATAGAAATGAATTAAACTAGACCCAGATTATCCAGTATAAAACATCACACACAGTAATGATATTATAACTATATGCGCCATTCATACTTGTGTAAAGCGGCTATAATCGGAACTTGAGACATTTTGACATACACGAATTGCTGCTTTCTAAGTATTTGTATATAAAAGTGCAAGTCGCTTATTGTATAATCGATTTCAAAATCAGTAATTGCATAGTTATTTACATTAACAATGTGCGTTTCTTATACATAACTTTAAATTGTTATCAAACCTGAACATTTAAATCATTCCTCGATAACAATTTTACCACTTTTTCTAACAACCCTGACGTCACAGCAACCTATACGATAAAAAATATATCTTAAACCACCCAAACTTTACCGTAAATAATCCGTTAAACAAACTTATTTAGGATGGACGAAACCCTAGTAGAAACCTGTAAATATGACGGATTGTCATTCCTAGTCAGATAATATGCAGCTCCAGCTAGACTACTTTGTACCTATTCGTGTTAGTATTGAACATTATTACATTTTGTTATTGTTTAAGTTGTATTTGATAAATATATATTGATTTTTCGTAAATAAAATTTATAAATATGATCAAAAGCATAAAGTGATAGCCTAAATGACCAACCGTCAATATTTCCTGGTCCAAGAGTTCAACTATGTAAACCGTTAACTAGAAAAATCATAGTTGTATCAAGAAATTGTAAATAAACGAAATCTTGAAGATAAGAAAGGGTTTGAACATTAATTTAGGTATTAATCATCGAAAAATTGTCCTAATGTATGTGAACACGCTACCTTTTTTGCAATCTCAAGTGGTAATTGGGAACTTGGATAGCTTAAAACCTTATTTATTAATTTCGCTACACTTTCTAATTGGTAAGCCTACAAGGTTAATTTTACCATCGTAAAGATTTTGATGCAATAATATAATTTATCATAATATAGATAGTATAAATGGCAGCATTGCTTTTTATTTTATGTATTACAGGTGTGCTATAAGCTTAATACAGATTTAAATTTGGTAATTTACCGGCTTATTTACATCTGCAGCAGCATCAAACTTTGTCATTACAGCACAATCAATAATTTTATTTCGGTAGTCAATGCAATCCCCTATTGTCAAGTTTGTCATAATATATATTTTATAAGGCGACCGGTATATATTAAGCATTGGACTATTTTTACATAGTACATCATGTAGATAGATCTTGTAAACTAATATTTACAATATTACCGACCTGCAATGAAAGCTAAAGCGAGAGCAACTTTTTCACATACATTTGGATATTCAGTAGATAAATTATTGACAAGTACTGGAATACCATCTAATACAAATATTGTACAATAAGTGATCTTCAATACAAAATTTTACGATTGCTTTCAAAGCAAACGTGTTTAGGCCGATCCTATGACTTAATCAACGTAACCTAAATTCAGGATATTTAATGTACTGTAGATATATTGTTAGCTTGTACCTGCGTTGACGATAACCTTCGGGCCTCGTGAATCACTGCTTGCAATTATGCTGAGGATCCAAGCTGCTTCGTGTTGTGTTTTGGAACTGTAGAATTAAAAATATTGATAGAAACAGTCATTACAAATATGACAGGCTGGAAGGCATGCTAACCAGTGTATCAAATAACAACACAGGATGTAACTGTTGGAATTCAACTATTACTATTAGTATTTATTTTTAAGCAGACTTTAAAATACAACGATCTTAGGAAATGATTACTGTAACATCTACAATGGAGAAAATAATGCAACATCGCTAATAAATTGTTGTAAACTTTTAATGTAGCAGTTGCACTTTGGTCAATTTATATTAGACCTAGAATACTGCCCTGTGTAATATCTCACTAACCTATCTGATTCTCTTAAACATTCTATAGTTTTATCGACCAGACCAACCCTAGTACAATAAGAAAAGAGTGTGATACAATTATCATACTAAAGCATGGAGCCATTCAATTTTGTTCAATACAACACTTTACGTTCCCTTTCTATTAATTTTCTTAAATTGAAGGTATATAAGTTTGCTGTGCCGTTGATACTATACAAGCATGGCATCTTTCATTCATGCCATAAAATACAGTAAGAAGTGAAATTATAGAATATGGTTGCGATTTGGGTGGTTCTATACTGCCTACACAGTAGGCGAGTAACACACTACGCAAAATATTATCATCAATCAATTATTGATCATACTCGAATGTACTGTAGATAGTTCTACCATGACTTCACTAAACTAATTGAACAACTCATTTTTGAATGTTTTACCACATCAGCTAGAAATGAAATCAGTGAACAAAATATAACAATAGTATTAGTAAATGATGATAGAAATGGTTGAGTAACAACAAGATGGAATAGAACAAGAGATAATAAAATCTCCATCATTATTGTGACAATAATACGTCTTTTCCACTTTGCATGATACCTTATTGCTGCCTCTACTGGAGGACTGCTTCTGGCGGTTAAAAGTTGTCTATATGGCGTATAAATCAAAACGGAGGTAAAATTAAGATTGTTTTGTTCTACTGCCTGAGCGTCAATATAGTGTCTATTTATCTATGAACGGTATTATCTTTCAAGTGAATGATAGCTCAATGTCTATCAAGGCGATGAGGAAAGCAATGATTCATAACATTGATTACAAACGCTAATTAATTCTACCCTGCGTGCTGAACGACATCGTAGACTGCTGCTGGATCTGCAGTCACGCCAAGAGTGGATATCTTCTACAATAACCAATGACAATATATCCGTATCAACTTAGCATTACAGTCTTACTAGCTATAATTTGGTCATTAATATTGGGTCAAAATGTTTACATGAGTTAATTAGTTGATGAAACCGCATTTACAAAAACTGGCGTGCATAGAAAAACAGTTGTTCATAGACTGACTACCCTATCATCATTTGGCCGAGTTGTTCTCGATCGTACAGTACATAGATCATGTCGAGTCTGCATAACAGATCGAGTTGATGGGTAAATGTGCGAGTATGTACAGTATACTGTCTACAAGTATTGTAAGCAAAATGGCAATAAACTATTACATATCATTATCGATTGGTCGCTATCATTGATTGCATTATAATAATATAAGAATAAGAATAATTATTATTGCGATCAAAGCCAAGGTTGCATTATCGCGAATGGCTATTGTGGGGCATGCAAAAATAATGAATTCACGTTACTGACTGACACTGCTTTACTTCTACTACTAGTTGTAGATAGAGTCAGAAGGAATAGTCAAAGTTTGTATTGATAAAGCCGATGATGTTGTATTCTACTGAAATGGGGTTAGTCTTTTAGCAGTATAGGCTAGTATCGTGCGATCATGATTAGCTTACCTCTACCATTAACTGCAACTGTTTTTTCCAAGGGGTTTTTTTTCATAGCAATACAATCAAAAAGGATTGCAAACCAAAATAGAGAGAGAGAGAGAGAGTAAAGAATTAGTATTACAGTAGAATATTCCAATTTGTACGAATAGTTCCTATTTAGCATAGTAAGTATACTGTAGTCATTGATTTGATTGAATATCCTATCCACTAAGCATAAGAGAGAATAAGACGCCTTCCATTTGACATTCTAGTGTACAGTAGTGTACTATTGGACAATGAAAGGAGAGTGATGAGTGTGATTGCCGGGTAGTGCTCTTACGACTAGGCAGTTTTTCAATGGCTGAAATGATTTTAGACGCTATTCTTAGGTGATAATTGATCGTTCAAGCATTACAAGAACAGACTGAATCCATCAACTGTTATTCCATGGTAGAATAAGTTGATCGATGCACTAGGAAAGACAGAAATGAGTGGCAAAGTAGTGTACGAATGGAGAGCATTCAAAGCGATACAACAGGAGTAATGTGTAATGAAGTGATTGCCGGCCAGTTAATTGACTGCGGCATGACTGCGTCATTGGATTTTTCTGACTGCTTGATTGCATCTAACCTCTTCTTCATCTTCCATCGCTACTTGGTCAGTTTGTATGGATCAAGTGCATTCTATATACAGTGAGAAAGGCTAGAAATCAATGGAAATTCGTCGATTGCTGAACTATTTGCAAGCGATGTTGATTTAATGGAAATTGTTGAAAGCGAATAACGCCGCGGGATGTCCTTACGTCAAATATTCATGAGGCATGATGGGCCATTAGCATGGGTAGATGACGAAAGCGTTTATTGCCTGACAGTATTCAGTATGGTCTGCTCGACCAGCGCAGTCAACAAACTGAAAGCTAGAGTCCAACGCTACTTGAAACGTGGAGTACAGTGTACTGTAGACGACTTGCACGACTGTACTGTACACTGTAGAGTGTTGAATCAACAACGCAGTACTACCGTAGGAAATGACCAAATACTCTATCAAATAAAGTCTAAATTCAAGTACTGTACGTAGTACAGTACTACGTTCTAAACTGCGTTGCTGACAATCAATTCAATCTTCAATTGAGAGTAAGAGTTCGTAGTTAGTTTTACAATCATTCCAACAAAGTGTTCCATTTCTTGTCTCCATGCTCATTGACACCAGTATGAACCTTCAATACGGCTGTTCGTATTCACTGTACAATACAGTACTTGTCAACATACAGTACTGTACAGTACTGTACTGTCATGGCTCCATTTTGTAGTCTACAGTACCGTACTGTACGATTACTGTGAATCCTTCTCGACTGCTACTAGAAAAAATACTACAGTAGACCGGCTGCCACTCTCCTCCGACGGACGGACTTTTCATACAAGACAAGGCCGCAAAATATCCAAAAAGAGTTGCTCAGTATAGATAGATCTTCCGTCTCTGTTTTCCAAATCACTCGTATTCATTTCAATAACATTCATCATCTAAATGGACTGCTTCTAAGCAGAGCTTAGTAACAGGCAATGGAATAGGACTTCATTTAGAAAAAATGAGTCTCTTTAGAATCGACTGGCGTCATACTAAAGTACTGTCAAAATGGACACAATGTAGAGTTGTAGACGCAATGAATTGACCAAAGCAGGCCCGATGTCTGTCCGTCCAAAGGAGTTGCAGGTCTACACTCTACAGTACTGTAGTGGTCCATGGATTACTGTCAGTAGAAAAAATGAGTCTATTCAGTCAGAATCGACTGGCGCCATACTAAAGTACTGTCAAAATGAAGTATTTGACACAATAGATTGACCAAAGCAGGCCCGATGTCTGTCCGTCCAAAGGAGTTGCAGGTCGACTGTAGTAGTCCATGGATTACCGTCAGTAGAAAAAATGAGTCTCTTCAGAATCGACTGGCGCCATACTAAAGTACTGTCAAAATGGAGTATTTGACACAATGGATTGACCAAAGCAGGTCCAATGTATGTCCGTCCATAGGAGTTGCAGTCACTCTACAGTACAGTAGTGGTCTATGGATTACTGTCAGTAGAAAAATGAGTCTCTTCAGAATCGACTGGCGCCATACTAAAGTACTGTCAAAATGAAGTATTTGACACAATGGGTTGACCAAAGCAGGCCAAATGTCTGTCCGTCCAAAGGAGTTGCAGTGTAGACTCTACAGTACACTACTACAGTAGTAGTCCATGGATTACTGTCAGTAGAAAAAATCAGTCTCTCCAGAATCGACTAGTGCGATACTAAAGTACTGTCAAAATGGAGTATTTGACACAATGTATTGACCAAAGCAGGCCAAATGTCTGTCCGTCCAAAGGAGTTGCAGGGCTACAGTACTGTACTGTACAGTACAGTAAGTCATGACTGTACAGTACTGTACACTGTACAGTATTACAGCATTGCAGTACTGTACTGTATATTGTGCAGTGCAAAGTTTGTTGTCCTACAGTATCCTACTGTAGAAGTCCTTTCTGCGGACTGTAGCTCGGTCCGAAAGAGTGAGCTAAGAATTTTCCTTTGAGCTGTATAGCTTGGAAATGCAGATACTGTACTGTACAGTGTACAGTAGAGTATCTGTGCTCCTGTTTCAGTGGCTTGATCAAGGCATCTCCTCAATCTCCTATCCTAGTACTGTACGGTACAGCAGTTGGGGAAATACTGTAGCGTACTGTAAGACCAACATCATCCCAAATCGATAGGGTCCCTGTGTCGACGTCGATGTTCTTTAATATTGATCATTAAAAGTGGAAAGACTCTTGGCTTTCCTCTGGCCTGCTGATTGCTGGTGAAGTAACGATCAAGGTAGCCAGTGATAACTTGTAAGAAAATTGGACCATTATTAATCAATCTGGTTGGTTTAGCCCCTCGATTTCTCATCATCAAGTTGTCTCTCTCTCTCTCTCTCTCTCTCTCTACGTGTAAAGTAATAACACAACATCCACATTCAACATACGGACGACAACAGTGATATAGCCTAGTAGACAAGTTCACCATGTCGACACCAGCAAGAAGACGATTAATGAGAGACTTTAAAAAGTAAGTACAGCAATACAGTATTGGATTGAAAGGAATGATTAAACATAAACCTAGATTGAAATCCATTGACTGTTGTAGCGCGTTGATACTGTCTTTTCATGTTTGTCTACCCACTATTTCCCATCGACCTTATTCAGTAATTTACATTGCTACGGATAATGAAAATGGTACTTGCATCATCGGTTTCAAGTATCGAAACTCGTTGATAGTGCTGTATAGTGGAGAATTATTCCTAGTGATGACATAACTTCTAAAATGAAGATCAATAAGTAAAAGAAGAGCGGCCTAATCAAGTTTGTCATCGACCATGAAGTTTTCACGTTTTATATGGCACTGCAGGAGCCAAAGTCTTATTCAATTTGTACAACCATTCTAGCTGGCTGTACAAGATTGTATGCAGTGGATGATAGACAAGTTACACTAGAGTACAATACAGTCCGTAGCTGCGTCTTCCGTAGCTATACTATGGTTGAGGACGGGTAGAGCTGTGATACTTACTGTACTGTACAGTACAAAGTGGTACCGTACCGTTTCAGTTTCCGTACCCTAGTAGGTCGTATCACGTAGACTGACGCAGCACATTGGGGCATGCGCGTGTAGTGGCTTGCTGCTAGTCATTTCAACTTGCTGTATTGCTTGACTGTGACTACCATGGATACCATCAATGATTCGAAAATTGGACAATTTTCTAGTAATCCATGGACGTAGAATAGGTCGAAAAGTCTCCAGTTTTATCCTCTTTCGCAGACTATGCTAGAAAAAGGAGAGAGAGGAATCGCTGATAGACTTGGAGGAGTGAACAAGATAAGCCTAGACATGTTTTACTGTACAGGATGAAAGGAAGGGCTTTGCAATCTTGAGTAACGATACTGTATACGACAGTGCACAGTGACGTTGGCGAAGAAAAAGAACAGCAGTCGCTGATCAACTTTACAGGAGTCAACAAGATAAAGCCTTGACATGGCTTACTGTTGTACCTAAAAGTAAGGACTTGGTAATCTTGAGTAACTATACAGTGTACAGTGAGGTTGGCGATAATGCAGTTGGAGTTGGATGGACTATAACAGAAATAATGAGAGAGGAGTCGCTAATGGACTGCCAGTCGTGAACAACATCACCTTGGACATGTCTTACTGTAGTGCTTGAAAGGAAGGAGTGACGTTGGCGATGATACAGTATCAGTTTGATATCAGCAGCACCATAGTAGTCCCTGGCAACGCCAACGATTCTTCTTCGATCTTGTACTGTATCCAAATTAAATATGACAGTTCAAGTCCATCATGATGTATAGCATATCAACGCTTTGGAGAGTGTTTCAATGCTGTCATCATGCATCTGAGTGGATAGAGGATAAACGTTCCAAAGTCTCGTTTAACACCGACGCGTACTACGGTGCCTAGTGATATCGGACTTCCATCATCCAAATTTGTAGTATTACGTGTGAAATAACCTACTGTAGTAATATCCTTGGATGGAGTTCATGATAATCAATTTCCTAATTGCAATGATTTACAATAGTTGCCACTGTCATCAATAATTGTTTCACTCCGCTTTTTACATCGCTTTATCCCTCAGAAAGTGCGCTTACCGTAATGGAATTATCCTGTACCAGCTATAATGAATGAGGGATTGAGTTATAGCAATAGGCAATGATAGCTAGGGTGTGTAACTAGAAAGCACCATTTCATGGATTTCATGTGATGTAGATAGGACATGAACTCTTAAAATGCATTTCAAAAATAGCTTACACTTAACGGATATCGCTACTTTTTTTTCTTCATCCCATCAAACTAGATTACAAGAAGATCCACCAGCAGGTGTAAGCGGAGCTCCTACCGAAGACAATATTTTAATTTGGAATGCGGTCATATTTGGGTAATGATTGACGCACTTGTAGAGTAGGGATACCGTCCCCCAACGAATGATTCTATACTTGACATGATATATCAATAAGAATGTTAGCCAGTGAGCTATTACTGTATAAATACCCATGAAAGCTAGTCCAAGCAGTACGAGTACTCTTATCAACATTTTTAAATCATGCCAGGCAAATTCTAAGATACTGTATATTATATCTTTATTTTCATATATCGAAATGGATATACGATGGACCTCGCTTATAGACCTCATGATACACCTTTTGAAGACGGTTAGTTCATAAATTGAAAAGATTGTAATACCAACGCAACTGCTAAAGTTTTTTACCACTTCCTTTGAACACCAGTTGACTATCTATTAAAATGTCATAGCGATGTTGAATTTTCGGTATTCGTAAACTTATTTATTACTTTTATCTGTCATGATTATCCACGCCGATTCGGAATGGCTATAGGTACCTTTAAATTAACGATTCGGTTTACGGAAGATTATCCTAACAAACCTCCCGCAGTTAGATTTGTCTCCAAAATGTTTCATCCTAATGGTAAGACTTTAAAGCGATGTTGCGTAAATACTGTGAAGATTTGTTTACAAGTTCAATGTCTGCAACCAAGGAAAAATACTTGATACACCTAACGTTAAAGTGTATTGACGACTGTAAACAAAGCTATCGCGAATTCATGCCTTGCTACATATTCTTAATTGTAGTTTATGCGGACGGCGGGATATGCCTAGATATATTACAAAATAGATGGAGTCCTACATATGATGTGTCAGCTATCCTCACTTCGATACAAGTAAGCTAAGTAACTTTAAAGCCTGATCATTTCACATTCTCTGTTGTACACGTTGGTCAACGTTTAGAGACGTTTTCTATGCATCAATCCGTAATAACTATTTATTTTGTTGATCCAGTCTCTTTTAGATGAACCTAATCCTAATAGTCCTGCAAACAGCCTAGCTGCCCAATTATATCAGCAGAATAAACGTGAATATGAAAAGAAAGTTTCTGCTATAGTAGAAGAAAGTTGGATGAACGAATAATATATCATTATTATTTAACCTATTTCTGAATTATTTGATCATCCTGCTTATTTTCTATTGCAATCAATTAATTATTCTAGCAAAGTTACAACTCCAGATGATTACTGTATCAATTGTAAAGTAATTTGAATAGTATGCACTATCAAGGAAATAACTATTACTGTATTCAAGTTTTATCACGATAACAGAAATAGGTTCAAGTCTCTTGTATTATATTCATCTTAATTTAACTATGCGCCGAACAAGGATGTTAGTCTGTGTCGTGCTCATCTATGTTAATAGTATAATGATAAGATTGTTACATGTATACATTTTGGCAAGGTTTAAATTAAATTTATACAAAAAGTTTATCATGAACACGCACAACGTGATCGTGAGCATGATGTACTATAGTTCTCTCTCTTACTGCTAGCAGTTACAAGCTTTTGCTACTGTTATCATATGTGTACTTAGTATTCATGCCAGCATAGATCAACTGAGATTGTGTAGTGTTTTTATACGACTTTTTTGTAATTGACGCTAACGTTAATTAGATTATGTAATGATTTGTCCTAGTCATGTTACTGTAAAAGTATATGTATATAGATACAGTACCTTATATAGACAGAGAGAATATGTGCATAAAGTCTATACCGTATATACGTATCTATGTATATTAAATACATTAGAATCATTTTGACTTAATTATTACAAATGCCACTTCAACTTGTTCAGAGAGTACTCGTATTCTATTCTAATGGATTTTTTTAAGTCACCAATACGTTGTTTACTTGTGACTACGTAAGTTGTCCAGCGAAAACATTAATAAATGTTAGTTTTTTGCAATAGTAGCGGCAACCTAATGGACTATAATAATTCTTTCCGTTTCAATAGCAAGTTTTTTCCTACTCATTCGCATGACATTCAGTTAATATCGAAACGTATTGTACTCTAGGTACAGTGAAATAAGATTTTAAGCTAATTAACAACGGCTGCAAAGGTTAATCGAAGTATTTGAATGTCCCCGTTTGTAACCGGCACTATAAGTGCGCGGTGCACCAACTTGATGGCTATGATCTTGGATATATAGAAAGAAATTTTAGAATTTAATCATTTACGGCGGTTACTGTAGTTGCATTCCAAGGGCGCTGACTATAGACAAGATGGTGTAGTGTATAATGTTACATCATCACTTGATCTGCTCACTGGTTCTATTTCTTAAACAGTTTATACCTGAACGTAGAAAACGACGTTTGATTCAAATGAATACCGGCACTTAGGTTTAAAACATTTATTGAATATATTAAATATACGGATGAACTCAGACTAAACCATTGATGGTGTCATTGGAAGACAAAGGTTGTAGTTTGCCTACGAAGTATAAAAGATAGCAGGGGTAAAATAAAAATTAAGTATTAAATGCTCCATAAATCACGAAAATTCTGTGTTTGAAAATTTTATAGCGCTTTCCAATTTTTCTTTGAATAGACACGACTAATCTCACATTACTATCTGTAAATAGAAATTTAAACTTACTCGTTGATCCCAAAAGTTCGGTCCTTTCCATCCACACCATCCCTATAATAGACGGATTACACGATACGATTACGCATGAAAGATATATCGTATATACTGTAAATGACAGAAAACGCTTTAATTGTCTAAATTGAAATAGTCACATTTACGCATATTCGCTGAAAATAGTTTGCAATTTGTGCTATAACCTAACCTTGGAATGTATGGTTTTTAAATCATCTCTTCCAGTGTAGTGCGGATCCAATATAAGAAATTTCACTTCTCCTGTAATTTCATTAAAGGAAATTCCTAAAATTGTATGTGCTAAAACACCGCCACCTACATATAATAGAGATCACCATAAGAATCCTTATACGCATATTATAACTAAAATAAGTCATTGTTGGTGTAAATGTTAACAACAAATTTCATACCTATCATGATTGGAGTACCTTCACTTTGAAAATGACTGACGAGTTCTCGAGCTTTCTGCGGTAGTTCTGCTCCAGAACTAACGCATACAATTCTACTTGAAACCTAATATTTCAAAGCATAATAATATATATGTATATACATACTGACAACAAATAAGCTATCGTAAACTTATTTAAGATTAAACCGCTGTCGCTTTCTTAAAGCTCTAACTTAAATCTATACTCCTAGATTTCACGTACATTTAAGAAATGGTCTAAGCAGATGCTAACTTCGTACGAGCCTATCCACTTTTTAGATCCAACAAAAGTTGACGGCTTATCACCAACATCACATAAAGCCTACAAACAAGTCGATAATAGGATTACTGTTCATGAGTATAAGTCTAAAGAGAACCTTGCATAATAGTCACTGAATAGATTTTCTTACTTGCTGGATATCCTTATGCATTGGTGTTGCCTTATCTGTATAACCTTGGTATCTAAACCAAGAATAGAGGGTTTGAAATGAACGATAGGCACACCCCCATTGCTAAGAAAAAAATTACAACTTTAATAATAATGATGCTGCTCGTATCCTCGTACAAGTAAAGCTAATAAGAAGTATAGAATCGTCGCCGCGGAAGGCATTTCTTACATCATCATTGATATTATCCTGCATATAATGAAAGTAAGAGTAGCATCCATCTACTAGAGCAATTTGCGTGCCATCACCTACGTCAGATAACAAAAATTCACATTAGGATAATAGTTTGTAAAATTAAAATTTCGTAAACAGTGTATATATACAAACCTTTTGGCATAGAAAGCCCTTCGTGAGTATTAACTAGATGTCCGTCTAAATATAGTAATATCAAAATACACATAGGATAGATTAACAAGATTTAATTCTTATTGACTTTCCGCGTTACAGAATTTACAAGTTAGAAAGCACTCATCACCTTTAAACTGACTGCGATATTGATAGGAATTTGCTCGCTTTAGTAACGGTTTATTATCCGGCAGACAAAACATCATATGTAAATGTCTACGGTAGTCCTCTTTGGGGGTTAAAAAAGAGATATAGGGTGCATTAATACATTACGATGATACTGTAAGAGTAAGCACGTATTGACGTCTAGTCCTATTAACGGCTTTTATATTGATTGAAATTGATCGTTTCTACTGTGTAAAAAATAACCTAGTGTTTCTTCTGCAACCAATTCACCATTAATTTGTAAGTTTGGATACATGACCATAATTGGGCAATTACTGTCAGGAAGCACATACTGAAAGACTTCCGGAATAGCATGGTTTGGATTTCTATTATTCTAATTAAAATTGGGAAAATTAAGTATGGAATTCCCCCAAAATGACGCCATTTAGTAATAGTAAAATTCTAGCTTAGTATAGCTAACATCTTGGAGTAAATTTTTCACTTCATCCAGTTGGATTAATATCGCATCTGTAAATAGTTTAGCTAAGTGCTTTACACCAGTATCTCTGAAGTACAAAACTAGAATTTCAATGGATAGCATGATTTCATGAAGTTTGCAGTTATCTAATAGAAAGGTTAAAAAATATAATCAAGATCTGCTGTACTACAAGCTAATATTGACTATAACACTAGTATATTATGAAATTAAATAGTAAAGTATATTTGCACATACTTGATAATAATACTTCACAGTCCAGTATGGGACTGTGCAAATTTGATGAGCGATCAGTGGTTTTTTGTAATAATTCCACGTCAATCCTTTTCAGTGACTATTGAAGGGACGAAAATGACGTTATCAGTTTCATCGTCATCGTATAATTACAGTGCATGTAAAATTTTATAAGTTTCATTGATGGCATATAAAATTTACCGGATTATCAGCCGATTTGGGTTGATTTTTAATAAAATCTCGGCATGTTTTAGCACTATCACAAGTTGCATCCGAATTACACGACAGCATAAGCTGCCAGTCCCGAATAAAATAGCAATTTCTTTGACTTGTTACAATCTGCCTTAACCTGCTCATTTCGCGTTCAATGCTTTCCTCTAAGTGTATTGGATAAAATTTATGATTAATAATACTATAATAAGATTGAAATATTACTGTAGCAGTATTTTATCGTTAGAATTTCATTTGACCAGGGCGAAAATTACACTAATATGCACTACTTAACTGTTATAAGGGCTGAAGTACACAGGAATGTCTACTTTTATTCTAAAATTGAGTAGTTTATCCTGCAAATGTTCCACTAATTTGAATTGAGTATCCACTGCTATCCGTTGATCCGAGTTGTGTATCATAACTTTATCGATTTCGCTTTTACCATCCACAACAATGCCAACCAGTAATTCTGAATTGTCTACAAGCTAATAAGTCAATAGTATTGCATCATAAAGTGCCAATAGAATTGATATTATTTTTGATGTCGGTTAAGCGACAACTGATAAAATCTGGCCATTCAACCTTTCAACTCTTGCTATCTTTGTCATTAATTTAATTAACTGGGCTATAGTAGAATGATACGTAAAAGATTGCAGTAATTTACCTTGGTGTCTACTAGCAGCTTGAGATTTTTTTTGCACGTTTCTGTTAAAGTTTGATCATTATTCCCTTTGGCTAGAAAGATTCCGCATACTGAAATTCCTAATAAGAACAATGAATCAAGGCTAAAACATTCAGCATGATACAACAACATTGCAACCAGTTATAAAATATTTCAATAAGATGAAAAGCCGAAGAGATTTGAATATATTGTCATCATAAAGACCGGTAAGCTACACTATCTTTGATACGTAGACTGCGAAGCAGGCATTTCAAGTCCTGTACACTATTGTAATCGATCTGACCATTTCCACACTATTGAATAGCTTGATTATTGCAATTGTAGTATAATCTGACCTCCAGGTAGAAATGGTTGGATTTTCTTTAAGCATAACTTCCAATCGGGAGAAGTAACGCCAGTCAATGAATTACATTTGGCGCAGCCCAAAATAAAAACATTTTGCTGATTGATCAATCCGTACAATAAACCAAAATGGTCATCACTGGATTGGGTTAATTTCTACTCCATGCACGTATACCGTTGATATTGAAAAAGGAAGAAAATTAAGATTATTCACGAATCCATCGTTATTTTCTATATCCAAAGTCAAAGAAAATTATAGAAATCAAGCCTAGTGACACTTGCTTTGCTGATGCATTCATCAATTGTAACTTGGACCATGTCCACATCGATGGCGATTAATCCTTTCTACAGTAACGAAAGCTTGAATAGATCGATCAATGTGACAGCTAATTTACGCTTGTCTATCTGTCGCTTGCAGTAGGGGATGTTGTCTTGTAGTTACTTGGTTGGAATAAAATCAATTTTGTTATTCACAGGCAGAAAAATGGAAGAAGAATTTTGGTTCCTTCTACAATCCGTCCAACAACAACAACCACCGTGTACAGTGTACAGTACAGTCTACTAGGAGAGTGCAGTACTGTACAGTAGTGTACTGTAGTCCTGGTGGTCGCAGGTCAGTCGCACTATGGTCATTCCATTACGTCACTCCGAACTCTGACAGTGCTGTACTTGACTCTCATCAAGTTTCATCTTTCCTAGGTGATCGACGCATTTGCAGTCAGTCCTTTTCCTTTTACTCATACAAATATTACAGTACTAGTACAGTATTACAAGATTCGTCTTACAGTACAATGTACACATCTCGCTACAGTATGTACTGTGCTTCGAGACTGAGACGAGAGAGAGAGAGATGTTTCAGAAAAGAGAACTGGATTACTGCAAGTACGCCTAAGAGAGAGAGAGACTGCTACAAAGAGAAAAGGATTCAGAACCCAATATGCTCTGATGTATCTATCTATGTCTATCTCTATAAATCGATAGAGACAGTGTAGAACATAATTAAATAACAGATTGTGACCTAGTACGGTTCTAGTTGGATGACGTTATTGTTCCAGTTGCGTACGCATTATCATCATGATCGACGGTATATTAGTGTACAACTGTACATGATTAGTGGGGAAGTGGGCAATAATATTACATACAGGAATGGTGGATGGCTGCCTGCCTTGTTCACTGCGCATTTTACATTCATCAAATCTTCTACATTATTGTTCTACTCAAGTCAGGCCGTTGAAACTAGATTGAAAGTGTTCATTTTACTTTGCCCACACTTTAAATCGACTGTAGTTGAAACGGTTTGATACGGTGGCTCACATCAAGCAATGTACTAAAACTTCCATTCATTCTACGGTCATACCAATCATGCCAATTGAAGAGCGGAGCTATGTTGTTGCAAGCATCCGTTTCCATTGCTTATGAATTATTCATTTATCAATCAATTAAGAATGGAATTGATCCCTTTGGCGATTATCCATAACTTTCTGTCTATCATGAATGAATGAGGATAGCTCAGTGTCAAGTTGTTCTCAACCATGACAGCAGTTTAATGGATCAGGCACATCATAGAATACAGTACAGTATACATTTTGCCTAAAAGATAGTCTACATTGCATACCATACTGGATGGGTAAATCGAGCTCATCCCATACACCACTAGACCTTCTAGATTACAGTACTGTACTATGGTGTACACTGAAGAGTATCGAACTCACGACTACCATCGTATTTGGCCATCTGAATTGAATCATAGCAATATTCAATTTCAACGGTAACACAGCTCTGTAATACCAAAAAGGCAAGGAAAGCTTTCATCTCGGTAGGAAATACCATCATCTTGCGATTTAGTAATCCATTTCCCTCTCTGGTCCTCCTTTCTCTCAAGAAATAATATTGACTGACCACTTACTTGAAACACAAGACTGTGCAAATCGTTCAAGGCAGAAGCTCAGACGTACGGACGTTGTGGACACCCTCAGCAAATTGCATTCTTGACGATATTCCGTCATTGGATTAGAGGACGTATCAACATGTCACGCGATAACCCATGCTGGCCTTGCCAAAATTAAAGTTATATTAAGTCAAAATCCATCATTAGCGATAAAAGGGCAATCATAGTTGATCAAGATAAGCCAATTTTGGTGGCTTTTGCCATCATACTTTCAGGGAATTGGTTATTAATCTCTCACTCGATCATTCCATTACCTTGTTCAATGACCATGACTCTAAGGATGCTGATTGGATAGTGGCTGCAGGTTTACTGGCACTCTTTTCTAATTAGGATTGCTTAATTATTCTTATTAGTGTTTAAAGATTGAGCCTGTGCTGTGCTATCGATTAGACTGGAATGATTTACTTTCCGATCATAAACAGTATGAACGACTACGTTCCTAGTAGTGCGATCAATCTTCTCGATTTACTACATCAATTCTGGCATTTCATGCGCCAAAATTGGATGGTCAATCAATATGAGGACTGGACTCGATTCTACCTGTGTGTACCGGCAATATTCTTTGCATTATTTTGGATCTTTCCATGGTAAGTACGATCAACCTATCCATACTGTACATTTAAATTACTCTTAAACTAGTATTCATTACATTGCAATGGCTGTTTCGGATGGAGTTCTACGTACTTAAAATAGAGAGGATGCTATTACAAGTTGATGCCAATCAATGCCATTGTAAACCTTCCATTTTGACGGGCTAGTTGCTATTTCCAGTACAGTATAGGACGCTTTGCATTTCAAACCAACTACTGCACCTAGCACTAGTCAAACCTACTAGAGATCGATAATACTGTACATTGATCATCATGTCCACCATAGTACTTCGAAGCACTATAGCCTTGACTTATTAAGCTATCCTATTGGTGCTTGCTTTTATCAGATGCACTTTCGGGTCGGTAGCACCTCCTAGAGGCTTATGATATGACCTTTTAACATTACTTCTCTCTGATGGGAATAGGAGGAGACGCAATTGCTGGTTTTGCAATCGCAATAATTGGGTTGCTACATCACAACGAAACAGTTGGTATTGCCAATTTTGCTCTCAATATAATGGCTTTAATGCAGTAAGTTACATTTTATCCGCTTATAGATGGTCATATTGGTTATCATATTTATATCTAGAGTGAATTTTCCAGTTTTATAATGTAAATCCTTTAAATAGATCTTTTCATCGATATTAAATAATCAACAATTTGACACGCTGTAGCTTTCTCGGCATATTTAGTTTATAATATTCACTTACTTAACTTATCTACTTGTATGTCTACGGTCATTGAATTGTATAAAACCTTTTTCTAGGATGGTGGTTATAACAAAGAAATAAACGAAATGGTGAATGGAAATCACGAATATGCAGACACAATAGTTATGAACAGAAACAGCTCAAACGGTACATCTTGAAATCATCATAAAAAAATATCACCATCTTGCTTGTGTTACACGATACTTTCCTTGCTAATATTTTCCTATCGCATTTTGAGCTACATATATTATTAAGTTATTTTATCTACCTTGATAGTAAAACAACCAGCTACACCTTTAACGATGCGAGCAACACTTTGTATAGAATGCTACAGGAAGCAAGAGATTATAATAAATCAGATTGCCAAATTTCCCGAGGTATGCAGGAACATACGTATGGTAATAGCAATAGTCATTCATTTTTATCCGCTTTTTCTCAGCACGAGGGAAACACAAATTTATTGATGGCTTATTTCCAATTCTATTCTTTAAATATATTGCTGAATGATCATGTAAAATCTCATTTCAAGAAATATGATAATAATCAACCATTTGAAGCATTCAAAGCCGCACTAGAAAAACAATATCCCTTATGTAAAAGTTGTCAATGTATCGTCAAACGACATCTAACACTACAAAATCGTTTCATAAAGTCCGAAATTTTGAAAGAATCATTAAAAAAGAGCATGATGAAGGTGCATGCTATCAGTAATATTGATATAATAATAATTTATGTTTTAAATCTACACAAGAATTTAGTAAGCTACATAATACAAGTAATAGTAATTTTATTAAACAAATTTATGTCTTTGCATTAATGACAACTATTATAGAAGTATGCACCAACCAACAGAAGACCGCCGAAAGTGATGATTGTTATTCAATTTATGGTACTATTTTGTTCATGCCTCCTACTAGCGAAAACTATGTCAACAATAATAGCTAACTGTAAATTTGAAGCGGGAATAGTCTGTAATTATACGCAAAATAGGTCATGGTCAATGGATACTCGTATAGTAACATCCCATTTGGAAGATTCCTATATATATATCATTGGCTTTACGCTTAATTTTATGATTAATTTTGGTATCGCACTTTATCAAATTGTGTTAAAGAGAGCTGTATTAATAATTCCGCTAGTCTTATGGATTGTAGCGTATGCAAAGGATAGCTGGCTCAGACTGGATAACATGACTGACAACATGACTGTATCATATTTAATTAAGATAATCTGCTGTATTGTAATCGTTATTCTAAATTCGGTAATATTTGTGCTTGTATTATGCAAAAGGATGGAAAAATCGAAAAATCGGTAATTATAACCATACTAAATAAATTTTAATTTTAAATTATTCAGATGGTAATTATCGTTGGATAATCTATTTTAATCCATCTAGTATTTACCATTTAATTTCCAGGTTGCGAAAGCATAAATTCCGGCGCCTTAACTCCAAATCGGATACTAACGACACGTCTGATTCAAGTTTAAGCGAGAGTTGGATGCCACAGTTAGAACAATCTTCGATGCTCAACAATGGACTACCAAGCAATGTTGATAATCTGTTTGATTCTTTAGAATCTTTAAATATTGGTGCTCGTCAAAGTCGTATGCCTGAATACCGTAATGGTAATTATGATTCATTTAATTTGCGATAATTAATCAATCTGTCAGTTTTCACATAATTTAGAATATTCTCGTTTAAAATATTGCAGTATTTTATTCTAATACCAACTTGGCAAACAATGTAACATATGAATCTGGTCAAAATATGGATAACCACACCAGGAGTTGTACAAGTAACTGTCCGAATAACAAAGAAATTGCTGCAATTTCGACCTTAGTTCCAAGTGAGTAAATACTTATATTTTGCTAGTATAAAGTTGTACCATGTTTGAAGTAACTGCATGCAATTATGTATTACAGATACATCCAAGTACTCCTTCAAAAGAATAGTAAAGCTATTGATAGCCAGTATAGCAATTAATGCTATTTTGGCTATAATATTTATGGAATCAGTATACGAAACTTTGGATAGCATACTAATGAAGCTATTGGTCAGCATAAATTCACTAACGTTATCATGTCCTTTTATCATTTAGCGATTAGTTAGTTTCTGCTTGATACATTTATAGAGAGTGATAGATTATAATCATTCTTCCGTGGCTAATCATTGGACTATTACCTTAATTTCATCCTTTTAGCACGTAAAATAATCAAATTTTTTCAATTCCTGAAAAAATACAACAAATATGTACTGTACCAAATGTTAATATTGACTATACAGGGCTATATATATAGCTATGTTTTTGCTTATTAAATCACGCTACCTTTGCGATTGATGCGCCTTAGCTGTTAAAGTAAATGTTACGATTATTATAATGACAGCCAAGGGATATGGAACTGTTAAGACTTATAGTGTAGATACTAAATTGATTCTATATAACGATCGTCTTTCCTCTTCTTTTCATCTCAATACAAATTTCAAAGTTCTACAAAAATATTAAACGTATTTCCTTAATTCTCTCCTCCCAATTTTTATTTATTCAGATATAAAATCCACACGGCCAAAGATTAATATTATTTAACCGCTTGTAATTGGCATGCTTTGTAGGTCTTGGCCTAGGTTTTGTAGTGTTTAGTTTCTTATCCTGTCATTACTAGTCCTCGATCAATGCTATACAAATCTAAAAAATAATACTTTAAACTAGTACAATAATAGAGTAGGCAACGAGGTAGGATCTAAAAGGGCCTTTTCTCAATCGCAGAAGGTAATTCATTATCTGCTATTAATCCAAAAATTATAATTTTGGTACAGAACTACTGGTTACTAATGACAACAAGCCGCTAATTCTGAGACATGTCACTTTAAATTCACGAGTTTACCTTGTCTCAAACACCTTATACAGTATCTCGCCTTCTGGCTTGGATTATATCAACAGCTTATAGTATACTGTAGTCCATACTGTAGAGATTGCAAACATAGCAGCTGTATCAATTTATATCAGTATTAGTAGCAGTAAATAACTTTTAAGGTCGTAAGTTACGTGTAACACATTCAATAAAATAGCAAGAATATTTCGATACTGTTATCAATCTGCCATAAATCTATTCATTAAGGCAAATACTGTATGGTCATCTGGTATATAATTTACTTGCTATCAGACAACATTTCGTACACGTGCACACCATCTAAAATTGCTATTAAAATTCTGTGCACTATGTTCATATTCTTAACCATTAGTAAAGCAGTAATTGTAATCCACAGCTGACAAGGTTATCCCCCCTATTTTAAGAGAATGTGAGATCCATTGCACGATCTGTACCTTGCAAATTTGTTGCCTTCAATTATGCATTACTAGAAGAATACCTAGTTTTCTTCTAGTGGTCTACGATTCAATGTATGCTTCAAGTACGGGGGTGTAGCTTATAGCTCAAATTACCCGTTTGTTACCGGTTTTAACTGCACTAAACGCTATAAACGTTTAATATGAGTACAGTAAGTTAAATCTTATTCGAGCTATACTGTGCACCACTGGTTTACTATTCACATTGCAATGCAGCACTCAAGATTTCTGCAAGATGTTCAATTCGTAAATTTTCACGTCTTAATTAATTATCATAGAATTAACATACTGTATTACTACAATTTACTGTACAACTACTGAGTAACATTACACAAGTCTGAATTCTGAGGTACTGTAATTTTAATTAGCTCAATTCATTAATTTCAAGATAGACGGGTAGACGGATTTCATCCGAGTTTAACATAACCGTTTTAGTTAATAAGAATGGCAAAGCAAAGTCAAAGGATACCATTGCCAACTTACAATAAAATAACTTGTATGCACTGCTAATTACTATCTCGCATCATGCCCTTCTTATACGCCCAATTAATAGACAGATAATGCCAATTTAATTAAACCATCTTAGCTTTAATACAAATATGGTAACACGAATGCCAAGATAAAGAACATTGACAATATCTTAAAAGCATACACTTTTCGCAATTAGTAACAAATTACTTATTTTGCTTTGCTAAAAACTCTTTCAATTCATGGGGCTTCATGCCCTGATCAACACCAGGAACTGGGGTGTCTTTCCAAGGAGATGTAGTATAACCGTTTAAGTACAGGCAGATACGCTTACTAGCCTCAAAAGACATGAACATTAAACCGGCATACGGAGCGACCTAATGAGCAAATAAAAATTACGTGGTCTTATTAATGCAAAAATCGAACAATATCAAGAATATGTTTACATAACAATTGACGCATCCGTAGAAGATGGATAATTAACACACAAGACAAATAACGATTTATGTAGTTGAAAGATTTTTAATTTGATTTACTAATTCAAACATTTTACATCATTCCTGAAAAGAATCAAAAATTACCTTAGCCAAGTTAGCAGTAGTACCACTCCATAATCCTAAAAGACCGTTCTTTCTGACAGTTTGGATAAAAGCGTCAGACATGCCAGTAAATTCGACATCTACGCCGCCGCCACCAGCAAGAGCTTTACTTTGAGCCTACAATGCGAGATATTTTTAGATTGATTTTCCATTAACATAACGTTAAAATAATAATAATAATACAGTAAAGAACAGATGCAAGTCAATAATCACCTGAAGCTTCTTACGAATGGTATCAAATGGGAAAGAGAATGTCTATAAAAAAATACAAAGGTATGTCGTACATGATTAAAAAGGCCACGATCAATGGATTTATCAATTCTAACTTTGAGTTACATAATTATTAATAGAATTTGATAACATGGATAACTGGTTTTCCCGTTATGTAAGATACAAATTGCAGTACCAGCTGTCGATAAATCATAGGTGTCACATGTCACCTGTAAGAACATACGCAGTGTACGGCATACTGCGAGCACTCGATCACGGGAAAAAATCAATAAATACTATTATGACAATGCGTAGTATTGTATAAAGACGACAAATCGATCATTAATTAAAGAGTAATTTAATAGCTTGATACTAATAATAGTTTGCACAACTATGAGGTTATAGCCTATTAAACGAAATAAAGTTAACTAAAAGACTTAATCTCGATTGATGATGATTCTACTAGTATGAAAAAAAATTGATGAATGAAAGGGCATATGTTAACGACTGTTGCATTACATACACAGCAGTAATTCCACATGTCGTATTCAAATAGATACTTCATAATAGCAGTATGCGGTTCTTACAGAATTAGAGCTAATGGCAGATGCTTGTACATCTCAAGCTCTAACGCAACAGAGCAAACTACCGTATATCTTGACACGTCTATACATCAAGTTCCAAAGTTATGTAATCACAAGTTATAATATTTATTACTGAAGTCAACAACGCCTAACTTTACCAACGCTGCTTAAAATTCGTCCTACCTGTGCGAAAGCAGCTGCCAAACATCCATTGATAAAGTTCTCCATAGGAGTCATTTCAGACTTCGGCTTGTTCCATGCTTTATCTAAAACTTCGTATGCCATAAAAGTACCTCCAGCGAAAGGAATTACACCTGCAATCACAAGTATAATTGGTCATTAATTTAAAACCATATCCATTTCATCATCAAGACTTTGAATGTAACAAAATGTACATATTCAACTGGCGGCATATATGTACATTCCACAAACAGTCATTAAAATAAAACCATTATTTTGGATCAATAATTATGATTCAATTTGGACCCATAAAATTGACTTACTAAATCTGTATGATTACATTAACGATAATTAAGCAATTTTATGTGCAGTAGTTAACTATTACTATTACAATAACTGTTTGATATTCTAGTCGGTCTTCTAGTGGACATAGTCGAATATAGAGATACTCTTTCAATGGAGTCGAAATACAAGTTGAAAAAAGTCACTTTATCAAAGAATATTTAGAATCCTACAGTATACTCGCTTATCAGTTTGAAACTGCGTCAGTAACAGTCTCTACACGAAGTTTTGGAATAATTTTTTAAACGACGCCTTAAAGATAAAGTCTAACATTTAGCGCTTGCAATTCGTTTGAGTATTGCACTCAAGGTAACAGCAAGTCATGACACTAGCCATTGACAGTTGTTGAAAGGATAACAGCTGTAACATAGTTCATGGATGTCTATCTGCTGATGGATGTACAATTTTATAGGGTCCGAAAATTCTTATTTTCCTAGCAACTAATTCAGAAAGGGCCACATGCAAATAATACAAGGCATAGAAACAACGCCCGTCCGGCTATAAAACAAAAAAAAAGTCCATTGTGGAGTAAGCCATGAATAACGGCAAATTTTACAACTGTACAAGTCCATATAAATGGACCCTTTGCTACCACATGGAAGACTACTATCGTAACAAGTGAATGAACAACATGGGCATATTTTCTACAGTCGGCCTTGCGGCGATGAAGAGTGAAAGATAGAAGATATGATGATATCTTTGACGAAGTTGAGTTGAATCGTAATTGGATACCCAACTCCATGAATTTATCTATTAAACGGCGGGCGGGTAGACTAGGAGTCAATTGGGACAGCAAGTCATGTCATTCTTGGCATTGATCGCATCCTGTATGACGGTTGAGTGAACAGCCGCCGCTAATTTTGTAGAAAAACCGCTATCAAAGACTAACTTACCAATGATTGAGGTAGACATTCCTTTATAGAAAGCGAGAAAGCCTTCATCTCTGAAAATGACACGGAAAGCATCGAAAATACCCTTGTAATGGGCCTTGTCTTTGCTAGCGTGCTGGGCAGTTAAACGGGTCTTGACCATATCGGTTGGATAAGTCATGACAGTAGCAGAAATACCACCCATTGAACCAGCTGCCATAGCGTTCAAAGCGGACAGTCTGCCAGTCTCTTTATCGGCCATCATTACCTTCAATTTGTTAAAAGCAGCAAATTGGACAGCACTGTAAGGGAAAAGACGGATACATGCGATACCATTTCCCTTCCAGAAAGCACGGACACCTTCGTTGGTGTAGACATTGGAGAAGGTTTTCAAGAAACCTGCTTTGGTTTCCTTAGTACCGACTTGAGCCAAAATTTTAACTACGTCCAATGGCGATGTAATCGTACGAGATGTAACACCAGCTAAGCCACCAGAAACGAAATTCTGGCCAAAGGTCATACGATCATCCTTCTTTGATTTACCCATAATGTCTTGGTCTATCGACTGATAATTCCACTTGGAAACTAGTCAATGAAGAAGAGATTCAAAAAACGCAAGGAAAACTTTCACCTAACTAGGAAAGATTCTTGCTCCTGTGTATTCCACGCTAAGAGGAGAAAGGGATGAAACAGCGGTTGCCACATGGAGATAAAGGAGTTACAGGCCTAGAGGGGGGATCAATTCAATTCAACGTGACGCACTGCCCATTCTATCCGGTACGGTACGGTACTGCCTTTGCAATATGGGGTCTCCCTTTGTAGGGTCACAGTCAGTGGTCACTAGGTGATGTGGTCGAGGATAGAGGGTATACACTGTGCACGACAGGGTGTACGATACAGCATACAGTATAGTAGGGCGGTACTGTAGAGCACAGTACTTTACACTCAGTATCTACAGTATACAGTACTGTACGCTACGCCGGGTACGGAACAGGCGCAGTGGCGGAAAAAACACAGCTCTTGCTGTACTAGGCACCGTACAGTGTTTGAGGACTACAGTAGATGGCACGATGATTGTTCTCAGATCCAGTCTCAACTGCAAGTTTTTTGCCTCCCTTTTTTGATACCTTTGTGGTCCAACTGGTCTTGCATCACTTTTCTTTCTGCAGGCCACGGACTAGCCACGACCCACGGGCTGTACTGTAGTATGACGTACGGTACTGACGGCCCAGTCACGGGTGGTGTTCCATAGTGGGCACGATTGGTACTGGTACCGTACTGGTTCCGGGCTACTGGCACTCATCACCATGGTGATAGACATCGAGGACCAGTGGCTACGGTAGAAAATGGCGTATTCAAAAGTAACAGTATACCTAAGCAACCTGGGTGCTGTCATCGCGGTACAGACGTCTATACTGTATTGGTCTGCATTGAGGTGTTAAACTGCCTTGGCAGGCTGGCTGTCTTTATGATCGACTGCTCTTTCACATTCGTTTACTAGCAGCTTGATAATACGACATACTAAAGGTCAAATATCCACCTTTGCAAAAAGTTTAAAGGTCATATTATTGGTCTTATTATGGATTAGAGCAACGTAGCCCGGCGCTGTACTATACGATACTATAGTGCTCTATCCAATCCTCCTTTTTGAAGTGCATGCCATCGAGTGTCTACCAGACAGTACAGGCAGCTAGCCGACAGGGATTTTCATTTGTAACTTTTAGCCAAGTAATAAGCGATAGCCGTAGTTTAACGAAAGCATGATACTATATCGCAATTCTTTTATCATCCAATTCCAACTCGTTGACTACAAACCTTCGACAGGTGTAACTGTACCACGTCGTTGTACATCAATGGGACAGTCAAATGAAATGGAACTAATGCATATAAATGATCACGCATATTACAGTAAAAACAGCCTAACATAACATTTCAATGCAGTCCAATATACGCGTACGTTAATAAATAAATAAATGAATCATATGATAACAATCCAATCTTAAAAAGTGGCACTTTACATCAATTCCTTTATTAAAATTAGACGCCTATTGATCGATAGTAAGGATGTAAACCACACCAGAACATTACCTACTTTTCCATTGCATAACGGTCACTTATATTCATTATTAGACTGATTCACATAATTTTACAATTTGTAACATCGTTCAGTTATTTTCCATTCATTAGTATCTTATACTTTTAGGAATAATACAGTGGCATATATTTCTTAAATTTTAACAAAGTTTAGCTCAATTTACTTCTCTGTACAGTATTTAACAAAGTCTAGCTTTCTACGTCCTAACACTATCATACACATATGATCGAGTCTCAAACGCCAATTCCAAAAGTCGTAATTAATCAATATACGAATATCAACAACAACATCGATATAGTATACAAGTATATATACACTCTCATAGATAATCCTATCCGAAACGACGCAAAACTGCAAGCTATGCAATACAACATGCACAACTTAGACAAAATGACAGCGAAACGAATGCCAAATCCAAAATATTTTAAATTCTTATCTTCTTATATTCGTTCATAATAATATCAGTTACCGGATATGAACGTTACGGCTATTATTGCATCACGTTTATTCACACTTCACATTGGAAAATATTACTATTCGACGAAAGTATCAGCTGATAGACAAGCATTGTCTGGGATAAAATTTGTATACATTAAATTTATAGTGGCATTGTGTGATAACGGAATCATAAACAATCTTAACGACAAACTCGTCAAGGAATCATTTCTGTTTCACTCTAAATTACAGTTATTGTATATGACTGACATATTCAATAAAAATCAAAACGGCGAATATTTGGCAAAGTAGCCTAATCGTTCCCGAAGTTGTAAATATATTTCATACGCTACTATATCACAGATTTAAAATTCAAAGCAGTGCTATTAATTTCTTCTTTTCGACCAAACATTTGGGATGCCATAGTCGCAAATTTTTTAACGTAATCAACGCTATCTTCATTAAGAATAGATTCCATTGCGGAATGGGTCTTAAAAAATCAAATCAAAAATTAACTTTACTAGGTATCATAGATAGTCATCCAATCTAATTTATAAAAACGCAACCAACTAATGTAATAGTTAACCAAAAATTAATTTGTCGTATTAGGTAAACCAATTTTAGTGTCTTACTTGCTTCACAAATACTCAGAATCTCCACTTACATCTTTTATCTGATTTATAGATTGATGACTGTCTACTATTTTCGATTCACTACATTCGCTTCCATCATTGCCTTCTGTTCCTATAAATGCAAGGGAAAACGCCATTCTAAAACATATTACGGTTAAGATAAGGTGATGTCAGAAAATGCAACAAACCTATTAGATCACCAAGAGAGATATCAAATGCCTACACGTATATAAAATCGCATGTTAAATCAAAGATGTTGATTTTGGTCAATAGAGTCATTACTTTATTTAGAAATGACACAAACTAAATAATGAATACCTCACTACTAATCCAATCTCCTACAGCTGTAGTCGAATCAGTGTTTAGATCTTCCGTTTCTCCGCAAGTATCAACAGTTGATTCCTCTATGCATTCTTCTTCCCCTAATACAAGGCTTATATTAGTAATTCTTTTCCATAAAAATTACTCCAAGAATGAAATATAAAAGCTATTCTCAAAACGAACCTGATAGCCTGTCACTGATATCGGCATTTATTCGAGAATCTAACGAAGACTTAAGAGCTTTGGAAAATGCTTTGTCTACAGCCATATCTAGAATACTATTAGTTTGGCCATTTTCGGATGATTTAACGACTACTTCCATATTATTACATGTACTATCCTCAAAAACAGGATCACCATGTACAGAAGGGGGTGTAACACTTGAAGGACTATTAAAAGTTGCAATTTGATTAGATGATAGTTCATCATTTTTACTAGCAGTTGGAGTTGGTATCACACTTCCTGATGAGACGCTCAAATTTGCGGGTATGGAGATAGTTTGCAACTGAAGCGGCTCAGTATCTTTTTGGCCATTCTCGACTGTGTGATGTAAATTAGAAAGTGACATGTCCGGAAATACAGAAACTGCAACAGCACCAGGAGGTGGGTTAGAGATACGAGGTAAGATAATTCTCCTCTAAAGAATAAAAATCCCCTTTAACAATTTTACAAAAATCATAGGCTTTTTTCTTTTACGTTAAGAATTATGTATACATAAATATATATATATGCTCAGAATGTATCTTTTACATGTGGAACTATGGGACGTCCTTTCGTAACGTTCTTATATTTTCGGCCTTTGGGTAATGCTATCGTTGTTACCTATTATATGTTATATTTTATTTATAAAAAAATAATTAATAGCCCTTCTGTGATAACTAATGCTGTACCAAATTCTTACCGTATTTGCTTGAGTAACAATGGCAGTTGTAGGCGATGTGAGTGGACGCTTTTCTTGACTATAGTTAAGATGACATCAAATTATCCACTATAAATATCACTTCTACAATTACATATTAAATAGAGATTGATATTAAACGGTTTAACCTTTCCGCTACAATGTGCACTCTTTTATTGGGGTTACAAACAGGATTAGAAGTTGGTCTGGTGGTGTTCTTACAATTTTCAAGCTCCTTCACCATATTCGATGTAGAACCATTAACGCCTCGATTATTAGAATTAGAATTATTCTATCAAGTATAGAAAGTGAATACAACTTTGTAAGAAATCATTTCATCTTCAATTAGTATTAATAGTTTATCTATCACCTGCTTAATGAAAGCAAATTCTGCATCAGCTAATTCAGCAAGTCTTTTCAAAGCTAAGCTAAAACCATTACTGCCTGAACTAGTACCATCCTGCGATAAGAAAGTATTGAAATGCCAATACCGCACATGAGTTTAGCCCTTATTTAACTTAACAATTGTAGTTCTTATTAGGAAAAAGTCCTTTTTGGATGAATAGGCATGCAATGTTAACGCTATGCAAATATACTGTATATTCTCTTTAATGCTCTACTAACAGAATCTTTTCTATTTTCTGTCCATACGTATTTCATTTGTAGTTTTTCAGGTCTACCAAGCTGTAGAAAGATAATAAAAAAATTGTCCAATTAATGCATATGAGCATTGGTATTCATACGCGTATATGTCAACAGTAATAAGTAATATAGAATAGTTACGATACAATCGCATTCCAAATACTAGTAGAATCAGGTACCTGCAAGTAAATGTCTCCGATAGATATGCCGTTGCAATTGCTTAAGTTCCACTGAGCCATTGATTCTTTTTCACTCTGATAGCTGTATTACAAAGTTAATAATTATGCATTGTCAGCTATCTAAGGCCAGTAATTATAATTTTCAGGTTATAAATAAGTTACTTTCTGCACAAATGGATTAACTGAATACCAACTGTTACCTCGTATTTTCAGTAATTGATTGTTTGTTATTCGATTGCATCGTACCATCTTTACTTGAGGCCTGGACAATATCAGAAGATAGTTTATCTTCATTATTATCCTCATTGGGTGTGTCTAACATTAAATGTTGATCTCCATCTAATGATTCGTTCTTTTGATCATCCATTTTGTAGTTTCCATTACTTTTGCACTGAGATACAGCTGAACACTGATCATTGCCAGCATTCACAGAATTTAAATTTCTTACAGCTAGAATGGATAGATCTAGTGACGTGCTGGATGTTTCCTACACAAAAAGTCAATTTATCTTGCAATGATTATCAAGATTAATCATTTTCTTCTTAGTGCAAATTAACAATGTAAGTGCTTACATGAAAATCTTCATGACGCTTCCACTTTCGCTGCAGATATTCAATCAAACTTGCCATTGACTTTCTAGAAGGTAAAACAACTCTAGAAAGACGAGAAAAATGAAAATGAGTTGAAATAAAGTCTGCAAGTGAATAATAATAATTACTATGCTGATTGTGTATTACCTAAGACGAGGATTCTGTGAAATTGTTTGCACTACAGTCCAAGAAAAATTTGATGCCGGTTCCAGTTCTACAATTAACTTTTTTGGCATTCTAGATATAAAGTATAACCAGTTGTGTCATAATAAGTTTCGTACTTAGCATAAATCTAGAATAAGACAAATACATAAGACATGAACCTACTTGTGGGGATATTTAATAGCGCTATCTGAATCTAATAGGTTGAAAAAATGGATAATTTTCAAGATCGTACAAGTCAATAATTCATTTAGAATGTGATTTTGCATAAACAAACAACATACGATTAGTATGTCCGTCCCCCTTTGTTAACACCTTCATTGCTTGATTATACGGAGCTTTGATCCTACATTGGGAAGTTCAGATTATATTTTATTGCTATGATAATTTATAATAAGCTTAGTCCACAATGCATAGGAGATTCATTTCTGAATTCATAAAAGTATAGTAACTGAAATATTACTATTAGAAAGAAAATTTAGCACTATCTCGACTAACTTGACATTGCGCCCTTGGTAGCGAACACAAGTTGAACTAGAATAAATGCACAGACAGTTAGTATCATGATCATCACTAAAAATAAATAGACAATTTGAATGCAAGGCAATGATCATCGAATATCCATCAGCTATCATCATGCACTAATTACCCCTTTGTGATTAACTCATTTAATTTCCTGACTTCTTTTTCTGCAGTGCCTAATGAGTAAAGAATACGTACAATAAATCCATATACAGAATTATTCGAAGTATAACAAATCGCTCTTAACTAAGCATTAAAAATTACAATAATATTCGAGAGAATACTAACCCAAATAAACCTTACGTTAAAAACAATACCATTAATATTTTTTACCTTTAATTTTTTTTCTCAATTCCCCGTAACATATAAGGCCACATAATTCCTGATTAATTTTCTTGCCATTAATATAAATATCTAGAACAGCAACAAAAACTTTAGTCGTTAATTTTGTCCAGGCAGCATAGTAATTACATTTACGCATCCGTGAAAGTATCACATTAGTACTCTTAATAAATAAATAAATTTATGGGCGCTATTTTTTAGATTCCATTCAAAGAATAACAGTAATTTTGACATGACAAGGTTACTCTTCCTTACCTTTATTTCTATCCAAATATTTCGATATTTTATTCCAAGTTCGATAATAGAAATGACGAACCTTCAACATACAAAGGACAATTTTTAGCTATTAGTGTTGTCATCTAGCCATAATTATTAAATTTACTTTGTAATGTAATTAGGAACGAAATTAGCCATGACAGAACAGTAACCCGAAATGATCCTAAACTATTTAGGAAAGACTACATTTAGCGGCAAGGAGTTGAGGATAGACGTTCGCTGATAATCATGGCCAAATTTTTATAATCCTAGATGCATACAATAGAATTGTGTACCTGATCTTTATTTTTGATCCAGTCCGAAGGGTCACCTCGCCTGCGATATTTGGTAGCGATGTAGCTTTGTATTTTATCAAAGTCTTTACCATACTATTACGTAATAAAGGTATACTTTTCAAAACATGATTAGGATACTTTCTTACACAATGCATGTACATAGACGATCAATTTCACCATACTACTTTACAACTGAAGATAGTACACTAATTCATTTTCCAATTAATCTAATATTTATTAACTAGCCTTCCTGTAGATACTAAGTAAAGCACAATGTAACTTTTCCTGTACATCAACAATATTTAATTATTAGCTGTTCTGTTAACGAAAATTATTACGAAGTTATACTATTTTATTCCAGGAAGTGATCGTGTTGCAGTTTCAGATCTGAGAGACAACGTTATCTACAGTTATTATTATTCTTATACGTTACGATAATAAGTCCTCCTAGTTCACTACATTACCGTCATACGATATCATGCTATTGCATTGGCGTTCACTATAACAGCTTGTAATACTTTATATTTTCACACCTCGTTTAAGGCTTCAAAAAATATTCGCTTGTCATCAACACCCCATGATTCCCATTGTCTTTTTTTGGGACGCACTTCAATACCACCATTCGTTGTTTCTAAAATACGAAATTGTTGTATAAACAGATGATGTTAATGTCAAATTAGCCCACGAGGCTTAAAAAAGAAGTGCTAAAATTGTTTTCGATCATTGATGCATAACCAGGACTGCGTTTATCTTCTATTATCATGTACAGCATGTTATCATGCATTTGATTCATGTCAGATATGCTCAACAAGAAGATGACGTCTACCACACGTTATTATTCATTCCAATACTATGAATAGCGGAGAAGTAACCGCTTAGATGGTCATGTATTAAATTGACATTGGCAATTAAACCATCATTAGCAATTCATGATTAAGATATCCTCGTATTCTGTAATTCTAAGACAAAGTATATCAGACAGACATTCATGATTCTGACTGATATTGCGAGTTGGTGATACATAATATGTTGAGTATTAAAAGCAGGCAAAGTATGTAAGCTACGTATAAAGCATAATAAGTAGCTATTTGTAGTCAAAAAACTATTACTGAGCGACGGTATCATTGTATCGATACGATGAATATTCTTGTGTAACCTATCTGACCATTGTAACAAGAAATATCTTGCAAAGCAATTCTTTTCGCCTTACGCAAGGAATAATTTTTATTAATTACCTTGTTCGCTATTGGCAGAGTTTATTTTCCTTGAACGTTTGGTAGATTTGCGAGCGTTGACATTGTTATCGTCCCTGCTGTTATCTTTACTAGAAATTAATGGTATAGAGGGCGAAAAATTTGGTCCATCCAGGCATTTATCCTCCAATTGATTGGTCTTGTTGATGTTGTGAGATCGTGTTTCATGCACAATGGCCATTTTTTCTTCTTTACATTGATAGTTTTGATCGTTGACGTTCTCAACCTCGAGCTCACCATTGCTATTCTCCATAGCTGCTATCCTTTTTATCTTGGGTCAACTATAAAGACTAACCACAATCAATCTATCGTCACCGTAGGGTAATACAAGTACAATACGAATTGTAAACTTGATAATTTCAATCCAACTGATATTTAAATTACTATAGTGAATGAAAAGGCGGATGAAAGGAACCCTCTTTGGACGCTATCCTTTAGCAATAAGGGTTCGCTAACTGCCAGAATTTTAATGCTACTACGTATCCAAGGCCATCATCTCTCACTGTATATTCTTAGATTAAATGGAGTCAATGATCATCAATCACTGTCGTATCTTCTATGTGGAGAAAGCTCTTCATCTACAAATTGGTTGGCATCGTTGATGATATTATTACCCGTTCAAATTGTTGACAAAATTGAATAAAGCATCGAAATGTACATTGATGTTGTCCAGTTCCTGTATGGACTGAGCAGGACGGGAATGTTTATATAGTGCTACTGCGTACAATGTACAGTACATTGTACGCAGTAGGTGGTGTCCTGTACTGTACTGTAAAATATTGCAAATGGTTTTGCAAAGAGTGCTCGGTTCAAAGGCACGCAGCCATACGAATGCGTAGGGGTACGTTCCAAAGCTGCCTACGCACTACAGCGCACTGTATGGACTTTCATCATTTCCTTCTGTACAGTATTAAATATGGTTCTTAACGCACGCTGATACAGAAAGTCTACTGAGCAAGTTTTTCATACTACAGGCTATAGTGCTACTGTATAAGTCTGTATTGCTGTAAGACATCCTGTAGTACAGCAAGCAATCAATGGACGGTACTCGGCCCACCATAGTAAACAATGTCCAAATGAATTGAAATTGAGCACCGAACTTCGATCATAAACTAGAAAAATTTAGTCTATACTGTAATTTGATAGAAGATTATGCTATGGCAAAGGATAGAATGTTATTTTGGGAGTTGCAAGGCAGCAAAAATGCACAAATGGCAATCAAATCAATGAAATTGGAGCCAGAAGAAATACGCATACATACGGTAAATGGTACTGGCGACAAAAATTTCCTCTCGGTAGTACTCTACTTTGACATTGAATCATAATATCGATACTGCATTTGGATAGTAGATTACGCTATTGCAAAGGATGGAATGTTATTTTGGGAGTTGCAACGTAGCAAAAATGCACAAATTGCAATCAAATCAACGAAATTGGAGCCAGAAGAAATACGCATACATACGGTAAATGGTACTGGCGACAAAAATTTCCAAACGGTAGTACTCTACTTTGACATTGAATCATAATATCGATACTGCAATTGCATGGTAGATTACGCTATTGCAAAGGATGGATAGTTATTTTGGGAGTTGCAAGGCAGCAAAAATGCACAAATTGCAATCAAATCAATGAAATTAGAGCGAGAAGAAACACGCATACATACGGTAAATGGTACTGGCGACAAAAATTTCCTCTCGCTAGTACTGTACTTTGACATTGAACCAGTATCTGCATGCATTTGTATCTTTTCAAACTACCATGCAAATACCCATTTAGTACTATCTTGATATATTGATGGTGAATATCATCTACCGTCATTACAGCCTTGAAGCATTATTAATAATAACATTAACCACAAACAATTTTAAAGAAAGTCTACACGTATATCTTTCGTAATAACGCAGTAAGACTGAACGGCATGAAATTTACAGAAACTTCAATAAGAACGATTACGTGAGAATGTCTGATAGTTCAAACAGATTCTCAAAGCAGAGTTCAGTCAGTTCACTACAGTACAACAATATTCATTTACACGTACAAGATGAGTTTGATTTTCATCGTAAGATTGAAACAAGAGCAAAAACTTGACCCAGTGTTATTTTAATCGATCTTATGCAATCGTGAATGAACACGTGAAACAAGGTAACAGAGTGAAATTGTAAAACGCAGGCTTATTTCTGTACAATAATGCAGCACCGGAAATCTTTTTTGGCATGCTAAGCTATCTCGGGGAAGAAGTTTGAACTTAATCTTTGCCCATAAATTGATGACAACGATTCTTATTTTGTGCTGGATGGTATTGTACAACAACAAAGTGTAAAATCATAAATGTATTGCGTGATTAATTTTCCCTTGTATACTAAAGTGTAACTGATGAAACAGTAAACCCTCTACTTTTATGAACGACTTCGATTACTTGAACTTACAAGACAGTTAACAAAATAATATGCTGTCTTCATTACGATCAATTTGTTCAATTACAACCATAAATTAGATTTAACTTTATCATTTTACTATATCCTATCATGATCTAGCCAACCACTTCTCATCGTGTATCACCGTGCTACACTATAAACGTCCATTGCAGGTATTCTATATAGTATGCTAGAAAGTTCATACCTTCAAGCCAGCACGCGTAGCTCAACATTTGTTTGCATGACGAGCAGCAATAATCCACAGCTTGTTTCAAATTTGCAAGACTCTAATTCTTGATTAGAAAAGGACGTACAAATCTTCCTATCTGCTGTTCTAAGCTTTGAAGTTGCGTGATTTGATATTGAAGTCCAAAGCTTAACCCACAGGATAACAATTTTCTCACACCTAATATTGTTCAGTAAGCATCAGAATGGGAATAAATAGACAGGGATGCAAAACTCTGCACTCGCATTTTATATATCACCTGGCGACAGGTGCTGTATGAACATCTTCGTGCTCATCACCGGCAATACAAATTTTTGGCGGGAAAACCGTTTAATTTATGCGCGACCTTTGCCATCCGTATATCTGTATGTCCGTGTTTTATCCAAGCAAGCTACTGTACTGTAGCGTGACTGGGCCAGATTACAACCGTCATGCTGTCATCGTACTGGACGGTAGATACAGTTAGTACTGTATGGGCAGTAGAACAGCGACTGCTAACTGTAAATGAAGATGGAGCGGTAGCCATGCCGCGAAAGCCTTCATAAATACAAATCCTTCTGCTGTAAGAATTTGCTCCTAATATGATTTCGTCCCTTCCGCCTCCTAAATTCATAGAGTGCACGAGTCTTCTAGTTTCCAATTTCTTTTGACATTGTGGATATATGGGTAATAGACTGTACACTGTACAGTGTGCACACAAAACCGCGACGAAAGTAGTTGCATCAACAGTGCAGACTCTAGAAAGATTAGGTCTGCTGGTAGTCCATAATTGTACATTATTTATTGAATTAATTACTGGCCGATCTTACCTCTTGCCTCTATGGATCATTCGGTCGTTATACTTTGACTAGTATAGCATATTTGTACTTTTAACCATGTTATATAATCTATCACTGTCACAAGTTGGCTCTTCAATCAATATGATGACTTTTCATGGATTAGTTATGACAGTATTATTATGATGATACTTCTGAATCATTCATGCACGGTCACGGTGCCCTAATTTAAAAGCAATTGATTTATTAAACTTATTCAGATCTATTAACGCAGTAAGTCATCCATCTTTGACCTTTAATTTTTATTTCAAATATCATGACTCGTATCCTACGCAATCCCATGAAGCCTGATATGGTAAATCGAAATTTCTCTCCATCAGACAAAGGCTACTGAGAGCCTTCATCATGAAATGAAATAAATACATTCATACTTCTACTACAGCAGGCATTGCTATACGAGTATTATGTTAGAAAGATACAATATAATATAATTAATCTGAGGAGATTTTAACATTTTGTACAATAAGTAACGAATTATAATTCTATATAATGCAACAAGCACATTGCTTGGCTGTGTTGTAAAGCAAAGATGATTGAATGGGTGAAGTTATACTAGACGTTATAGTACAACGATCGCAAAAAAAATGAATTTAACCCGTAAACATGATGCTAGGATAAAATGAATTCTTTCGTTATCATCACTATTACTGTACTATATAGAAGTGCATCATGCACATGGTCTACTGTAAATTTAAATTATAATTATTCATATCAATTCGTTATGAATGCAATCTCTATAAATATTCTATTTATCTGATTGTCTCATAACAGATTATTAAGACGACATCCCTTTACGCGTAGACACCGTCAAAATGGGTATTTGAAGTCCACAAGCTATTTTCTTAACGTCTCTACAAAGAAATGACGCGAAATCAAGGAGCATATCACTATACTTAATCCCTATTTTAGCATCACTTGCTCGCTTCTGCAGAGTCTATTTTAGGTAAAATTGATGAATTAATAAAATCCTGAAGCCATACAGAGGTTGACGATTGATGTCCAACTCAACAGTGGCATGGATTAATGAATAAAGAAATCGCAAATAACGCCATCTTAGAATTATTATACCTGCAAAAGCAAACTTATTACTAGATAACCAAACAGAAGAGCCGATCAGGCTGAGTTTATGGCCAGTAAGGCTCTGTAAATTAAATTGACAAGACGACGGTTAACTACTATACATAGAGTTGCGATTTAGGTACTGTATACGCGTACAGCTATTTCATACACAGAAGCAAAGAAAGATATTAAGGGTTAATATATACAGTATTGTATAGTTAATCATCGTCGGAGAAATCATCTTCCTGGGAGCGAATAGTTTTGTTGACCGCAAAATGAATTGATTTTTTAGAATCAGTGGTTGGTGGCTCATAAATATTACCACTGTAATTTATCACTTCAGCTCTAGCGATCCTCCATTCCATCATTTCATTTGAAAATTCATCGGTACCTCCTAATTCGTCGAAACCAATTATCCTATCTACAGTTTTACCATCCTTAATTAATACAATGGTAGGTAGCATTTTGACTTTTAATCTCTCAACCAAAAAGTGTGCTTTTTCCACGTTGATCTTTATAAATCTAGTTTCAACATGCTTGGGGGCTAATTCAGCTAAATGTTTATCAACAATTTTGCACCTAAAGGTGCTATCACGATAAAAATGGCAAATAAGACGAAAGCTCTTTTTGGTAGCCTGGAAAAATTCTTTTTCGTCAGCAACTTCCGAATACGAGCCATGGCCTTGAGAAAACCATTCTTGCTTTTGAGCGTTTAGCTTCTTCATTTGTTCGAGTCTTTTCGCTCTGATGGTTTCTAATTCATCTTCATCCAAGGTCTCTAATCGATGCAGCTCAGCATCGACCTGATCTTCAACCATCTTGGTTGCCCTTAATAAATGATCTTGGAAAATATTTTCTAAGTTTTGTGCCATGTTGATATTTGAGAGGACGAGGTCAAATGATAGATTCAGCAGTGAAGTAATGATCAAAATTGGAAGAAAATTTCTACAAAATGAATGAAATTGGTAAAATACGTTAACAAGCAACCCAATAGCATCGATAGTACATGTATTTATGTACTGTGATAATTTTAGAGTACTGTTGTATAGAATCAGTCTATCAAAGTGACAAATAAGGTGTGCTACTATCCTGTACTTTATCTAGTGACATGATGACTGCATCAAACGGGTTGAGCAAGTACTGTAGTGCAGTTGTGGCTATCAGCCACGGAGTGTACGGTAGTATCGTGATCAATGAGCTTGCATGCTTGATTAGACTGCCAATGTTAGAACAGTGAACTGGAGTAAAGCTATCAGCTATTCTCCAACGTTAACGACTACATCGCAAATTGTTCATTTTCAACCAGTAATTACGAACTTTACCGCTAGAGAACGTAGTAAGCTCAAGAAACTAATCAAGATACAGATGGTCTACTGTGTACTGTAGTATCGTGATCAATTAGCTTGCATGCTTGATTAGACTGCCAATGTTAGAATAGTGAACTGGAGTAAAGCTATCAGCTATTCTCCAACGTTAACGACTACATCGCAAATTGTTCATTTTCAACCAGTAATTACGAACTTTACCGCTAGAGAACATAGTAAGTTGAAGAAACTAATCAAGATACAGATTGTCTACTGTGTACTGTAGACTACAGTCTGTAGTATCGTGATCAATGAGCTTGCATGCTTGATTAGACTGCCAATGTTAGAACAGTGAACTGGAGTAAAGCTATCAGCTATTCTTCAACGTTAACGACTACATGGCAAATTGTTCATTTTCAACCAGTAATTACGAACTTTACCGCTAGAGAACGTAGTAAGCTCAAAAAACTAATCAAGATACAGATTGTCATCTTTGACCGCTTGAATCCGTACAATTGGACTTCATCTCCAAGCTGGTTAATCAATCAATCGTCCAATTTGAATTTGTACCTGTGGATCGTTAACCAATGGTAAGAGCAAGAGTCAGCCACTTTCCAGATATGAATGACTGCGCCAATGAGCGTCTACATATAACAGTAGAGTGTACAGTACAAGCGCGACAAGATTGTTTAGATGTGTTTTGGACGTTGCTACACAAATACGAACGATCGAGTGGTCACTACTGCGCAGTACCACATACGACGGTACCATGGCAATGGTAGTAATACCAATACAGTACTGTACTCTGCTGTAGTAGTCTATTCCGTCCGTCCATGACTGCGACCGTACTGATGTACAGTACAGTACAGTAGTACAGTACAGTAGTGTACTGTATCGTATTTCTTTTTGTGTACAGTACAGTACAGTACTGTACAGTCGTTGGATCTTTCTTTCTTACTACAGTACATTGTACTGTAAAGTCGGAAGAAAAGAGAGCAACCTCTCTTTTCTTTATATTGTGCTGTACAGTACAGTACTGTACTGTTTTAGTCTCTGATACAGTACATTACAGTACTGTACCATACTGTACTGTACTCAATGTGATCCGTTTTCTTCCATACAGTATTGTACTGTATGTTTGAATACTGTAGTAAAAACTAACTACGAGGAAAACGCCCCAAAAGACCAATCGTTATGAACATATGTACTGTATACACATACAGTACAGTAGGTCTCTTATTGTAGAAAGTTACCCACTAATCGTACATATTAAAACCAGGGGTTTCCAAGACTAATACTCTTACAAGTCTCTAACCACGCATTTGCCATCCATTTTGTACCCATGGATTGGATCACGTGTTAAAGGAATACAGTACTGTACGTATTGTACCGCATACTGTACAGTATTGTACTGTACTGTACAGTACTGTACAGTACAGTACAGTACACTCATGCACTGTTCTGTACTGTAATGTTGTTGTAACCGGGACCAGGGTGTACTGTACTGTACTGTACTGTACAGTACAGTAATACAGTGCATTGTATTGAATGGATTATACTGTAAGTTACTATATTTGGATTGCAAGTCATCAATCATCATCAGCTTCATCAGCAAAAACTACAATACAATACTGTACATTGTACAGTGTACCGTACTGTAAAGTGTTTGTTTTAGCAACCATATTAATAAGTCCATCTTTACAGTAAAAAAACAACGTTCTGCAAACGTTGGAAACGTCTCATTGTCGTACACGCTAAGGTATCAGTCAGACGAATCACTGTAAAGCAAAAGAAAGAGTCTTTAGCGGTCCCTAGAGAACCCAGTAGTCCCCAATGTCCAGTACGATGTATAGTACTGTACTGTACAGTTCCAGTTACCACGCGGTTAAAAAAACTCTCCAATTTTCTACTATTGTACTGTAGTGTACTGTACTGTACACTGTACTGTACAGTACACTACACTACGCACAACACTGCCAAATACACTACCGTACAGCACAGTACAGTACCATAGAGATGAAGAAAAAAACTATAACACAACCTACACTGTCTAACGTCGCCTCATTCTTATTGCAACACGCCACCGAGAAGGTCGACACGGTGACACGTCAACCGTAAAAAGTTTCAACAGCAACTTCAAGGTAGTTATCCACCCATTAACTGTAAAGATAATTTCCATTCAGTATTTCACTGTCCTGTACATTGAAAATCTTTTACTTGACAGTGATCTTAACGTCCATTTTGGATAGCAAACTTGGCTATCTCCCTTGCTTGACTTCAGTATTGCTCAGTTTAGCATCCAGTCTTTTTTTTCAGTCTTTTTGCAGTCACTTTCACACTGTAAATTTAGACAAACTCAAGAAAATTCCTAGCAACTGTCATCCATTTAGTGACTCGATAGGTAGCGTTGATATTGTTGGTCATTTCTTTGAAGGATTGAAAAGTGTAGGATAGAGGCAATTTCGTCCTTACTTTATTGCCAATTACATTGACCTCAGTTTTAAGATTCTTAAAACACCCGTCTTGTTAAGTCCCTATGCGTAGCAGTGACGTAATGATCCAAGTTAGCGTAATGACTAATGAAGAAGTAGTTGATCTTAGGAAAGTAAAGCAATGCCAACTTCCTGACGACAATTGCCTCAATACTCAAGACTCCGTAACACCAGTACTACCGGAATACGGTATTAGCAATGATTCAAGCAGCTATACTAGTAACGCAAATCAATGTTGGAACTCGTCCAGCCGTTTCGTTCATACGACAAAGCGTAAAATTGGTTATGGTCAAGAGCAAGACGACAGTCCTATAGAAGAAAATAATGAACAACCGCCCAAGCGTAAATTGAAAAGTGCACTGCAAGACAACTCGACTATACAAGCATGTGATAATAACGGTGATGTAGATGCATTTTTTTCCACTAACCTCGATAGCAAATATACTGTTGCAAATGCAACCAGTGAATCATCGGACGAATGTTTTGGTGACACTTTCTCTGGTCCTGAACCTGAAATACCACTAGTAAGACATCCATGGATGACACCCTACAACACAACGCAATATATATTTTCCCAACATGAAAATGATCCAGTTAATGATGACGATGATATATTTGGTTATGAGTACCTCGTTAGCCAGTATGCTGCCTTGCATGGCCTGGACTAAAGCAGCCTGTTGGAATCGTATTTTGCACAGTTATCTTTAATCGTTCCCATTTGAACATTTCATACGGTACGCTTAGGTCATTTCTTGTCTAAGCCTTATCAAGCGTGCTTTTTTTTTATTCTTGTATCATTTTGTAATCTTTCCTAGTTCTGCATAGTAAAGTATTGATTGTACTCTACATGGAACGATTATGCTCAATGATTGTGCTATATGTCTTATAGAATTAGTTTGCACCTTAGACTGTTCAATCACAAAGATGTTTACCATAATTTGTAAGACTACCACTATGCCTTGATCGATGACATACGTACAATAGTAAACATATTATTATGCCTGATTGAAATTGAATATTTAGAGTTATTATGTTTCACAGGTTAACGGCTGCTACGCTCTGCTTATTGAAATCGTGGCAATCTGTTACTCTTGGTGGGATGAATGATAAGTCTTTTGTTGCCGAAAGATTTATAGACAGACGTATGTCAATTATACTACCAAATTTGATTTATTCTAGGTAGTGTATTCTTACAGGAAAAATAGTATCAAAGTGGCAGAAACAGATTATTGAATTGTATATATACATATATTACTATGATGTTAAAAAAAGGAATAATTTATAAATTGCTAGGTGCGATAAGGTACTGACATGCTAAGGTTACGGCAGTGGGTTACCATCGCATCTTCATGCTTGGAAGGGTATTTATCATGTTACTAATAATTGCATTTATATTCGTGTTTATCGAAAAATGTAACTGCTATTTCGTAATCGAAACTAGTATATTCAAGACTCAATTGGTCTATAAACATTTATTTACCACGATATACTTCTTCATATTGCTTGTAAACAATATCATTTTCAGATTCCTATGAAAGAGGAATGATTGTGAATACGGCCTATCTTATAATAAAATAAGCTATAACCAATACATTGTGGTTCGGCGATATACATACGACAGGTGTAATAATTTTATGATGTCCACTTAATTAAATATCCACTGCTTTTGAGCTTTAAACAAGTGACTATACTTGTATTTGCTGTGTACTCCGTATTCTTTATCGAACAGTGCGAATAGGAGTCAAAGAATCTTACGCTGTACTAGGTCAAGCAAGTAATCACTCCAGATGGTTCCAATCCCTGGAGATACTCTTGTAGCACGCACCTATGCTTCCAGAAAGCTAGCTGTATGCAAGTCACTATGCCTAAAAATTCCTCGAAATACGGTAGGCTTCGACGTACAATATGTACTGCGTTTGTGCTTGTAAAAGGTAAAGTGTTGAAAAAGTCATACAAGGTGTAGCACGGATACTTGCGAAAGTTAGGTAAATAGTAAATGAAGTTCGATGAGTAATTTTAGCGTAGATTACGAATACAGCGACGAAGCCTGAAAGTACTATATTTAAATTACAGATCTGCAAAGTCATTGCTGTAATTAATATTCTGCAACATATACGTACAAGGAATTATAATGTAGCAATTGAAGCAGTTTACACCAATTAATGATTATTTACAAATAAACAATTATTTCATGTGATCATCGTTTGTGGTCTATCTTGTATGATATTTTTTTCTACAATTTCCTAATTAAGCTATCGTTCCTTTCGAATTACGTAGGGCATGTGAATTCTACGTATTTTACCATTTTCAGCTTCGCCAACACTTATACTATTATGCACTATGGAACAAGAATACCTTATATACGAGTACGTCAATTTATAACAGAATGCACAAATTATCAATGATACCATAGTACAATGTTGCCGTAGTAAATGTAAGTTTAGTTATACGAGCCTATCGCTATTCTTAAACGTTAGTAAATTTCTTGTTATTGTCCCTTTTTCGTCTTATGTCATGAATCAATGGCAATGTTCCCCGAAATTGCAATAATATTGTTTAATATTGAAATTATTGACTGTTGAATTACCAGTCAAATGCCTTACCTTATCTTGGAATATGTGTATCTTGAAACTCATAGTATGCAGTAGAATAGCATTTCCGTAAATTTGTCATATAACACCCATCGGTGGCTAGTATATTAGGTACCATACTTATTGATCGTGCTAACTCCATCGCGTAAGGAATGATTATTGTACTGCTCATAGAGACAAATAAAAGTATCGTATTAAATCTAGAACTTTTCATTAGCGATGACATAAGCAGTAATTTTATATTTTAACTTTAAAAAGCCCGCAATACGAGATAGATAAATGTAACCTGATATTTTATCATGCAATGGAGCTGCTTGCAATAACTGGAGTGAATAGTAAGATATCAATTGATGAATTTAAACATACGAATCAACTGCTGTATAATTTATCATAAAAAGCAAAAGACACGTCTCCATGACTTGCATTAAAATAAAATTACTATAAATTGTCTTTCTAATATCGGCTTCAATTTGTATCTAGTGCCGTATCACAACTGTCTAAGCGGCATAATATAGAACTACCCTCCTAAATAGACTCAAAGAACAGTCTCTAAAAGTACAACTTACTTTATGTTACGACTTTATTTTAGTAGTTCTCACTAGCAATGTATAACAAAAAGAAAAAGCAATAACTAGCTTTTATTTTTAGACTTCAAATAAGATAGCATAAAGCAAGTGAACAATCAAAGGAGGTCAACGTAGCTAAAGCATTACAAACATGACAGATTGTAACTTTGTCAAATCGTACTATTAACTTAAATACTAAAAGAAATTATACCACTTAAAATATAGCTCTTAGTTGAATATTGGAAACGTAGTTCCGTAATATGCAATTATATATCATTTCTTTAATCTACCGAGATTTAAGAACGATTATACCTCAATACTATACACTGAAGAACTGCTGTAAGTCCAATATTTCTAGGTTCCGTGATTAATTATAACCAATTTGCTTCGGCATCATCCATCCGGAATTGATAATGTAATACATCGGCACTAAATCAGTATATGCGTGTAACCACAAATTAATCATAAAGTTTGGAGGGAATAATCAAATTATTATTGATGGATAGAAATATATGTGCTACGTAAGTCCGTAGAAGATGGCTGATTTATAGCACATACCTTGACACAACGATTTTAGTCTGCAGACGTTATTTTTAATGATGAAATTGGTAACATGTAAGTTACAGTGTAGCCGTACCTCTCTATCTCCTACGTATACTACCTGCGTAATTTCTAATAGCATTTGGATCTGACAATACTCACAATAGGCACGATCGTTCATTCTAATTTTTATCAAAACTAGGAAATATTTCGTAATAGATTTAATATGAGTCCTCTCGAATTTACGTATTATTTACTTTCCAATAATAAACTTACTCGGCTCTATGTCGTCATTAGTAAATATTTCCTAAAAGATTTTGCTTAATCTATTGAATATATTGTTATTTACCATTCTTCGTTTTGACAATTGCAAGCTTTAATTTCACATTGATTGATTATTTCATTCAATTGCTTAATTTAGACCAATTCAATATTCAATTAAGCGTCGATAGGACACGGTGATGATATAATATATACGCTAATTGATACTAGTATTTGTTCAGTTAGTAATTGAACACTAATCAATTTCTCAAGCCAACATATTCGATATTTGATATTATAAAAAGGCTGCTATATATATCCTGAAATGAGTTGTCGAAAATCGTCATTTCAAGACGACAGTAATTCCTTCCGATAAGTTAAAACAGTCCATTGTCTGCATACAAAACCCATCATGGAAGAAATGATGGCGACTTTAATCGATTCTATCAAGCTGCATCCTTCAATGATGCTATTAGATAGCCTTAAAGATGAATTAACGAATAAAAATAAGGTATGGATTGAAACATTTATCCATCGTGGTGGGTTATTTCAACTCCTTCAATGGATGACAACAAATTGTACTACATTATCGTGTCAAAATGATGGCCAAGGACAACTTGCAATCGCTTGTGTTAAATTACTAATGAACCATCAGCTAGGAATGGATCACGTAGCACACAATCACTTTTTAATTCAGCAACTTTTTCAGGGTAAGTAATAGTCTTGATAGATTGATTTCTCCTAGCTGTAACTTCTAGTCGAATTTAAATAAGATTAAATTGCACGCAATTTGTAAAATTATTATCTTTCTTTAAAAGAAATCCTTGCCTATCACATTTGCGTGAAACAGTAATTTGATACCCTCCATATTAGATTTCTTTCTGTCGTCAAATTTATGCGTTCGCTTATTTTATGCACGCGTACACAAACTAGATTATTAATTAAAAAAACGAATAATAACATTGAACTAAATTCAGACCTTGCTGGTCATCCAAAATTAATGTAAACTCTCAACTTTTTAAGTTTAAGTAGAAAATTATTTTAAAGTAATTGCTGAGTGAATCAGTCTAACGTCTATTCGATGTACATAAGAAAATCTTGACCTTAATTTAATATTCACAATTCTCATTAAGTTACTCTATAAAAGTGATTCTTTGTTGTTTGTACTCACGAATTACAATACATCTTGTTTTAGCTTCTTACTGTATGCTACAATTTCAAACTATTTTTTCACAATTTTAATTGCACATTAATAAGTAAACTATTGCATATTTATCGTAACTAACAGTATAATTATTAACCTATTTTTCAAGACATTTTTACGTCGAATTTTTAGTTTAATAACGGAAGATAATACGATTTATAATAACTTTTAAGCATCGATCCCAAGAGAAAAGAAGGAGATGAAAACGGGAAAAATTAATTTAATTCTATTCCTTCTTTACATAAATTAACTGCTTATTAAAGACGTTATGGTTCATTAATTAGGAAATTTATACTACATTTTCATATTATTATACTATGTCAATATAGCTGAATCAAGATGTTTTGACGAAATAGGAATACCTCATTCTTTCTGATCTCTAAAACTTTGATTAAGCTTCTAAATTGTGTTAATTTTAGCTTTAGGTAATACTAGTTTATTATCCAATTTAAAAATAATTATGTAATTATAATTATTATTAACTTTTACTTTTCCCTTACAATTTACAAGACCATATGTTAACATTGGATCTGCTCATGAATAGCCAGCTTGAAAATACGTAAAATAATGGTAGTTTCCATTATTTACTTTGATAATTTGTAATAATACTTTAATAATGTTATGTATGTAGTAGGGTGTTATAACTTTACGACGATTACAATTCTTAGGTATGATGAATGTCGTCGCTATACTATACATTAGTAACTCAATTTGTAGTTTTTGGTTACAATTTCTGCAGCTAGGCTTGCCAGAAATAAGTTACTTCGTTATTTGCCGTAGCAGTCTTATACTACGACATAACTTTAGATAGCTGTTTCGTTTACAGAATCGATAAAGTTTATTCCTTAATCATCTATGAGGAATAAGTTCCAATTAAAGTGTAATGATAGTTAACATATTCAATCATTTTGACTTTCTCAAAATATGATATAAAAACATAATCCAAATTAGCTGTACTAGGTTAATGGCACATAATTAATGCAAACAATTTTTGTTCATCCCAGTTCTCATTTTTAATTAACTTAATGAAATCTTAATCAATGACATAAGATCATCCGATTAATTCCAATTATCACCAAAGGCTTTTTATCTAATCTTGTCATGGCGTTCCAATAAGTAGCTATAATACCGAGTTAATACTAAGAAAGAAGCATATACTACAGCGATAGCGTTTGAACAAATCCATTTAACATAGTTATTTGGAGTTAAAGAGTGTCTTTTAAGCAAGTTTGAGTAATCACCTAATCTAAATTTAAAGAACATTTTTACAGTTCCAGATAGTCTTTATACGAAAATAAACTATATTATAGAATGTCTTTTAATCAAGTTTTAGCTATCAATTGTCTAAATTTAACCAACATTTTTATTATTGTAATCAGTCTTTTTAGGAAAATAAATTATAGAATGTCTTTTAAACAAGTTTGAGCAATCGCTATATCAAAATTTAAAGAACACGTTTACAGTTACAATCAGTCATGTTACAAAAATAAATTATAGAACATACCTCAAGCAGTGTTAACTAAATTACTGTTCTATTTCTAATTTGATCTATTATATTTAGAATTAATTCTTAATTAGTACGGATAAATTACCGGACATATTTTAAACTGTAAGCTACTCCAAACAAATCGTACCTCTAATTTTGTCCCTTGTAATATGAGTTTGCTTCCTATACAAATAAAAAGCCGGACATATTTCAAACTATTCTGATGAGCAAATCGTAACTATTAAATTCGTTCTTTAGTAAAATTACTCTTAATTTTTTTTTGTACAGTATATGACTAAATCGCATAATGCCATTTAAATACTACTTCATTTCAAGCGTTTTTGAGCAATCATAACTTCTAATTCTTTATCAAATTGCGACAATTTACCGCACAAATATGCGCCTATTACCCAATATTAATTTCAGAAGCCATATTTCATTTTTCTAATTATGTCATTCTAGCATTATGTAAGGCACGGACTGTCTAGGATTGGAAAATCTAAAAACTATAAAGAATGAGACATATAAACGTACAGTCCTTATTCGATCGAAAGTAAATTAGATAGTTAATATAGGTCAATTTTGGAGTAGTTTGCATAAAAAACGAAACAGCGGTAGAATAGCGGCTGATAATAGGGTTTTAACCATCTCTGCTTTATACTACGTATCAGGATCTTAGTTCCTACAACGTCTAGTGGTATTAATTAACACCACGTAGAGAGATAAATTACCTAGCCTTTTAAAAACTGCATTATGGGATTTCCGCTCTTTCATAAAGATTGTTGAGAGTTGTCTTTATTGTTTTTTGTTGTGACCGATATTTGATAAAGATTAATCACAAACACATGGTCCAAACTTGACATATGTGCATTATATCTTGATCCTATAATTCGATATTAAGTTACTGGATTAATTATAATTATCAAGTAGTAACAGCTAATATTAAGTGTATTGGAAGTAGCCTTATTGTATTCTATTTAGCCTTGACATACTTCTATCGGCATTGCCAGCTAGTCATGTTAACACAGTAATTAAACTCGGTGATGTTGAGAAAACCAGAAATTTGTGAGGGCTTTTAGCACTGTCTTGAATGAATAAGCAATTCTATACTTATAAATCCATAGTTTTAGGTTCAGAAGATATGGCAATTCGTAAAGTTGTCTATCAATTGATAGCAGCATTATGCTTATATTCGAATGAAAGCGAAAAAGCAGTTCGAAAGCTTATAACATCAAAACAGGTAAAGCATCATCAATTTTGGATATCCTTTCATCCTCAGACATAACTATGCCATAGCATTCTGTTGAAAAGTTCAATTTCAACAGTTTCAATTTTTGATTTAAGACTTAATTTAGCATCATGTTATTTGAGTAGAATTATATTGAACAGTTCGTTCATGGTGTGGTTAAAGACTTACAAATCAGCAATCATCAGCTCAATCACAACTGCCTACTCTTTATTAATTGCGTTATAAATATTATTACGGACGTCCGAGCCAGAATTATTCTGCGTAGCAAGATCTGGTGTAAGAATTTCGAACTATGTTTTGTTTTATGTAATAGTATTCATTCTCGTTCTGATGCAATTTATAGACTAAGATTGTTGGTAAATTTGTTGCTTATAAATTAGAATCAAACTGTATTTAAGGCAATGCAACTCTCTAATTTATCTTTTCATTAATTCCTTTTTTATAAATGTTAAGGTCAAAATTTTTCACTAGTTATAAGGCAAATGAGGTAAGTATTAAAAGCTTTATTACTTTTCGGTGTATCACTCCAGCGTCGTATTATTAACGAATTAGGACTGAGGCTCAAGTCAATATTTGTGATTATATTACGATAGTAAAAACAAAGAAAGGAAATTAACAGGAGGATATCATAATTATTCTTATGATTTACTTTTAATTAAAATGTTTATTATATCGAACGCAATCCTGATTTAGAAATCTTCATGAACCAAAATTAACATTCCAAATCAATCAGTTTCTTAAAAATTGGCATGCCGATGAAGAAGCAATTGCTGAAATGGATGGTATAGACTTGACTAATCCAATCCAATTGATCCACGCAGTTCTGGACAAGGTTAGAATAGTGGTAAAGATTTAATCCTGTAATAACTCTTTTATATTATAATTATTTTCCCTGTCGAAATTAAGCTATCGCATTAGATGCATTAATTTCGTTCGTATAGTTATTAGATAAATGTTCAATTAGATGGCACTATTAGCTGGATCTATTTACCTTAGTTAACTTCATTACTATGTATGCTGTGGTTATTCTTGTTATACGAGAAGACGGGTATTTCCTAATTCAATTATCTTTAAGACCGTAATTTTAAATTTTACTCGTTAGATAAATTTTGAATTTATTACTATAATTTCCAAATTATCGAAACTGTAAATTTGACGCATGGTTGATAATTCTAGATGTTTGCTATTATTTTATATCAGTTTATCAGAGCTATATCGATATATACCATAACAATCCATTTTGATATATAGGCTCATTGCCTTGGTAGTCGAGAGACTCTCCTAGCTCTATTTCAAAATTTACTCTTGCTCATGGATCATTCTAACATCGGCCTGATTGAAAGCATCTGGAAATATACAGAAAAATTATTAATTGAAAATGATGGAGAGTCCAGCCAATTTAAAGCGTACTTTCCAAACTCTCAGCATACTTTAATTGATAACTGGACAGAGAGAGATGTTCGAACCTCTAACAAAGAGAACCATCAAATTACTACAGTTACATTAAAAAAGACTACACCTATAGCTACAATAACCCATATTACTACAACTATCATTCGTCCATCATTATTAAGTAAAGATAAACTTGCTACTGTCCATTTATCAGTGAATCCTACCTATAAAGATGCTAGCAGTTTGCCCGATATCGATCATTTCGATATTCCCCAATTACATCTGCGGGATAGATGCGATGATAATAATAATACTACTTCATCTTGTACGTCTCGAAAGATGCAATGGCAGCCTAGATACTGGATTCATTTACCAGCGGTAACTAAAATCCATCCACAAAGCATTTGGAATTTAATCCAGAATAAACCCCTACAGAGTCCATTAACTAATCCTGATAGCGTATTCAATACTCAACTTAACGGTAAAAAGAAAGAAATCACCTCAGGTTTTAAGCTAAATAAGGTAAATAGAAAGTTTAACGGTAATGCACGATCGATATGTCAAAGTGATTGATTCTATAGATTGAAAACCTATTCGATGAAGTCTTATAAACTTGTTTTCGTCATTTGTAGCTGAAGTATGTAAGTATTTTTTAAGATGAAACTTGCATCTACTTTTAATAGGCAGGAAGTCAATTTTATCATCCAATCATTTTCGTAACAAAAATATTTTTACATCAATTGACGACTTGGTAAGAAAATATTTATCAAATTATAGGAATACAAGGATAGCAATTTCAATTACGTATTTCCTGCTTATTCAAAGCTATGAAGGAAATAATTTATGGTAGTTTTCGTACTTACCTTTATAACCACGAAGTAGCAGTCTGGAGTAAAATTCTGAAAATTTATCATTATCGGCCAACCATAATTTTTAATAGTATTCTTTCCAGTCATCTTGCTACCTCATCTCTACTCGAATACGTCCTAAGTGATGAGAGCAAGTTTGCAAGTATCAACTCCCATTAATTATAGCTAGTTGTAGATAGCTTTATTCCGGATCTTAATTAAACTTTTGCCCTCTATGTTTTATGATCAATGCTAGCAGTTGATAGGTCTAAATTTATGCTATGGGAGAATAAAGTTTGCCAATATTAGCACCTCTAACAACTGTAAAACTGGCTTTCTCCCATGAATTCCAGTAGTATCTCTCACCAATGATGTCATAATAATCATGACTGAGTAGTCGAAAATAGTATTATGCAACTTCCCTTATGTGGCTATAAAATTATGCTATCAAAACCTTTCAGAGTCATCAGTGCTGAAGAGAACATTGGAACAAACACTTCTCTAATATTGTATTACGCCCTATACTTCATTTACTCAAGACCATAGTGCTATTCTGAGACCTTATGAAGTTTTGTCATTACGGTACTTGATCCTACTTAGTAAGCTATGGAACGGATAGGACAGTTTGCTTGCTTTAGAACAACAGTAGAAATGAATGCGTTTAAACTTATGGCATTCCCATTTAATCATGAAATGAATATACTTCTTAACCAGCATTTGTTGTTTTAAAAAGTACGACGGCATTAAATCTACTTTTAATTATAAAATAGAGTTGGCATTGTACTTTCAATACGTTTCATTGCCTTAAAATAGCTGAAAAGATCACTCTTTTACCCCTCTGATGATCTATGAAATGATTATACGCTAGAATAATTCTACTTGACTTATACCTTTAATCTACCATCTTCTATTCACTTTCGTAAAAAAATATGATTTAAAATGATTTTAAAAGTATTAATGCAGATATCAATTTTTTTACTTGCAACTAGTTACAACAGCAATACGGAAGATGTTCTCCAGGCTATTCGTTACGCCGATAGGCAACAACTTCCAATTCGCATATTTCAGCGACTTCAAATGATTATGGAAGAACTTGAGCCGGTATCTTGTCAATACCATTTTAATAATACTACTTTTTAATTGATGATCGAATCATTCCGATTAACATGGCGGTATCTATTAGGAAAAGAAGTTAACGCTACGACTTACCAATAAGCTAAGCCTGGGCTATATCGATTTATTTCTCTATTCAGTAATCAATATACCAAGGTTTGATCATAAATAACGATATTCTTATTTTAAGGACAAAACTTATGTAGGACCAATTTTAACCATAGTTTAGCACTTTGTAGTATTTTTCTTTTTTAATCGATTGGAATTTACTTTAATTCTCTATAATACATAAAGCTATTTAAACCGGATCAAGTATATTATTGCCGTAGAAGAGTGTGCAAATTATTTTGAAAAGTGGAAAAGCGCATTGTCCTCATATATAAAAATTATAGAAGGTATGATTGGCGAAGCTTTATTTTAACTTTCATAATGCATTTTATTTTCGCAAAATAACACTGTAAGCTAAATTAACTTTCAATTTGCACAGATTGAGTTGTTAATTAATTCTCAGAATACTATCTCTAAAATTTCTCTCGTTATGTCAACGAGCTTTATAAATATCCTTTATAGACTACTGTACCATGTTTTATAATTATTATTTTGCATAATCATGTAATTTTTGTGCAAATTTCCTCATACTGTACATAATAGACGAAAATAGTTAATAATTATCCTATATGATCCAAGATAGCTACAACTTCGTTTAAAGTTGATCGTTAAGGATTTGTATAATTGTCCTAAACTATAAAATCTTTTCTCATTCGATAATATTGACAATTTTGTATTTTTGTATCTTCAATAGATTTGCTTGAGAGCCAGTCTTTGGTTGAATTTATGGAAGTTGTCCTATTGGTTGGTCAACAAATAACAAAAATGGTAGCGCTTGTGTATATGTCAACGATTAAAGTTATTCTATATAACAGCGTACTGGATTAGTCCGATAATAGTGATCCAAATAGGGCCTAATCAATATTCTCCTTGTTTCTTAACGGTAGTGCTTACCTATCAATCACTCTTGTAAGCAGATCAATTTTCTTGTATTATTAATCACACAGGGAAAATTTGCTAAAGGCTTTTCTCTGAAAGTGCTAATTGCATTAATTAACACAACGATGGATAACTCAGATCACCTGCTCATTGATTATATTGTCAAGGTCGATATTCGAATGCTCCTGAATTGCAACATATCGTTTTATGACATAGCAATATGAATTCTCAATACTAAACTCAATTTCAATTTTTCCCCTAAATTTAGCACATCATTGATAGCCAAAGTCATTGCTTGTCTTGGCTAGATCTTCTACCTTCTCTGAAAAGTTGCATCAAGTATATCTTTCAGTTTGCTCAACTAATAAATAACTCTATAATTGAACCGTTAATACTTGCACGTTTTATACGAATTTTTTTTCTACATTTAACTGTAGATTGCCTTACTGCGAAATTAAATCTTCAATATTGACATTGGAGTCTAAATTACTGCTACTTCGATGTGGTGCAGAAATGGAGCTGATACCGGAGATTAAGACAAAAATTATTGAATTCGTAGAAGTAATAATTTGTTCGGAATTATATGTAAAATTAGATCATTGGACAGTAGTTATATCATGGAAGGCTGCTTGCAAACCTGTTTTATAATTCCTAAAATGCAATTTTTAATCTCATTTTTATCCCGTTTAGAAGTACAAAAGGGAGTCCAATGCTATTACGATCATGACTAAAACTATGGAGAAGCAATCGCAAAGATTAGCACATTATTTCTGTGAGGACAAGCAGACTGTTGATATTGACGTTATATTACAACAGTTGTTTATGATGATGGCAGCAGTGCATGGAGCTACTGAGGAAAGTGTTGAGAATGAGAAAATAAATATAACACTAAGCTATCCTTTATTGGTTTAAAGAGTGAAGAACATCTTATAACTTAAATTAAATTATCTTTTAAATAATGAGCTATTTTATTTCTTACAGGGCAGAAAACTACGCTCCAAATTTAGTCTCGAAAATCAGTCTATGACGAAAAAGAATCGAAATATCATCGATCAACTCTTGGATAAAGTATCTTATCAATTTCAGGAAAACCCATACCCCTTAGTAAGGCGAACGAGTAAGCGAGAACAGGAGTTAAAAGCTCTCATTGCTACATATCAAATACCCCCTGATGGAAACAAGAAGAAACTCATTTATAAATCGAAATCATCTGATGAGCTTATACGACGTAGATCATCCTTCTTAAAGCCAGTTACTACAACAGAAAAACATCCAATAACGACGAGTTATGATTACGCATATGAAAATGCTCAAAGCCTTCAAAATAGTAATAGTGACGGAGTTGAATTGATGCAGACCACAAATGCTGAAGAATGCTCGAGCAGAGAAAATTATGATACGGATAATAAATTGAATGGGAGTGGAAATGTAGATATTGCTATTAAAATCACTAAAGATACCACCACCAACCATGAAATGCTACAGAATAAAAGAGTAAGAAAGGAACGCGCTGATTCCTTACATGCTGGCAATAACCAATATATTCAACTAAATCAATGCTTCAATAATGGTACATTATGCTGCCATCAAACATTAATGTTCGACGGAACAAGAAGTAAATCATTAGTTAATTTATTTTCGAAGCAAACTGAAATTTCCAATACATTAAATGGCGATAATGGATTTAAAAGTATCGATGAGTTACGAAAACGAAAACTTAATGCCACTATCGTTTAGAATAAATTTTAAGGTAAAATAGTAATTTTTATTACTAGTAAAATTGTAAACTATTTTACCAATACAACAAGATTTTATATGACAATTACGAACTAGAAAACTTTTTATAGCTGATAAAATAGCAATATAACTTGTCGTGTTGCTTTTCATAATTTGAACATTATTAGAGTTCATAGCAATATAGATAACAGTAAAAACTGCTTATTAGAATTAGGATTAACCTTAAAAATATGTCTTTAGAGATAAATTCTGTAACATAATGAAATAAGACGATATGGTGTTTCTTTTATAAACGTGGATTAGGTCCAAGATTTTTTAACAATATCTGCTCTTTCTTCTTTTCCTAGGTTAGAAATCACCCAGAATTGAAGTTAGTTATTTTTATTGGGCGGCATTTTCGTCTATATATAACTTGAAACGATATTCAACCCATTTACCTGAATTTGTAGGCAGTCAATAAAAACTTGGTGTGACATTTTATCTACCCAAGATAGGATTGAAAATCTGCAATTAACAATGATTATAATTTCTTCTTAATTTTATTTGAAAATTTCTCATCAATTCAGACAGCGATAGCCCTGATAGTATGTATTACTGATAACTGTATTAGCAGTAAAGTCGAAAATTATGCTAATTTTTTTACGAGTGTTTGGAAAATAAATCTATCTTCCTTAAGTTGATCAAAATGATTACAAATATACTTACCACTCGTATAACATAAGCAATAGGAGAATGATTGCTAGTCAATATCTATTTACCTATGTCCCGTGTTCATGTAATAGACTATGGCTGGCGAATCGATTTGAACCACCTGAAAGATGAAAATAGCCGATTTTTCATCCATATTGACTATATCTTTCTCGAAACGACTTATAGTAGCTAAGCTCATTATATATGATTTCGAATTTTCGTATGGTTATATCATGAGATGTAGTGAAATTCAGTTTCATTCCTTACTTATAAACTGTAAATCTAACATTCTACATAATGCCTTGTCAGATTAATGATAAAATAAAAATATTACTCACCATCGTCTTAGGAGGTAATAACTTTTTGATTATACGATTATTCGCTGTATTGGTTGTAACCTGTATGAATATAAGTATATATGCTTAATGCCACATCAACTAACTGAATAAGCGTAGCACTATTTACCCATTTTATGTCTATTGAACCATAGTAGCAATAAAATGCTGCTATCTGGACAGATGATTAAGATTTTAAACGTATATGTACCGATATAAATTGGTATGACTATATTAATTGACAGCATGATTTGACTAATCATTATACAATGATATCTAAGTACTCTTTCAAATTCTAAAGTAGTTTATAGTCCATATCGCATCCGTTTTAGTCTACAAGTAGCATTAAGTAAGCTGAAAAAAGGCTGCAACTACAGATGCATTAGGCGACTTTATTAATTACTACTAATTATTATACGAAATCTTGATTTGTAAATAAAATATTATCGATTTAGCAGCTTTAGCATACAAATCCGTTAAGCTAAACCTAATCAAAAGTTCAGATTGCACGTAGAACATAATCAGATCTATTTCGCAATAAAGTATTTTAGCAATTTTCTGTGAAAGGATATAGCTTATGTAGCGCTTCATTAATGAGAGAGATTCATAAAACTACATTTGATTCGATTTGAAACGGATTAAACACTCATCGATATAAGCAGCGTAATGCTATGCATAGTAAAGTCTATCATAAGAAAAATTGACTTTAAACTTACGTTGATGATTAAGTCCATAGATCTGGAAACAGTTAGAAGCAGAATTTGTTGCAAGGGTTAGAGAATCCCATTTCGAATTTGATGTCGTTAATACAAAAATAGTTCTGACTTTAGCTGGTGATTTAAGTAGGTTAATACTAGCAGTGAGTACTTTAATACTCTTACCTTGCAAATTCATGAGTTACATGGTGTACAACATAGACATCTAGTTGTATAAAAAGAGTTCAATTTTTATAATGCTAACGATGTTAAGAAGTTATCTGTATTGCAGTTAGTAGGATAATAATAAAGTGACAGGTAGAAATTAGGATTCCTTTGCTACGAAAAGGATTTCAAAGGGTACTAAATAGTAGAATAGTAAGAAATCGATAAACGGCAGGTAAAATTATTCATTTCTATGGAAGAAAATATGTTTGAAGGACTTTCACGTATAAATAAAATTTGTTCTGTATTGCTTATCGTGAATCGTTTCTTACTTTGCACAGCAGCAGGGCAGCTTTCCATAAGATCAAGTCGAATTTGGTGTAATGCTTGGCTAACCTCTCGACGATCATTTAAGTAAAAGTTAAACTGTAAATTGAAAACGTTATAGTAATTGTTTAAGGTTATACTCTTTAGCAGAATTAAGAAGGATACTAAAATCTATTATGGTTAAATAGTTAGTGAGGATTTGCTTTTATTTATTTCGACGGTATATTTTGTAGTTACAAATCTCTTTAACCTTGGTATCATTGGATAACACTTGAGTATTGCCATTAGCAATAGACCTGGAAATAATGGAGGATAAATTTGGATTTATAAGAGTATTAATATAACTCATAGAAAGCGATAACTGCTACACTATCATCTTTTCTAGTGCAGTTCTACCAGCCAAATTGCATTGGTGAATATAGAGTATTTATTCTGCAGTTCATAACTATCATTAGGCCAACTAACTTACCGATATTTCCCTCAACGATTCAAGATGACTATTTTGTATAAATTATTGCTTACCATAGTAACATGCATACAGGTTCACTTGTAGCTTGATTAAATAATATGGCGATGCAATTGGAATGATTGGCTTGCATGTTCTAGCAGATGGCTAATAGTTCGATTAATAGATGAATGTTATTACTTGAAGATCCAGTTGTAAATAATGTCAATGATTAATATTGTAACATCTTGACAGTTAAAACAATCATAGTAGATAGGATCGATTTCGATTAGCTATTTTAATCTTTCTTAGTAGAAGGAATGTTACGGTATTTCTTCTTTATCGATTATCCACTCTATATCCAGGCAATGCTACAACTATACTCGATTTTGATCGGAATTGAAACGTCTACTGATCCAATAATTATAATTATCGCATTCAATAGCCGATGGTATGGAGAACAAAATCATATTACGCTATACTATTAAAAATATCTTGATGACCCAGTAGGAACTCCAACTTAATGATAGAAATGAGAAGATTCGCTAACCGCTTAGTGATTATTTATAGCTAATTGCTATGTTTGCGACTTTTAATAGCAGTTACTAGTATCAATTTCTAGTGTCTAGAAATAAGGGCGTAACCATAACATGCCATTGTGCTAGTCTCTATAACATTGCCAGGTTTTAATATACTTAATATCAAGCACAATTTACTCAAAACCTATTTCCTATTTAATACGATATTTCAGTCTGCATCCTAGTATACTGTCTGAAATCCATATCGCCAATAGCTATCATCAGCCTCATAAGCTATTATAGTCTTGTCATAAATTTATTCATTGCCGATAGTATAAGACTGTAAGTAGGCAGTAAGATGGTGTCTAAAATTAGATATTGCATGTACAGTTTATTCGTTAGGATATTCTAGCCTAGAACCAGTGTTACGTCAGTGATCAATCTTGCAAATCGAGTTTGTCTATTATTTTTGATGGTGTTTGATATATAGACGTTTTATGCCATGATATTCTAAGCCATCGCCGGTATAGGGCCTAAAGTCAATCTTGCATGTAGGGTTTGTTTATCGTTTCATCTTTAAAATAGACCTAGTATGAATTTATTCATTTTATTACTAATGTATTACCGACATAGTATATCATGCAGTAGCTTAATATTATATCTACGATCTTTATTCTGTACCTTTTTCCCTTTCCGACATGCTTCTCTAGTCTCAGTAATATAGAAAAACTCTATGTATAGTCTCTGAATCGAATATGACAGATAAAATTTGTTCATCATCATCCTACTTAAATGGTCCCTTGATCTAGAGTTAGCTATACATTTCCTGTTTTTTGACGAGCTATGTTGTAGTATAATATCTCAAATTTATGTTACATTCTCGTACAGAGTTTACGCAGTGCTCTTTCCTACTAGTCCTATAATTAATTCCTTACTTACAATACATTCACTAGTTGCAGGGTGTCTAGAATCATCATGCCTTGAGCTGTATATGGTATAGAATTGAGATGACTATGGTACTATTTGTAAAGTCTTGTAATAGAATCTTTATAAGTATTAATTAAATTGTTCTCTAACAATTATAATTATCGCACCGGATATCATTCTAACATGACAGCTCACCTAGGATAGAGTCTAAAATCATTACATTGCATATTAAACTGAATATTACTTCAAATTATCATTTTCTAGAGCATCCTATCAGAAGTATAGAGCAATTGGAGCATCTTTCATCGTTACAAGGCCTACGCTGTCCTTCCATTTATAATTGTAACATTTCAAACTGTATGCTATCGCTTCCAGTGTAAAATTATCAACATGGTCAGGATAGAGATTAAGACAGATTGGTGTGGACAACCACTACAAAATGAAGGAGCAAAGATTGATTTAAATTATCAACTTCAAAATGAACGCCATTATCTAGTCATCGATGTCGTATCACCATTTTACAATGATCCACCTTCACCAAATTGCCCTCCTGGTAAATCATGCCCGAATCTTTGGACATATGAAGGTTTGCAACTTAGAGCACAACTAATTATTAATTTACATACTTAACGTAGAATTGATGAACAGTAAGTAGCTATCTAGCATGACAACATTGTCCAAAAGGATGCATAATAAGGTGGAAATAAATAGAGATGTAATCACCTAGTTAATGTGGACGATAATATTTGTAATTTTGCACGTTATCTTTCGCATTGCAATTATTAGATGCTGTTAGGCTGTGCAAATAATATTGCAGATTGTATACTGTTATTTGTCAACATCTATTGCGATCATCATTTACCATCAAATTTACTGCTGATTATCTAGTAATCATGCTCTATGTTGTGAAGAATATTACTGAGATTACCTCTATTATCATCGAGTATGACAGTAATTGCAGCTTACTATATACAGCAACTTAGGTATAATAAAATTCTTAACTTGAGTCCTTTAGCTTCTAATTCAAATTCCATTCCACGACTAAAACACTAACTGAGGTAAAGTACTTTCTACCACGAGTATGTATATAGGAGGGTTTACAGATTCCATAACATTTGCAGTCGGCATCAGTGTTGTATACCATCTTGATGATTAGACGTAGTTAGACTGTTTTGATAACCTAGCATGATGCTCTTTATCTTTGTCATGACAATTTCATCATCGGTTTATTTTTAATCCTAAAACATAGACTGAGGTAAAGTACATTTACCACTATTACATAGGAGGATTTACAGATTCTAAAATAGTTGCAATTTGCTCTAGTATTACTTGCCATCTTCATGATTAGATTCAATTAAACTGCATTGATATAACATTGCATGATGCTCTTTATCATTATCATCATAATTTCATAGTTTCATCCTTGGTTTATTTTCATTCCTGATCAAAAATCAATCAGATTGTGTTGATAATATTGCCACTTATAAGATACTATTGATTACGCTATACGACATAATTAGAATGCCATCATTGGATTATTTCTGACGCTGATCATCGTAACAATCATGCAATTTTGCGTCTGTTATCATCGATTATGACAGAAAATTTAAGTATTTTCTCCTGAAACCTTTTTACTTTCCTTGCCTTAAGAAATTATGATACTTATGCAACACGTTTTAAAAATATTACACCAATATCTTTGGCTATCCGCTAGGATACAAACCCCTAAACACAGATCAATCGAAAATTCTTTGCTATTTCTGCCATCGCAAAGTGTATGAGGATATAACCTAGCATAAGCAATCATGTAATACTTTTATGTTCACATGGCAATGATCAGAAATTTTGGATTATGATAGAACTAAGATGATTAAATTGCACTATTATATTTACTCGGTGATGAACCGGAATTCTGAATCATGATTAGAACTAGCATGATTGCAATAGACTATTCAACTTAGCAGATAAATTTACGTTTATACGAGATATTTCAATGATTTATCCTCCCCTCGAACTTGATGCAATAATTAAGCGATCATTGTCACAAATTCAGTTAAGTAATGATCAGGCCATTCTATGATTATGATTGTGCTATAATAATCCCTTATAAAAAATAAGTCTAATCAATCTTGTTGTATCATCATTACTGGTAAATTAGACCAAAATATAAATCTAATTGGTCTTGTTATCTCATCGTTATTTGTAAATTAGATCAAAATAGAGTCGACATAGTCTTCCCAGTAAAGTAATCTAAAATAATATCGGATTAAAATGTATTCTATTAACAAGCTAAATTGATATCGAAGTATTTGAAATCTATTTTTTTAACAAACCATTTTTTAGTGGTAGAAATTTTCTTCTTGGGAAAGAATAACCATTACCTGGAAGTAGAGCTTTGTCCGTAAGTTTTATTAAGAGATATATGTATAGGTTATACAAGTTAATGTTTTTTTGCAGGACTGAAGATAGATAAATGTATAGTCCAAGCATAAGCATTAGTGTTGCAGGAATCATAGATTGGAACTATTTTGGTTAATAAATACAAGTTCAATAAAATTATAGATCGAGAGGCATTCAATTAGCCCCCTACATGAGATTCGACTATAAATTTCTCAATGTAATTTATATACGTATAAATACAAGCTATACAAATTTACAGATCAATATATGAGCATTCAATTTATCCTTTCCAAGCTATAATATAATACACATTAGTTTAGTGAATAGAAATATTTAGATTAACTAATAACTTGTTCCACATTTTCCACTGTTATACGATGCGATTATTCCTCGTTACTAAGATTGAAAATAGGTAAAATTACTTATATATGGATGATGGTAATCACTGTTAATCACGGTAAATAAATTCCTTTCCTTCTAGTCATGGGCAATATCTACTTTTAATGCTCTCCGACTACAGAAAGCCTTTCAAGGTAAATTAATTCCTAAGGTAGAATTTCACTTACGTTAGCTACTTTTATAACAAGATCTCTTCAAATAGAATTATTCAATTGCTCCATTACAGATCCAATAACTTTATAATTTCAATGGCTACTACTAATAAACTAGTGTAGTATTGATCTCAAAATTTGATGGTGCTACATTTTTAGGATGGCCTCGAAATTGAATTTAAGGCAAAAGTAGATGATAGTAAGTGGAAAGGTCGCGCTTGGATACCACTTGAATATCTACCACCAGGTGTTTATAAGGCCAATGCTTATGCCATTCATGGCTCTGGCGATAGCACCCAATATGAGGCAGCTTATCCAGCTAATAAAAGCCAGTGCAAAGAACCTGATTTGTAAGTAGATCTACAAATATAGACAAACTGCTATGACTGGCTTTAAAATCAACGTGACTAATTTTACCTATTTTGTTAGTCATCGTTTGGAGTTTTTCAAGGATATCAACTTAAAATCGATCATTGGCCAAGATTTAGATACACCTTCTTCTTATTGGAAAACGCTATAATGGGTAGTACAAATGGGCCAGGTTTTAGTACTCCCTTGGATAGCTAATTTGCTTTCATTTAACAAGGAAAATACCAATATTAAACACACCACAACCCTGATGAGAAGGATAAGAAATTAGTACCCACTGAGGCCATGGCTTGATCTACGAGTGTAATTATACGCCGATTGGGAGTTCTTGATATTTTCGTTTATCAAATGTCAAAATACTAAAATCTTGATCATGTATATCGCTACATGAATAGCTTAAGGAATATCATTGTTTGATCGATATCGCTAAATTAGAGGCGTTGATATCGATAAGAAACGATGATCTAATTATAAGATTGTAAAAATGTCGAAAAAATGGGTCAAAGCTACCTATGATTTGATAACAAATCATACCTTGATCCACGTAGCTAAACTTAGAGATTCATCGATATCAATGGTAAATGATGATCTTGATATATATCGTAGAAATGTTGATAAATGATCATATTAATCATGACTAGATGGTATGTTTTCAGAACTATCGTCGCTTGATCCATGCAGCTTAATTGGATTCGTTAATATTGATGAAAAACGATCATCTCGATGTTATTTTTCTGAAATGATCATATTGACCGAAATAACAACTATAACTTGATCCATGTAGACATTAAAATTAAATTAGACATTTCTTAATGTCGATATGAAATGATGATCTTGATATTAAGTTATAGAAATGTTGTAATGATCATATCAAGCATGACTTGGATGTTAATATTTAAACTACTGTCATTGCTTGATTCAAGTAGCTCGAAATTTATTGATATCCATAGGAAATGATGATCTTGATATTAGGTTTTAGAAATGTCCAAAAATGATTATATTTACCGTAACTAGATGGTGTCATTTTATCCGTGTAGCTAAATTAGACGTTCGTAGACACTGATAAGAAATGACATTAAAATTATAGAAATGCTGATGACGATCCTATTAATTGTGGCTTGATAGTATATTTTGAGGAAAATCATGGCTTAATCCAAGCAGCTCAATTAGAGATTCGTTGATATCGATGGGAAATGATGATCTTGATATTAAATTGCAGAAATATTGAAAAAGCATTGCAATCCTGTTCGTCGTGACTTCATAGTATCTCTTTAGAGCTACTATTGGCATAGAGAAGAAATGATGATTTGATTACAGCTTAGATTATGAAGCTAATAAGACATTATCTTAAGGCTTGGTGAAGATGAGCCCTAAAGAATGGATATAAAATGAATAGCGGCCAATAACCCCCACTAATAAACCACTACCAATATCAAGCCAATGTTTAGTTTGTTTATTTTCAATTTTACCAAAGGATAATTGCTGGCCTAGCGATGTTTCAATCCTAATTCCTTGGACTAAATGATAGCAAGGATTGTGCTCCTGACTGATCTGGATATAAGCACTTGTAATCTTTTCATTAGGCGTTAATTTGATGGATTTAATTCGATCGCATGGTGTTTTGGTGCCGCTGCTTTTGACAGTTTTGTCTTGAAATTGAATTTGGACATAGCACATATCGCCGAGGGTAAATGAGAAGCCAAATGTCACATAGCGAATTGGATTAACTGCGCTACCAATATGAGCAAATTCCATGCCTTCTGTACTGCCAATAGGACTAGTGATAAGGCAATCTAAATCAGAAATGATAATTGATCAATAGTATTAATCAATAATGACGATGAATATTTTGAGAATCTCCTTTAAATGATAATGTTAAGGTGCAGTAAGTGATATAATAAGTAGCTAACAAGTGCTGAAATGGTAATAAAACTGGAAAACAAAACCGATATCCTGATCATTTATTGAAACGATCACTTGTACAGATTTAAACTAGTGTATAATCACGCTAAAAATAAAAGTGGGTGTAAATACAAAACGTTATTTTACGTAGTCATATTGGATAAATGCTATTTCAAATCTAATAAGGTAATTAAACTTATTTCCTATAGATTTTAAATCATGGATAGAGTAGGAAGGTAATGAAAAAATTGAAATTTGAGAATGAAAGTCAAGCGGAAATGGTGACTACCGTTGATTCCATGATATTGGTAGATTTTTATAAAGCTACAATTCTTTATATAAATGTTGTTACATGACAATTTAATACAAGAATTCATTACATTTCGCGTACTTTAGAATGGTTCTAATTAGGAATTCATATCACTAGGAGTCCTCAAATCTACTTTGCAGTCATTTCTATGCGAAAAATCTTTTCTTATTTCAGGAGGACCGGATAAAACTCAGAATATTGCCGGTATTTTAAATGTGAAAATCTAGTAAATAGCCCAATTACCCATTGATAGAATGATCTATTGTACTAGTATAGGATTTAACCCAATTATTAATAATGCTAAAATAAAATTAATATGTAGGCTTAAGTTTTATCCAAGATCGACTACGGACGAATTATCACGATAGGGAATTAATGGACTAGAAATGGACAATAAAAGCAGAACTGTTATTTGAGAAGGAAATATAAAGCAATATCATAAACACACATGGATGTAATGTTTTGAAGCATTTAAGTTTGTTAATCATTAGGTTAAAATAAAGTGACAGTAGACGATACTATCTCGTCCGATGGTATTCATTTAAGAGTTATCACGACAAGAAGTCAACCAACCATCGTAAAATTAGGTAATCAAAATAAAATTGCTGTTTGAGAATGAAATGGGAGTCAATATTGTAACCGGTTGTGGGTAAAACGATGTTATATATGGGTTAAAGTTGGTTTTTCATCATTTTGAAATAGGCAAGGATGATAGTGGAGTGTAATATTGTATTCGATAATCTGTATTGGAGTTAGAACGATAATGAATCCATCTATTAGAAATAGATAATATAATAAGCAAAATTATTATTATTTGAGAATAAGATGGGAGCCAATATTGTGATCGATCATGGATACGACGAGTTATATAGGCATCTCAAATAGCTCATAATCATGCTAAAAAATACTGAAGGGAGAGACTAATATCGTGTCCAATAAAGGAAGTTCGAGTTATAACAGCTAGAAATCCATCAACTAGTAATGAGTAAATTAAAAACCAAACCGTAATGTATTGAGAATAAGATGTGAGCTAATATCATGATCGATCATCGATATGATGATGATATATTTGGATTTCAAATATTTGTTGATTGCTTTAAAATAGAATGATGGTAGAAGCTAACATAATTTTTAATAATTTATGTTAGAAGTAAGGCAATAAGGAGTTTATCGATTAGAAATTGGATAAAATTAGACCAAGTTATGATTACTTAAGTATCAAATCTGAGCTAATATCATCAACGATCATGAACACGAATATCATTCGATGATGTTAGATGGATTTCAATGGGTTGTTAATCACGTTAAATAGAATGATGGTAAAGACCAATATCGTCTCAATAGTCTAAATAAAAGTTATACCAACAAAGAATCCATCTACTATAAATGGATCACGCAAAAGGAATTACTACTGCGAATAGAATGTAAGCAAATATCGCAATCGCTCATCGATATGATGACATTAGATGATTTTAATTCGATGATAATGACATTACAATGCTGTTTATGTAGAGGATAATGTCGTTTCTACTAAGATAGACTACTTTAAAATGATGATAGCAAGGAATCAATCGACTAGAACTAGATTATAAATATGGGGATAAAATAAAAGGGAATATTATAGTCATCCATGGACAAGTTGATGTTTATTTAGACTAGTGAGCAATCGTGTCTCATATGAATTCAATTACAGAAGTTAATATTGTGTCCCATGTTACAGCTAGAACAACCGAGCATAAATCTACTAGAAATGGATAAAGCAGAAATTCTATATTGAGAATAAATTAAAAGCGAATATCGTCATCAACATGGTGATTTACTGGTATATAGATTTTAGACTGGCTTACAATCACGTCAAAGTAAACTAAATTATACAAGCTGACGTTGTGCATAAAAAGTCTACTTTAGAGTTATCATAGCAAGAAATTAAATCTCCACGAACAGAATACAGCAGAATAACTACAGTTATTGAGAATAAATTTTAGGCAAATATTACTATCATGCATTAATGATTGATGTCTATTTCAATTACTTGATAATCGTGCTAAAATTTAATTAGTATAGATTATGGCGTTTCTGAGAATCTACGTTAGAGTTGGTACAACAAGGAATTAATCCACTGGAAATAGATAAAACGGATTCCTACTGTTACTGAGAACAAATTATAGGCGATATTATCATTATGAATTGACATAATGATTGATATAGACTTAAACTACTTGATAATCACGTTCTAATGAAATGAGTGTAAAAGATGCTGTGTCCAAGAATCGACGTTAAAGTTGCTACAATAAGGAATTAATCCTCTTAAAGTAGACAGAAAAAATTCTTACAGTTGTTGAGAATAAGCTGTAGGCGAATATTGCCATCATTCATTGAAATAATGATGATTGATCTAGATTTAAACTACTTGATATTTACATTCAAATGAAATGGGTGTAGAAGATCATGTAGTATCCGAAAACTTACTTTAGACTTACTACAAAAAGGAATTAATCCTCAGAATATAGATAAATGGGGTTCCTACCGTTACCGAGAATAAATTGTAAGCGAACATTGCCATCATCCATTGACATGACGACTAAGATACAATTAAAACTACTCGATTATTACGTTAAGATGAAATTAGTGTAGAAGATCATGTCATGTCCAAGAATCTGCTTTGAAGTTACCACAATAAGGAATCAATCCACTGGAATAGATAAAGCCAAAATAGACTTACTGTTTCGAGAAAAGATTGTAAGTGAATATCGCCATCACTCATTAACATGATGGTGGATATCAATTTAAACTACTTGATAATCATATTAAGATTTAATTAATGTACAACGCCATATCATTTTCAAGAATGTACTTTAGAGCTACCACAAACAAGAAATCAATCATCTAGAATGGGTAAAATCAATCAACGCAAAAATTTCATTTTGAAACTAATTTGGAAGCAGATATCGTCATCACTCATCAAGTAGGCCATGGATTTAAACCACTCGATAATCACGTTAAAATAAAATTAATGGACAAGAAAATGTCTTCTTTAAGGGTCCACCTTAGAGTTACTACAAACAAGAAATCAATTAACTAGAAACGAATAATAAAATGGAAGTACTTTTGGAGAATAAACATGGAAGCGGATAACGCAATCCTATATGAATAGGATGGTTTATATGAATTTCCACTAGTTATAACGGTATGATAAAAATGAAATTTATTGGTGAAGATGATGTCGTGGCTAAGAATTATCTTTACAATTACGATAACAAGGAATCAATATACTGGAAATAGATAAAAAAAAGTGGAATTTCCATTTAGAGAATGAATTGTAACGAATCTCGTCATTATCCACGGACAGGATGAATATATTTAGATCGATACTGCCATTGCAGATAATTAATTCGCTTTAAATAAAATGAAAGGTAGACGATCATATCCTATTTAGTCTACTCCTCTAAAGTAAACTCCATGAGAAATCAATCATAAATGATCAGTTTTATTGGATAACAAAATCCAAGTCAACATCGTAATTGCTCATGGAAACGATAATGGACGTCGATTTCAATTTGTTGATGATGATATTCCAACAAAACGAAAGTAGAGATTCATGTGCAAGAATCAGCATGAAAATCATTTACATCAGGAAAAATGGCCATCAAATGGCTAAAAGTGAAGAATTTAATAGCTGTTCTACTTACCTGGGCCAATTTCGTCGATGAGATTATTTCGCCAACCACCATCCGTTAAATATTGCATGACGACGGCGGCTTTAATGAGTAAAATGTCGCCTTTATCATTAGAGAGTTGAAAATAGTCTTCGTTATCCTGATGCAATTTGGCTTTAATACGACATTTAAAGTAGTCTCCTTTAACGCCATGTTGTTCATTTTTTTTACAGATAAATGTTGGTAGATTGATATATTTATCCATGATATTATTGCTAGGCATATCGGCCATTTTTTCCGACAAGAAATGGGTCGACAGCAAGTTGGCGGAGGACTCTTTTTTCATCCCTCTCAGTCTGGCGATTTGCTGGTTTTCCATTCAATACCGTTAATATTCAAAATGGATTGAGGCCTTGTAGGAAATGGTTTGTTTACTTTGTTTGTTGCCGTTGATCAATAACAAAATACTGCTAAAGGACAAAGAGCCATCGATTGGATTGATTCCTATTATTCTTCTTATTCCTTTTTTGATTCCGCCATATACCCTTTGCCTACCTAGGTTAGTATTGTTTGAAAATTTAAATTATTGCGCTTCTTGGCTATTGTTAATGTCCTTGATGGGAAATCTACTGGTTACTCCACTACCTTCCAACGTCTTACTCAATAAATGATCAAATTGAGTGCTAATTTTATATATCCTATTCAGTCGGCAGGAATGGAACAACACCTTGGGTATTTATTTAGTTAAGATCATTTATTTTTCAAGCTATATTAAGGCTACGAGAGAGATCGAATGGCGCAGGTAGGAAGATAGTCAAACGATGATGTTCTCTTGATTGTCTTTTGGATGAAGACTCTTTATCCTTATTTTGGTAATTCCAGAGACAAAGCGAGTCGAGGAATACATACAGTTATTCGATCATGAAATAGTAGAGAAATGGGAAATTACCATCTTAACTGTACGTTATAAATGCTATGTTAAGGATATTTTGATCATCGGAAATGCAGCAATTGAATAATTAGAGTCTAGAATAAAGACATCGATGCCTTTATGTTTTACAGAAATAATGGAAAGAGTGTTTTAGCATGGGATAGGTATGCTATTCTATTCGTATACCTACGGATTGATGATGGGAAAAGAAGAATAGGAAAAAGGGCCTAATTTATTGATTTGAATACAAAGCTAGTGGATGAAATAAAAGAGTTCATTAATACTAAAGGTACCAGTAGAGCTATCTTTATTAGACATCTAGCGGTTGGATGATCACGAAAGGTGAAAAGAATAAGAACTACAGGGTAATATTTCCTAATTCATGATTTGAATATCGATCGGCTCGATGACGAACTGAAAGACTCCATCAATATTAGGCAATGTTATCTTTATTAGATATTTAGCTATCAGATGATCGTGTAGGATAAAAAAGCAAAGAAAGGAAATACAAGACAGTATTTCCTTGTTCATGTTTTAAATACAGACTAGTTGATGAATTCAATGAGTTCATCAGGATTTGGTAATATTATCTTCATTAGATATTTCGCTATTAGATGATTGGGAAGGGTGAAAAAAGGATAAAAAGAAATACAGGTGAGTATTTTCTAGTTTATGATATGAATATAGATTAGAAGATACACTAAACTAAATGAGTTCATCAACATTAGGTAATGTTATCTTTATTAGATATTTCACTATTAGACGATCGGTAAGGCTGAAAAAGAAATATAGGAAATACAGGGTATATATTTCCTAATTTATGATTTGAATACCGGCTCGTTGATGAAGTGAAAGACTCCATCAATATTAGGTAATGCTATCTTTATTCATTACCTAGCTATAAGGTGATGGAGAAGGATGAAAAAAGAAATATAGGAAATACAGGGCACTATTTCCCGGTTCATGATTTGAATATAGACTAGTGGATGAATTAAATGAGTCCACCAATATTAGATATTTATCTGTTTGATAATTGGGAAGGGTGAAAAATGAAACAAAGAAAGGATAGGGTAATCTTCTACTGTGGTGAAGGAATATGAAGAAACTTTTGGAATTGATAACCGATGGAATAAAAAATGGGAAAGAATATAGAAGCAATGCATGTTGATATTTCATTTATCTTAAGAAGTGTGAATAAACCGTGTATTGACAGCATTAGTCTATTTAACCAATAGAAGAGGCTCTATTTTAGTCCTTATTACAGTTAAAGTGTAGCTATTTATTGATTATAAAGTATGAAAAAGAAATGAGGGAAGTAGACAATACTGAATAACTACAAATGTAAATTAAAGCAATGAATGCTATAACTTTTATTAATAAAACGGCTGCGTACATGTAAATCAAGAGACAACGTGGTATTTAAATGACTATCATCCGTAATGTTTAATATACAACGACAACTTCATAAGACACGTAGAAGACACGTAGAAAATGGAGAAGTAGCTCCCATTACTTCCTTAATAAATACGCGGAGATATATTGACAGCATTGAAAGATATTTTTCTAATTAGCAAGCAGCTACTGGTATCGTAAATATGCAACTGATATTTAAAATTAAAAGAGCCGAGAATGAGAATACAAAAAGTAAATTACTCGTATGTTTATTTAACTAAAATAGGCTACACGAACAAATGTTTTCCTAGAGATGGATGTTGTAAAACTGATACAATTACGATTTAGTGTTAAAACGCAAGATAGATGCCATAAAAGTGGAAAAACCTCAAATTTGTTATTTTATTAGCAGTAGGTCAAGTTTAAATTATTGATGCAGACGTGATATTTACATCATATGTTGATGATAGTCTCGACCAGATCAACTATTTTGACTGTAGTAAGTGCATTTTTATTGTTGATTAATGATAAATTAAGCAATTAGCAAATGAATGATCAGATTAAGTCTGGTGTTTTTCACCATTTTCTTTTCTGATGGGAACGATGCTGTATTATAATATCCTCTGGCTGGGCCTCACAATGTTAATAACTGAACTAATCATAATCTGATTCTATCCAATACCTCCAATTGAAATGGAAATATTTCTTTCAACCCGTCTTGGCCTACTCTATTTCAAGACCTGTATCTTATCCATAGTGTGATAATATTGCCTTGATAGAGTTGGTCAATATCATGATTTATCAAACACCATATTCATAGTTTTACCTTTTAAAATATGAAAAAGTCGGCGCCTATATAACGAAAGCTAAAGCTCTTTATTCAGTTATTTATTTTGCCTTTCATTAATATAACAGGCCCCCAAAATAATTAACAACAAAGTTTCATTATGTATTGCACACAATGAAAACAAAAAAATAGAAATATGGTGTAATCTAGCATAATTTTTTCAATCGCATGATAATATGAAAAAATTAAATCGACATCGTAACTGATGCAACGATTGATCTTAACCCGTATCTTAGTGATAAATTTGTGACATCAATTTAAATAGATTGATCAAAAGCTAATAAATAATATAAAATAATAACGGTAAAATGAATGTTTACAGCGGTAGGTTCTCGCTATCAAATATAGCACAACTTTGTTATACCAGTACAGTATTATTTCTCTATACGGTCATAACAGCTACCGTACCATTCAATTCAATCCAGTAACGTCAAGCCTACAGTATTCCTTTGCAGTTATAGGTATGAGTTAAGCTATAACCAAATGTGATGATGTGATTACTTTAAGACTTAACAATTTTTTCAAAAATAGATCTTAACAAGCAATGCTTATGCCAATACGATTTCTTCGCAATCGTTATTCTTACGCAAGTAGGAATTATATTAATATTTGTAGAGTAAACAGATAAAGAGCGTTTCTAGATGATGTGATCGATTCAATTAGATATCAGAAACATTCTCTCTATACATGATACCATACATAGCATTGAAAATACAAAGCTGAATTAATATACAGTCAATAGAAGAATATTGAGCATATCAAATAGAAAAAAAACACTGCAGATGAAAATAAAGGCAGCAATAGTTACACATGCAAACGACTAATAAATAGGTTGATATTCGTTCGTTTTATTCAGAGAATATGAAAGGAATAGAAAAAGTATAGTGATCGACTTTAAATTCGATGTAATTACATGAAATAAACAAAAAAAATTTCAATTAAATTACGATATATTCGTTAAAATAAACTCTTGTCATCCTTAGGTGCCCAAATGCTATTTCCAAAGTAATTCAGAGGATTATAATCGACGATTGATTTCTCACCACTAGAACTTGTGCTATCATCTTTATTTAAATCTTCCATAAATGACGCAGCCCAAGATGATGAGGTATCCTCCTATAGTAGATTGATTAGTCTCTCTTCAATGCTTTACCGATTTAAATCAATGAATTATTCATGGAATAGTAAAGAAATGCTATCTACAAAGATACAAGAGTATAAAATCATGTTAGACCTTCTACACTTTAGCTTACCTCAGACTGCTGTAGTTGCCTTTCGTTGACATTGGGCCAATTATTATCATGTTGGCTAGCCGGAGGTGCATAATACTGGTAATTATTCTATAACGAATTAAAATAAAAGTTGACTTTGAATAGCATATTTTTTACAACAGGGTGCAACACAATCCTGTATCAAACATTCTGCGTTTATATGAAACCAACTCACAACATAGGGAGCGACATTATTAGGGTAACTTGGTGATCGGTTCGAATTAGGCCAAGATCCATAGCGATCATCTGAAACAGCAGAGTAATCATCTCCAGCATCTGCGGACCAATTTTGATACCGGTGCGAATCATGACTTCGCCAGTTACTTCTAGGCTGGATAGCTACTCCAGCTGATAATCTCTGAGGTGGATGTTCATAGTCTGACCGCGAAGTTAATGTAGTAGGAGGGGCTGCACTACATTGGACATCGATAATAGCTTTATCATAATATTGCAGTGATGCCCCCATCGAATGTGGTAATGTTGACAGCATTGGTGGTGCACCGTGATTAATCGAATTCCTATTTACTGGTTGGTTATTTATACTCGTATTCTCATTTACACTTAATCTAGGTGGACTAGATTGATCAAAAGATGGCACTAATGGAGTATTCCAATGGCCAGCATAATTATCCACTTGATTTTCAGTAGAAATGTTTTGTGGCACTTTTTGCAAAGCTTCCCTGGAAGCATAATGCGGAGATGCACTATGTGGTCGATAGCTTGTAAACGCCGAATGTCTGGATGGAATTGACGAAGGCCGGTAACTTATGGATTTCCCACTAATACCCACGTCGTCATTATTATATCGGTGGCCATCGTTACCAGCATGTCTAGCATCATCAGGAGAGGTTGATCCTATATAGATTGCAGTCATATTAGTAATACTAATTTAAATGTTCTTCCCATAAACTTTAAATCTAAACTAAATAGCAAAAGAAAGTATATCAAAAGCTGCTCTAGGAAATTGCTGCTATGCTTACCCAAATTTCCTACAGATGATAAATAGAACTCATTATGTGTAATATCTGACTTTCGATTACTAGAATCATCATGGCGTTCTCGTGAGAATGACTGCGCATACGATTCTGTTGAATTATTAAAAGATGAGCTTGATGCGGTCGTAATCGCTTTCGATTGCATATTGTTTGAAGGAGAAATGGATGATTCTTGTATATTAGTATTGGCATGTTTCTGTTTCAATTCTTGACTCATCTTTTTGTTAGCAAGTACACTATTACTTGGATCTGCATGCGATGCTGGCCCTTTCTTTGTCTGCTTTCCGTCACGATTGACAGATTGCTTTTCGATATTGATCGATTTATTACTGTTAGCCTTATTATTGTACACGGGTTTACTTTGATGCTGAGTAGTCATCTTTGATTTCTTAGTATTGGCTTTATTGGGAGGATTATCGATATCCTTATTAAAGTGCGTACTAGCACTTTTATCAACATTCGGATTGCTACCGATAGGGTGAGATGACGAAGAGGATGGCGATTCTGCAACCGCTTGTAGAGCTTTGCTATTATCAGTGTCCTTAGCCGTACTAAACGGTTGCTGTAACGATTTCTGTCTATCCTTATTTATTTTACTGCTAGATTCAATTGCGGTTGAAATTGTTGTTTCTTGCTTTCCCATAGCTTCGATAGAATGATCATTCTTGCCTTTTTGTTGATGGCTAGCATCCTTTTTTACAGCTGATTTCTTATTCTTTTTAAGTAATTTCGACTTTTGAGTTTTATGTTCCTGTGTAGTATGTGCAACGACGCTGCTAGTGTTCCACGGAATTTTATTGGTGCCACATTGCTGATCAGCCTTGTTATCAGCCTTGTCCAGATATTTTTTACTATCCGTTGCTTCAGGTAAACTAGATTGTGCAGTTGCCGCAGTAACCAAGGAAGAATCTAAATCATGCCTAGATTTAGCTCTCGTAATTTGTACTAACTGATCGGAGGTTTCACAATTTATTTCTTTATCAAGTTTTGAGTTAGAAGTTTTCCAAACGTCAGCGTTATCAATCTCTCCAACAGAATCCTTGCGGAGGGCTGTATTCTTTTCTTCGTTATCATTGGAAGTATAGTGCATTCTCCATGGTACATCGTTCTTAGCATTATCATTACTAGTTTCATCACCAAACATTTTATCTTCATTATCTTCACCGTATGCATCAGTAATGCCAGAATCATGAGAAGACATGTCGGCATCTATTTCATCTATAATCGAATTGTTACTGCGCTCGCTGCCTTCTTCATCACTATGTATGACAAATATGTGATACAACATTAGCTTAAGTGATTATAAATATGGAGATTATATCGCAAATATTCTAATATCTCGTACAATTTATTCTAATTAAGATAATTTCATTAATTCCTTAATAAAAGTAATTTTCTTACTCATCTAACAAATTTTCAGCATTTTCAAACAATTGCTTTGTATTGATCAAAGCTTTCAAGTCGAATACATCGGTACTGGGTGAATAGTGAGCTACGTTCCCATTTGCTTTATCATCACAAATCAACGGAAGAATTTGTCTTGAAATATTTTTCGATTTGGACATCGCCAAACCAACAATAAAAATTAATATTCCAGTCATAATCAGCCAGGCAATTTTGCTGGTCCAGTTTATCCAGGATGGTGTAATCCGCAAGGACGAACAGTTTGGTAATAGGTAATGAGGTAATATAGCAATAAGATTAAATTCTCTTATTCCGTCGTCACTAGTATGAATACGTAATGTTCTTTCTATCACTGATATAGAGAAATCTGGTTCAAACCTACGTAGAAATAATAATTCCCAAAAATGTCGTAAGCCTAAAAATATTTTTAACAAAATTAATAACTTATAGGTGCTAACTGTTACCCATTTATCTACTCTAATATTGTCTAAAGGGAGTAATGGATTACCCGATATCAATTTGTATATTATGCTTCGGATTTAGTAGAAATGATGTACAGTTTTTAATTTCAAATCCATAGCCAGAACATTCAAAACCATTAATGTCCATTTTTTTAACAAAAATAGGCAATTTTCCGCTATTTTCCATTATAAATTTGCTCAAAATTTCAAATTTAGATGCTGTATTAAAATGGCTTGATTTCTTGTCTACAGTGTAGCAACAAATAAAGTTAGCAATTAGTTTACTCAAATACTTTTAGAACAAGATCTATAACTAATAATTTAATAGCTTCAACAGTAATACCAATGCGTTTTTTATTCAATTATTTACTAAACTTAATTATTACAAATATAAGATACACTTTTCCAACCTGAGCAGTGCAAGAGATCGGAAGGATGCGCAACAAATTGCAAACTACCATTGCATGAAATATTATCACCGTGCAGTTGCAATTCTCCTCGGCCCCCTTGCCCTTGTAATAATATGCTGTCTATGATAGTTAAATTATTCCTAAAAGGATAGAGAATGTTAGTACTTTAACTTAACTGATAGCCATGTATTAAAACCAAATTCTTGAAATCAAGCGCTAATGAACGTGGAATCATTCATTTACCTAATTAGGAGAAAGGTTGATGAGACTCGATAGTCTGATGGTGTAAAGGATACTGTAATATTAGCACGACCACGCGGTTTTAATAAAAATGACAATGAAGCGGGATGACTTTTAATTCCATCAATGGTAGAAATACTTTCGTAATCGGAATGCGCAGCCATTTGCAATTTGAAACCATTCAATGATTGTGAATCTGTATCAATAACTACTCCATCTTCAATAATATCAAGAGCAGCTTGTTGCGATGGATAGTCAGGTAGTAAAACAGCTTGTACTATTATGTTCTGATCAGATGGGTTAACTAAAGCAACAACCTTTGAAGAATAATTTTTCGGGTGCGTTAGCGGGTAAATAATTGGTCCTTCAGTAGTGATAATTGACGGCCACATTAGAGAAGCCTGAACAGTTACATTTATATTTTCGATAATGTCGGTTTCGATTTTTAATTGGTGGACACTTGATGTTAAACCATTGTCCTCTAAATACTTCCATTTTTCTTGTAATTTATTATAAAACCTCCTATCAACAGCTGTAGTCTCTTGATCTAATTGCAAGCTTTTAATCCATGCCGCATTATCTAGTATTTTAAGTAAACATCATTGTCATTTATATATTTTTATAGTATGCATTGGCAAAAATTATGGTATATAATCACAATTTTACAAATGAGTTACCTAATTCGGGTTGATTTAAACCTATATAACGATATTGGATATCTTTTGATGGGATAAATGACAAATAGCCAACTAGTGTTGATTCATCACCCTTTAAACTCGAACTGCTTTCATTCGCAAATGAAAATTCAAATCGAATATCGCTAGGATCGTATTGAATAGATTTAATCTTGGTAAATGGGTGATAATTTGATGTCATCCATAGAGTTTGAATTTCCCTACGACTCTATTTCAATCAAATACAACAGAGATTGTTTTATATTAGATTAGTTTAAAAGCTAGAAATAGGAATTGTAGTGTATACGAGTATATATTAATGTATATATATAAAATACTGTAAGTTAAGTTAAAGATAATTCAATTTATCACTAGCCAGCAAGTTCACTGGAAATTAATCTTACCGGAAAACTAGGTGAAAATACAATCGGATCTAATCCTGGCCTAATGTTGACGTTGACTGACTTAAACTTCCAAGGTAATTGTAATTCCTATGGTAATACATGTAATTATGTTAAATAAACAATGTTTGAACCTTTCATACAGAAAATACAATAATTAACCAATATAGATAGATACCTCATGATCGGTAATAAATTCAATTTGACCGATATACAACCCAGCAGTATCTGGTGATTCCAAACGAATGGTAAAATTAATTTCTAACTCAGGAACCATGATTAGTGGATTCTAGAATGTTTGTTATAACCGTTAATTTCCGTTTGTGGATGCAATAGAATTAATGAACAATTAGCATCATAATCAAATTTTGCAATTATACCTGTAAAGTAGCTAATTTAGCGTCATTTTGAGGAAATATAGAAATACAGTCTAAGCTACTACGAATCTTTAATATAGTGATGTTTATAGGATTAATGTTCTTGACCAGTAGTGAAACAAGACGTATATCGTTGGTAGCCACTGTATCAAAGTTGAGAGATGATACTCCTATCTTATTTCTATAAAACTAAAATCATAGTACGAAATACTAAAAGTTATAATATGTCATCATCATTCGAGAGAACTAGTGATTATTTCCTTTCTTCGTAATAATCAGTTATATCACATACTTTTAAAGAGCCATCAAATATTTGAATAGGAACCCGAAACGACGTTAAGTTGGTATATAAAGTTAGACTGGTGCTGACAGGCGATTTATACTTGCTGCAGTTGATGTTGAATTGAAATAAGGTGACAATTTTACCAACAAGTAGAACATCAAATTTTGAAAATTGAGATATCTGAAATAATATAAGTCATGCGTAATGTTCATCAATGATTCGATTTCCATGCTATATAAACATGTAAGGCTAACAGTATGATATCCTTTGTAATCAATTTAATACAAATACCTTTACGAGTGCTTTCCCTTTATCCAATTTAATTTTACTAACGGAAAGAGGAATACGGAAATGATTTTCTAAAGTTAAAGGCCGAATAATGACGGAAGTTGTGCCAGTTTTAATTTGTATCGTAACCGAATTTTTGGAAAATTTTAACCACCTAATTGAGAAGATTTTTTAAGTTTAAGTTCATTAATGGATTATTAAATTAAAGTGAGAATCCAATTTCTAAAAGTTTATCCTATATTAACTAAGAACTTTGTCTGCCTATTACAATTATCCATACGAACCCTTTATGTATGGTGGCACAGTATGGAATATCTAATTTATAAGCATGCCTATTATTTGATTTAATTTTTATTACACCAGTAAGGAATTCTTCATTGCTAATTTTATCACCTATGACAGTGAAATAACACAATAAATTTAAGCCTGAATTCAAAAGTGAGCTAACAATTTACAAGTATCGATCTTAAGTATAGTAAATAGCTTCGAATTACTCACTGTCAAGAAGGATGGTGCCAACTTTTCTATAAATGCCATCCGATTTAAGCTTAACTTTACTCTAAGGAATAATATAATAAAATAAATTAATTGCGAGGTTAATAACTACAACCGGCGTGAATTAGCTGTAAATCCAAAGTAATAGCATTGCTTTCACTATATGAGAAAATTGGTGATATGTAAGATTTTGTATTACTACCATCCAAAATTTGTTGCGTAACTTACATTAAATTTGACCGAGACTGCTTCATGAGAAGGAACGACAGAAATATCCTATTCAGAATAATATAAACCAAGCATTGTCAGGTAACTGAGCAAAATGTAATTCTTTTATGCTGAACAACAGGTAAAAATGAGGACAAAATTACTTACAGCTATTTGAGTTTGTTTTTTACCAATATGAAGTAAATAAATATCTATAGACTTTATTATTCCTGCAACATAAAAAGTCTTAATATTATCTATGTGTTACAGAGATGATCATTATTATTAATAGCTCCCATAAAAGGCTAGCAAATTTAGATGCTGTTCAAAGTTGATAATTCATTACAATTTTGGAAAGTTCAATTTTACCTGAGCCTTCGATTATTCCAAAATCAAATAAGTTAGTAATACTAAATAAACCAGGAGCTGTAGAACAATAAGTATTATTAGTACCATATACTGGTATGTAAACTTTCAAGCAGTAGTAAATCTAACCTGTAGTAACTTCAATTTGAATAGGCACAATAATACTACTATTAGTCAAGCTAGCGTTAGTATGAATGCATAAATAAGCGGTATAATTATTTTCGATTGCGCCTAAAAAGGCCAAGCGAGAGATGGTATGAGTTTGATGCGCTGGAATCACCTATAAGATTCAGCGATAAATAAATAATTTAGCTCTGATGACGTTAGGTCATATTTTTACATAGCAGAAAAGACTAATACAGAAATCTAACCCATGGATGTTTAGCAGCAGCTGTTTCAGTGGGAAATTCAAGATGAATTTCACCACTACTAGAAAATACTTCAGATATCTAAATATCAGCAAAAAATAAAGACAAAGGATAATTGTTATGGTAGAGAATCTTTAATTCAAATACAATATAACAAGCATAATTGTATGTTGCATCAACTTATAATACCTGCAAAGTTGTATCATAAGGGTTAAATACTTTTATTAAAGGAGAATAAGACGCATTTAGCGGCAGCTTAGCGGCAAAGAATAGTGGCAACTTGAAAGGATTTGCTATACCAATACCAGTTACCTAAGTTAATTAAAAATTGATGAGATTCTTTGCAGGTGATAGTCAATTTAATGTGTAAAATACATTATAGTCAGGAGAATTAAAGCAATAGTTCGTATTAAACATTTTACTTACGTTTAAAAGAATTGGATTACCAATCGAAAAATGAAAATAAATGGTCTCGTCTCTTTTTCCAAATTGACGAGGATGGAAAATAATTTGTATTGAATTGTTTTCTCGAGGATAAATTGTCTAAACGAAGATGAGCCAGTGATGGGCAATTAAGCGCGAGAATTTAGTTAAAATAGAATAAGGACAATTTATCTTTATTGCCAAATACTTAATATTGATATGGATTTACTTTTAGAAGAGTAAGGTTTATTTTATAAAACATAACTATCCCATAATATTCCTTATGAGGGTATGCGTGTGTAGTATTGATGTTAGAGGAAATGAGCATATCAATGACAATTAATTTATCGTTCCAATACTAACCCTGCTAGAATTATCAAATTGAAAATCATGAATAGAAGAGGAAAGGTATAACAATTTTACTGGCTTCCGATTTGCAGCGGCGTATTTTAAATTGATTGAAATGGAAATAGTTTCTTGGTGCGTGATACCAACCGGTCTAAATTTTATTTTTCGAAATCAAATACAAGAAGATTGAGTCAGTAATGCTATAGGTATAATGATATCCATATATCGTTATGAGGAAGAAAATGTGTAACGGAATACCATTTTAAGTAGTTTCGATTCTAGCAACGCTATTTTATGCATAAATAGTTTTGCATGCATGAAAATAGCTGTATTGCTAATACATCGGTCATTTCTACTTCTACACACGGATATAACTATAAACTACTGCTACAGTTCCATATAATACTGTAAAGTAATATAGTGTTAACAAATCCTCTCTTCTGGTTAATGACTTTGGCCTTATAGAAAAGTATTTATGATAAGGTTTCAAGGTTTATGTAATGTTGCCATTTGCGGCTACTGGAAGACAACGCAACATTATTTTGTCTCCTTCATGTATTGATCATTTCTAGTTTATTAACTTCAACATATTACAAATTGCAGTCACTATTACTCAGGGACATGCAACGTTATTTTATATGATTAAAAATACTAGAGATTGTCTATTTCTATTTCATAACTACTTTTTCAATGAATATAAGTACATGTAGTACAATTAGCAATAGTTCTATAGGATACAGAGCTGTGAAGTAGTCAAAATGACTGATACTTTGCACATTTATCTTATTGATGGCCAGAAGTAACAAGAATTAGTAAAAGATTTTGTAGCAAAGCAGCTACTAATTGCTTAGATACAGTGTTTCACTACTATGCTTTAAATTATTCGTTTATTTTCGATTGATAAATTGCCCATTTAAACTTCATTGCATCAGGATAATAAAGTCGAATGATTACCTGCGTCCGAAGTCTAAACACTTTGGTCGAAGTTCAATGAATAACTTTTTCGCACAGTCAGTTTCATCCTTGTCGTCATCATTTGTTGTTAGACTCCTAATAAAAATTAATTGACATTTTCGAAGTAAGGTAAAGAGTAAAATCGATTTTTTGGTGGACCACTATTGATCCAATCTAGGCATTGCTCATTATGATTATATTACGAAATATCCATAAGTATACCAAAATTACATCAGACAAAAGATGCAAAAAGGTTAAACAAAGCTGAGGTCATAATCTCGGTTAAACCGAGATTGGATAACTAAGTAATCAGCCATGATGACTACCCTAATCATGAGTTGAAATTGTATTTAATTGTCAATGATCCTGGCAATCTCCAGATCCAAAACTAAATAATTTTGCAAATACATCAATGACCAATAATAGCTAATATTAAAAAAATCAGAAATGCCATGATAACGTGTTATCAAACAAATGGAAAGAAAGTAACTACTGATACTGTGTCTATTCACCGTAATAACAAATTAAATAGATTATTTCGAAATTAGCCTTAACATTAGCAAGGAGCAATTTGATAATGATGGTTCATCATTACACCGATTAGAAAAACTTACGTTAATGATTGACTTTCTGATGGATTTTCACTGCTTCCACTGTCCTGCTAATTATCAAGTCAATTTCAAGTTAATTAACAATAACTAACCAAGGACATTTCCAATTCTTTATCATTAATATGAGTTAAATATTTTCATATAAAGTATAACTGGTAGTGAAAACTGTTATTAAATGACCATCACCCTAGGTTCATGGTTTAAAAATCGTTTATGTGCATGTTGTATAGTCTCTATGCTGACACGATGCATCTCTCGACATCGTCTAGAAACTTATGCTAACTCATGTTGTATTGCTGGCCAATTGGAGTGAAATAAAATTGATCTATTAAAGTAAACTAAGCAAGGATGGCGAAGTATTACTACTCGTCTTGAGTCGTTGTCACCTTCAAGCAGATTAAAGTTGTAATCCATACAGGGTGATTGTAAATCTAATCATGAACTAAAATATCATCTTATGTTCTAATCCTATTCAACCAGTGAAGCAGAGTAGAATCATAACTACTACTACTAATACGACTGAATCCATCAAGGCATTTGTCATCTTTTCATCGAATGCAAAATTCATGTCATTGATCATCGTTACTTTTAACCTTCATCTAAGATAGCAATTATATCGTGGGCATAATCATCAACTAAGAACCCATGTTGTAGTCTTTCAACAGTTCAGACCGATCAGAATCATAATTTTTTAGCCTTCATCGAACGTAGCAATTATACCATAAGCATAATCACTAATTAAGATCCCATATTGAAGTCTTTCAACAGTTCAGACCGATTGGAATCATAATATTTTAGCCTTCATCTAACGTAGCAATTATACCATGGGCATAATCATCAACTAAGATCCCATGTTGTAGTCTTTCAACAGTTTAGACCGATCAGAATCATAATATTTTAGCCTTCATCGAACGTAGCAATTATTCCATAAGCATAATCACTAATTAAGATCCCATGTTGTAGTCTTTCAACAGTTCAGACCGACTAGAATTATAACCTTGACGTCTACTTGGAGGTTGTAGAAATTATTATCAATATAAATATTGTTCTGTGTTTTCGTCATCTTCAACAAGTAGAGTAGAATCATAGCTGCTGATGCGACGAATAAATCCATCAAGGCGCAATCATAGTAATTCATCATTATTACTTTTAATCTAAAGTCCCAGACACCTTACAATGCGCAACTAATCATGAACTAAGGTAAAGTTACTAAGATCCCATATTCTAATGAACCGGTTGAGTGGATTCAAATCCACCACGATTACCCCTGGATAGAGATTGTACAATTAATTATAATTATGAGTTAAAATATCGTTTCGTACTTTGCTCATCATCAGCAAGTAGAGTAGAATTATAGCTATCGATTGGACGAAGAAATCCATCAAGATTCAATCATTCATAAATCACTTGTAAGTTCGATTCCTACAAAGTGATTGTAGAAGGTAGATCTACTTATCATCGAAGATCTTACGTAGAGTAGTCTAAGTAGGATGACAATAATTAATTGATGCGGTAATCCTTAATTCAGCCCTCGAGAATGGATTGATCATGTCATCACTTTGAACACAAGGCGCTACAGCAGTTGGATGTGCTAACAAGATTAACAATGTGTTAACATCCCTTCCAAGCAATAGGTGCAATAATCCTCTTTGGAGGCGATGAATCATCAGGGATATACTGTCCAAATGTTTTGATGAACTGCCCATAAAATGAGCAATTCATTTCATGATCTATTACTCCTTTTAACATCACGTCGTTATGGAAAGTAAAAATAGGAGAATAGACACCCGTAGAATCTGGTGGTTAAAATGTTATACTATTAAAAGACAGCGATGGCCTCGTTAATATGCTCCATCTTCTTACCCCTACTCTCCAATTTGTGTAATTATTTCCATCCATGTCACTTTTTTATTACCCTACATAAGATGATGATAGATGGATAATGCTATGTAAAATTATATCCAATGATGGAGTAAATTGATATCATTTCAATTGATGTATTTACTCTCCTTTAATTTAATCCAGACGAAAGCAATGTCCTACGATAATGATATTATTAATCATTATCATTATTAATACTGTATGTGGATGTTGGCATGAGTAATCCATCCTCTGCTGGAGTGCGAGCGGAAGTGTTATTTATCTTCTTAATTAATCCACAATTCTACACTGTATGTACAGTAATCAATCGCCATCATGTTGTACTAGACAATATTATTAGGCATCGGTCAATCTTGAAGGAATTCATTTCTAGAAGGATGGCTCATTAAGATCAGAATAAAGGAAAGGACGATGATTGTGTATTCATGCATCTTGGAGTAAAATGGTCTCAAGAGTAATTGCAAAGGTAAGCATTTTTTGCCCTAGTATGGAGTCCATGACTAGTTGTTATAGTTGAAAAGAATAAACTGTCTGTCTACCAAGTCCTCAAGTGATCATTTGCCGTAGAATTGAAGGATGGATTGATTTACTGTACAGTCTTGCATGTCCTTAATAACATATCATTTGATTGTGCAAGAGAAATCCATGACGGATTGGCTGCTAATGAATCAGCCTGTCATGGCGTAAAGTGATGACCATTGGATATTACTAATGGACGTTAACATAACTTGAAAATAGGTTGTCTAGCTTGATTCCAATTTTGGATAAATTGATTTACCTTCGATACAGGTAGAATATTCGGCGAAAGGGGACGAGAACAGGTTTGATCACGACCATGACATTCAAGTCCTAAATTTGTTCAAAAAAGGAAAATCAATCATTAGGCAGATTCTTGTAATCAACTTCTTAATAAGTCTATAGACAAGCTAATCCAACATATTCATTGATCATCCAAACAAATTATCTATTCGTCGTATCCAGGAAGAAACAATTTGAAGACAAGACGAGAAAGTTGTTTTACTTGATATCAAGGGTTAAAACCAGACTTGGACTGTTAACAATCAATCGATGATGACGATCATGAGCTTATTCCTTGAGCATGCATTTCAATATTTGTAAAGAGGGATAATCAACAATAATAAGAATCTATTTTATCGACAGATTCATTAGCAGAATCTACTGAGTATTTTGATTCACAGGGATAATCACGTTAGTGATAATATCCAAACATGGCAAGACATCACAAGGCAGCCGGTTACTGCTCAGACCTGGCTATACAGTACATGGGATAAAAAATTCTCTTCCACTACTTCATAAGATCTTGCCAGTGTTGGCAAGATGGCGTAAGGTAGGAAAGAATTTATCCTCATTGATATCTTCAGTATCATGTCAATCATGGCTGTCTATTTTACCACCATTGGGAAGTAGTCTGTCAAGGTGGAGCGATCGATTTTTCTGCTTGTTGTTTCAAGGAGAAGTAATGGACTATTTGAGCGACATCATCAATACAGTACTAACAACAGTCCAAGGGAATGGAAAAAAGACTTGCGATTTGTGAATGCCAGACATCCAATTCATCAATCTACTGACTTGTAAATGATGATAGAAATATTTTGCCTTGAATCCATGTCACGATATCGATAACAACAAGTAATCGAGTAAATAAGGTTCAAAATCGCAGTGATAGGATAGGATAGGATTTCAAAAAATGGAGAAAGAATTGCGACTACTCTTTGTCTGATTGATAAAATGGATGTAAGAGGCAAGGTATCCCATACAACTACCCTTAGATTGTAGAACGTAGTTCGCTGTCCGTTCAAAGCAATCATTATGCTACAGTTATTAGGCAAATAAGATCGTTTCGCCAATGTCTATTTTCTTGTCCAGGGGAGAGGGGAAAAATAGCAACGAACAGATTAAATATTACGATGGACAAGAGTCCATGTTAGGGCAGTGAGGAATCTATACAGGGCAAAGGATCAATTGAGTTGATGTTGGACACGATCGATTTTACTGCAACTGGAAGAAAATAAACTCCAATGTTCCATATTGAACTTCCTTACTACCCTAATATGATCGAAAGGATGCTTGACCAGCGATCGTATTTTTTGGCTGGTGTTTCTTGTTCTACAGGCAAAGCAGTCGATTATTTATGAAATGATCGATGCCAATAGAACCTTCCACATTGCTCAATAAAAGGGCAGGAAATAAACTACTCTATATTGAATTAAACCTACTTAGCTACAAGTGCAGGAAATTGGCTACAATCAATCATCATCATCAGTAATCATGAGGATTGTTTGTCCAGCCATCATTTTATTTTGTTAGCCGGTTAAAAGGTCAAAAGGGAAGAACTGGCTCAGTGGAATCATGGCTGAAGAAGTGCATCCAGTCTATGTCTAGAAGATGGATAAAACTCAATCCACAGTCAAAACACAACTATTCAAGATTTTAATTGACACTCTCTTAGCCACAAGAGTAGGAAATGGACGTAAAATAGCCATTTCCAATCAATTTAAAGTAGTGGCTAGGAAGATGATGCTTTGCCTAAGCATCATTTTATTTGGTTAGACGACTTGGGAGAAAAAAAGGAAAAGATTCCATACTGCGTAGCCCCACAACGCAATAATAAAGCACCAGCGCTCCCAGTTTCCATGGCTTCAATTCAACCCAGTGCAACAACTCAATTTCTCTTCCCTCTCTTATTAGATGGCTTTGCTGTAAGGGTAGGAAATGGACCGGAAGGATTATTCTGGTGGATAGGAGGAAAGATCATTCGTCTAGTGTGATTTTATTTGAAAGAGCCGACTGGAGAAAAAGGCAGCTTTACCGACTGCATGCATAAAAGAGCGATCATGCAATCCGAGCTAAAATAAGTAAACGCAATGTAAAGCAAAAGTGGAATGGTTCCCTATGGAAGTGAACTCCTCAGCTAGGTCTATTCCTTGTCTATACAAGTAGAAGAAATAGTTCTCCTCTATCCATGGCTTTACATTCATGAGAGAGAAGATTGTTTGCCTAGGCATTTTGGGGTTTTGTTGCCCACCTAAGGAAAACTAGATACACCGTCTGGGCAAGCATGCAGTCCAAGCCAATGGGGATAAAACTCGTCCCAAAGCTGTAGCAATACAGCTCATGCCCCATTGGATTCCTTAGCGACAAGCTGTAGGCAATCCAATAGGATTTCAATGCAATTTTAATGCCATTGCAAGTGGAAAGATGGCGTTAAGCCTTAGCCTTGGCGATCAAGTAAACACCATGTGTCGACAACTGGAGCAAAATGGTCGGCATCAAACAAGTGCAAACAAGCGCATCAACAACCCTTGTCTATCGTTCAAATACCATCTTACCTTGGGTTAAAGACGATTTAAAGGCAAAAGTAAGACTTGAGGTAGAATAAAGTAATGCAATAATTAACAAGAATCCATTTTTCAATCGTATTTTGAAGCTATCCGATGGCCACAAGCCCAAACCTGCAGCCATGATTGATTCCGGCCGTCTTGGCTTCCTACTGAATAAGATTGGCCGAGTCAAACCCTGTTGGGGTACAATGGCTTTTTGCCACGTGATCGTAGATCATAACGACGATTGGATAGAACCATGTCAGCAATTCAATACACAACCAATCAACAAACCAAGACAAAGCGGACTCTAGCCAATCAACGCACACTATTTCCACAATACATTATTGTACTGCGGTGTGGTCCAGCCGAGGCTGGCTAAATGGATTATTGCGATCCTGCATCGCTTGGAGAGGAGAAAATTTGCCTAGAAAGGCCATTTCTGCATGGATTGACGAGTAGAAACAGATAGAAGTGCTTCCTTCCTTGCTGAGAAATGGAGAAAAATGAGCATCCTACTAGAAAAAGTCATCTTCAACCAGCATTATCATGCAGCTCAAAGGATGATTTGATGTCTCATTTTGTTGCAGCCAGCTTGGCAATGGCGAGGTGTGCATTACCAATTGGCATGAAAATATAAAACTTGAAATGATAGGCCATTTCTAGCTAGATCGACATGGAAGGAATTCAAATGATCTACAGTTTTTTTACAAAGTTATTCACCACCTTGATCGATGAATGGAATGGTACGTGTATAATGGGAAGGCAAGTCATGAATCAAAGGTCGTTTCTGACTGGATTTGTTTTAGGTACTATCCATAACTCTATGATGCCAAATGGAACTATCGTTGGTCTCTTTATTGGATTTGATTCGAGGAAACTATTCATCTCGATCGATGAATTGAATGGTACTGTATAATGAGATGGCGAATTAGGAAATGAGAGGCCATTTCTTCCTATATTTGCAGTCAAGGACTTGGATGAGGTACAGTCTAATAGAGGATGCTGGTCACCAACTCGATCGATGAATCGAATGGTAGAATGACAAGGACAAGTCATGAAATGAAAGGCCATTTCTTGACTCGTCATGCAGTCTATTAGAAGGAGCTATTCACTAATTCGATCGATGAATTGAATGGTATAATGGGGTGGCAAGGTAGGACTATAGTTGTAGTTCTACATGGGTGAGGGAGAAATGAGCAACAGGAATAGAGCAAATGAAATGGCCAAGGAAAGTTGTAGATGCAAGATTATTTTCTCTTGCGATTGGATGAAGTAAGGTAGAGAATAGTTTTGTAAATGCTCAGCTTAGTGATAGCGCGAATTTACGGCATGTCGAGTCTTCACGCCAACAAGTTCATCGCATCTGCGAAGAATTACACTGGATAATATTGTAGAAATAAGAGCTTTAATTACAATTAATCAGCACTACGCATTTAAAAAATGATGCAAGATTCTAGCCTGGAAACGACGTAGTATCGTCGACTAGACGTTGGAGGGAAGATGCACTGGGTTAAGCGTCGGAGCTTACCATGCAACTAGCAGAAAACTGGATTCGATGGAAAATTATGAAATAGGCTTTTTACATTCTACTGCTGCACAGTACGTGAAATTTTTAATAAATGTGTTCGAGCAGAAAACAATTTCGATCTGCCTGAATTAAAGTCAGAAAGTACAGGACTGCAACCCTAAAGGATATGTCATAACTCTAGCAGTGCTATAGCAGAATTTCCAATTAGGTATTACCATGGATATTAAGAACATACGTATCATATGCCAGGTCAAGTTTACCGAACCAAGAATCGGAACGTAATGAACTACTGTACTTTATAAAGTCATCAAATCATTGCTAATTTTACAAATTGACTTAGAAGTGGATCGTTAATTTATGAAATAACTTTTTCGAGGGTTGCAATATTTACAAGCGTTCTTAGTTACTTTACTTTATAAAATAGCTCAGTCAACTTGACTTAACGTACGAATAGAATTAGCTGAGAAACGTGCCAAGTTGAGATGATTGCAACAACAATAGAATAATTTACAGATCATGGCCTTTATTCACGGTAGTCCCTCCTTGATCTGAATGTGCTAATGATGAAAACTTAAGCGAATAGTTTAGCTATTGCACGATCATAGTCTTCGTTCACGGTTATCCCTCCTTGATCTAAACGTGCTAGTGATGCAATCTGTACTCAAGCGAATAATTGACTTCTATCACACTTATAAAAAATATTAATTTGCAAATGAAATCTTTTATTTTTTCGTACTTCCTTCCGGAGGTGGATAATGAGGTCAATTACCCAATCTCAAGAGATAATTCGGCTTTCTATCCTAATTAGCAATTGATGGCCTTCACAGACTTTTTCCCTGACCTGAATAATGATGTTAATGATGTAAATCCCAAGCGCATAGTTCGGTCCTTCTACATCTACAAAATGATGAATTCATCTATTCATACTATGAAGGATACATTGCATATCAGAGCTCGAAATAGTAAAGCCGCTATCTCGGCATCGCTTTGATAATGATTATAACTGTTCAACGTATCCACCCCTATTGGCGTATGTGGAAACATTGCCAGGATTAAAAAAATTGATTAGGATAGATTCAATCACCATCGCTATATTTGTCCATTTTAAATTGCAATATTGATGCATCTTTAGTCGACGAGCACTGCTTGATGTTCCTTTGGAAAATACGCTTATTTACCACACTAATGTGAACTCCAATTCTACCGTATTTTGATGATCATGTTTACTTCCGCAAGCTATCCTTTCTTTTCCGTTATTGAAATCATGACGCTACTACTGGTAAAAGTTGCTTTCTATTCATTAGCTATTCGTTCAAAGCATTGGAAAAGTCACCGATTTTAAAATAGTTCCAATTCTCCATTTCCTTGCTGACGAAATCCTAAACATACCCCACTGTCGTAGCCTATCGTTGAGTGGTAATTCTACTTACGTTGAACAAGTTGAAAAGATTGAATGACTCATTGCCTAGAATAATATCCTTGCCAATGCATTCAAGATTCATTCAATTCTAACCAATGATGATCAATGGCTATACTTAGGCTAATAAATAAATAGAGTAAATACTCGACTTTTGTTTATTAGGACAATAAGCCATTCATGATATTCAAATATGCCATAGGTTGTTGATTACTAGGCAAGTAAAATTTGGAAAAGTTCGTCAAGATCCTATCGTACAATTAATTTAAAACAGACTCTGTCACTATGCAGTCGTCCATTTTTACCTTGCCCGGCAAAGGATATGGACATCGCAAAAAGACTTTATTAACATTATCATTAGTGCTATGACATCGTATCGGTAGAATTCCCCAGAGTATACTTGATGATCTCTACTGTATAATTTCTGCATGCATAATTAGAAATAATTCAAGCCTATTATGAAGTTTACATAGGGTTTATCAAGGCATTTCGCCAAAGTAAAAAAAGATAACTATGAAATTTCCTTCATACGCTGGTATATTAGGTTTAGTTTAGAGCTGCTTAATAACTAACTTTATTTTAGACCTTCTTCATATTACATTAGCCATTGCATACTCTTATAAATTGCATAGTTAGGCAACTTTTTAAATCACTTATTCTAAAAAATAATCATCCCATATTAAAATAAGTGCTATTACAGTCGCGCTTAATTTTGACTCTCGTACATAGGATATAATATACGATTTTATCTACGTAATAATAATAGCTATAGAATATTGGCTGGCTAAAGTATTCCCATCCAAAACTGGATTTGAGCTATAACCGCTAGAAAATATAGGGCCATTTTAATTCTATACATTCATATTGGCTTAGCACAGACCTATAAGGGAAATATTACTCCAAAATTGGGTGTTAAAATGAACCGATGGGAAAACAAAATAATAGCCATAAGATAGGATAAACTGGATGAAATTTTATTCTATTGATAGATTGTAGTCATCATTACATTGACTATTGACAGGATTTGTCTACCGTAACTATGCAAGAATGTTTACTCACAAAATAACGGTAACAATAATAATTATGATGAAGCTAAAGGACGAAAAATTAAGTAATACAACTTGAAGAAGCAAATAAATAAATATTTACTCATTAGTGCTTTAGCCAATCATATTATCGTTGCTGAATGAATGTACAGTACTGTAAGATGCAAGTTCCTGTTCGTTGCTACAAAAAATTCTTCAGCTTATTATTTTATATAAGAATACGTTCAATTATAATTTTACTTGGAGCATAGAGACTAACATACATAGGTGGGCTATTGAATAAGACAGACAATCATAGTCTTATAAATAGTAGAATAATTCTTACTTCCTGTAATTGCAAATGTTAAAGATATGCATGATAATCACTACTATGATACTGCAATGGAATTAACATTTCATATAACTCATGTCCATCGCGTCTTACTCTAGGCTAGAATATTCTTTAGTTTAGTTTCCGTTAGCTACCGGAATATTAAATTATATCGATGTATAAAAAATTACTAGGTATAAGTGGTTTATACTGGTAAATATAATGATAGTCTTGACGGAATCAATGCTTGTACAGATCAACATACATTTGATAAAAAAATCCAATTTTAAATCTAAAATACCAGTCAATAAATGAAATGAAAGGGTGAAGTACTCCTTGCCTATGAACCATTACAGCAATATCTTACCGGTAGCCTAATAAATGTGTCTTATAGCGATTATTAATTACTACAATAGCACTGTGGTTAATCTAGATGAGTATTTTTAGTATGTGGTCAATTATATAATAACTTCAAAGTTGAAACGAGCACAGCGCTAGCAACTGATCCTTTTTTCAGAACTTACGGCTAGAACATTCTTTAGTTTTACCTCCGTTAGCTACTGGAGTGTTAAATTATATACTGTAGATGTATAAAATCCAATTCCGCATCCAGAAATACTACTCAAGAAATAAAATTAAAGGGCTAATGAAGTGCTCTATTTCAACTCCACTCACGCCTCGGAGTTCTTACTGAGTATGATAAGATAGTTAAATGTATAGCAGACATTCCATATCAAAATGGGAATACTTTAATATGAAGATAAACATGATAAGAGTAATCCAAGTTCCTGGGCGCGTTTCCACTGATTTTATCCAACTATACATTAACAAAGTTAAGAAATATAAAGGGGGAAGAGACTTCACTTCACTTTGAGCTCGGAATACTTTAGATTTTAGACTAGGTTCTTGCAGTAATTAGTTATTGCTCTACTATTCCTAAAACCTTGTAATAAAAGCCACTTTAGAAAATACCATTTGACTAAGATAGTTATTATGTGACACATTTATTATATCTGTATAATTGTATAACGAATACATCGCTTTTGTGATGCATTATTGTCACGGTACGAACCACCTTGAAGAGTAAATGACTAAATTTAGTTTTTAACATTTATATATGGAGATAACTAATAATGACTTACTGTAAGAACTGCAGTAGTTATTATTTTGTTACAGTAAATTATGCTGTATTGTAGTAAGAGTTCTCATAAGGTAACTAATATTAATTGATGATGGTGATATGTCTTGTAACGCTTGCGATGAATATCCTGAAGATATTCAATTATAGATGATACTATAAATAATTCCGTGTGTGGACATACTGTAGTCTAATTATCTAGAATCGTTCAGTAAAAGTCCAAAATTATGAATATGTCTGCATTAATTCAGCTATCCCATATCAGCTAAATTTCGTGAACTGTTATGACTCATACATGATAGCTGCTGCCGAAGGGTATTTAAGCTCGGCAGATAGTTGAATAAAAGAAGAGTGTTATAATTGTTTTAACGTAGAAGCAAAGGCGTCTAAATTCTTGTGAGGTAGTTAAGGAATACTGAATTCCGGAGACTATAGCAATTTACAGATTTGTTGTACGTTATCTTTGTCACGAAATTGGTTTGTAGCAATTATATATACCGTTTTCATAAATATAAACGCAACCTAAACCATATTTGAGCCAGGTAACTTATAGAATTTCAAATAAATTCGTTATTTCAAATCGAGATTAGATGATGGACTATATCTCTTCCAGATGATATCAAAGATTATCTGTATTTCAGTTTATTTGCGTCTATAATAATCATAATCAGATGAGAACATATAGAAGTTTCTATTGAACTTTGTCAATAATTTTTAAAATTATTAAAGAAACTTGATTCTGGCTGGCATCATAAAGCTTTAGGCGTAAACTGTGTTATGTTTTATAATAAAATGCCTTTCAGTTTATGTAAAAGAGTTACAAAATATAAACTATTTCGAAGCTACATCTATCTAAGTGATATAGCGTATTTCTTTAATTAAATGAGACTCTAATCAAACATCGTTACCCATGGATAATCTTAACTGCTATTGTCTTTGTTAGAATAAAGTTTATGAATATTCTTCAAATCTTGATTGAAAAAGGGTTAATAAATGAATTCTTACAGAAATTAATTTGATATAATACATCTTAACTCTGATATCATAGCAGAGTTCATTTGTAGATAAAATAAAAAGTTGATCTTAAATTTTTATAATTCATAAACTATAAAATAAACGGTTGTCGCGTAGTATTTATTAAAGTTTACTTTAATGACTCAGCATTAAAAATTAAGGCGCATAAAATAATATATCTCAAAGTAAAATAGCACTGTGGTCAGTAGTTTTTACAATACTTATTGTCCTTGTAATCAAAAATTCTTTTACATGGAACCGTAAAACAATCAATTATAGTTATTCTACGGTAATATCTATAAAAGATTATGTTAACAATTGAGACTAAAACTATGATATAAAATATTCTCCACTAAGCTGGCTCTGCTACTCTATTTTAATTAAAGATTAATATTTTAAAGATCAACAGAGAAATATCGATCTTAAATTTTGATTTTTTCTGATGTGTCTCATATTTCTGTTACCCATTCTAGATTAGGTAGATTGATTGTTTAAACGTAAGCCAGATAAAAGCAATAATTGTAATGGCAATTTGAATAGAAATAATAGAAAAATTATAATTTAGATCTATTATTAAATTAATATGAAAGAAAATTATTTCTCAGGAAAGTTTTGAGTTTCATTTCTTTCAGAGAATAAATGAACGAATAAATAAATAAAACTGGAACTATTCAATATTTCTTAGAACCCATTTTGGGAATTTTTGAGTTTTATTATCGTTAATTTAAACGATGTTCAAGCAGAGACTATATGCTATAAAAAAGTTCCTAACGTGTATCGTAAAAGTCAATTAAGAGCCTGTAATTTAATGAAGACAACTTGTCAGATCTATTATAAGCTCAACTCAAATAGTTATTAAAGGATATTACAGAGAATTTCAAATATAGCAGTAATAGTTTGACATGATGTATACTTTTATCGATACAAAGCAAGGCAGCTGTCTGTTTTTTACCCGTTATGCCCGTTGCATTAAAGTTTTATTTATAATTAATTGGAAACACATAATTATTTTGTAACAGATATTTTGAAAGGTTTATTCTAATATCTAAGACTATAAAATTATCATAATAGATATTATGCTCAATTACGGCAGATTGTCTCTCTTATTACGTTTCAATCAAAGTTCTATAATTCCCAATTTGTTAGCAAGAAAATATGTAATATATACTAGAATGAATAATTACAGCATTGTCTGAAATCTTGATCATATTTCGCATAATCTAAGATCTAAGAGATTCCATCTTAGAAAAATTATGGCATTCCATCAAGTAGAATTACTTCTAGATTATTTAAATTTCGAACACGATCATTTATAATTTCAGTTGTTAGTAGAGCAGCGAATTTAGAAAGTGATGCTATATCATGTAAATTGTTACTATTCTGTAGACATCAGTTGGTAAATCCGGTAACTCACTTTATAATAAAAGTATTAGCTTTTGGCTTTGAATAAATCGATTCTAAATAAATAATGGAAAATTTAATATTGATTTATACTTTACTAAGATCAAAAATAAGATACACTAACGAATATTAACTTTACATAAAGTATGGTCATACAAACACGTGCGAGAACTTGAATTTTCCAATAAATATCATATTAAAATTGTTATTATATTATTTTCCTAGCCAATGATTAATTTTCTGTACTATAGTACGTTAAGATATTGATTTCGATCTCAAATATCGCCAATGTCTAATATGCACATATATTCCGACATTGATTAAATTTTGAATATCAGGACTACACAGACTGACAAGGTGGAATCAAGCGATATTCAGGTGTACTAAGTAAGCTTAAAGATCTTTATTTTACTATGAGAAAAGATATAAAATACCCCATTTTAGGCCAATCGTGCGAGAAAATATCCAACATTTAGTTGTAATAATAGTAAATCAATCTAGTAAAAAACAGTTTTTAATGCGTACAGATGATTAAATTATTACGATAGCTTATTTACATAACATTATTTTAAGATACCTATTAACTGCGCTCTTAATGAACAGGTAGATACAACTGTATTAGCGTTAAAAGAATAAGATATTCCTTGAATAGTTAATAGTAATTATATTAACAAATAAATAAAGATTTTGACAGTTACCATGATATATAAAATATTGTATCAATTTGTCTATTTATAATGATCAATCCATGGAAAAAAATTATTAATTATGTCATATCTCACTGATTTACCAAATTTGATGTAATGATCACTATTTACTTTAACTAATATTATACTAAGATCGTTTTCTGCAATTTCTAGTCAGATCATTTTGGTAGCTTTCTTATTACGAGATTCGAAGTCTTTCACTATTATTAACGCATGAAATTGGGTTATCTAAATCTCTTCATATCATGTTATCATAGCCATTCAATTTTTCAAGATTTCGAACTTGCAATATATGTTAAAAAATTAGCTTGAATAGGTAAAACATAGAATGAAATTATAATTTACATTAATTGGATAATATTAATCTTACACATCAGAATAAATTCATTTTCATTAAAAGCTCAATGGAATGAAAATCGAGTCTCATCTTGGCTAGCTTTTAAAAATAACACTAGTAGCCGTTGTTCATCTACTATAATATTGCAATTATAATTTAGTATACACAATTATTGTTATTAAGTTGCACAACTAGCTCCCTTCGGAGCTAGTTCTTTATAGAATAACAGAGTAAGCGTACATGTTAACTGATAGTAACAGGCTTAGTTTAATAGACGTTAACGCAATCTTCGATAGCTTCTCCTGCTGATTATCATGTGACCAAATTAGATAGGGAGTTTGTTCCGCTATGGTTTAATGAGAGAGACCGAATATTAACTAACAGTATTTTTAGTTCAGGTTACCACCAAAATTTTGCACTTATTTCAACTCAGAAAATTACATTCTTGATAAAATTGAAATTTAGTAATGTGAATGATCTGACGGAATGATCTTATCTTATAGAAATAGATTAGAATTGCCTAAATCATACAAAAAGAGTTTAAATTATCAGTGTCTAAAAATTTTCAACGATTTCTCTCTAATATTTCGATCAAATTTAAGGTAAACTATTGGATTAATAATAGCTACACTTATGCTAACTGATAGCGAATAAAATAATAATAAGAAAAAAGGGAAATTTTCCTTGCGTACTTGTATAGCTGTCTTTCGCACAATCGACATGCCAAATAGAGTAGCATTAAACGGCCATGTTATAAGGATATAGCATAAAGTAATAGCAATTAACATATTAATAAATTTTTTTTTTCGTTTATTATTTTCAATATTTTGAAATGTATTTTCGCCTGGTCGTACATAATTTCTTTGATGTGATACTATTTTGAAGTAAATTATTGCAATACTAGTACAGGGCACAATATATTGCAGAGTGACAATGATAATCATTCGAATAGGAATAGTATTATCGGTGGCAATATCAGGTAAATCGCATAACGTTGGATCCTCGTGAGAGACTTTAATTGCAGGGACTATTGCTCCAGTATAACCGGCTGCTATCATCCAAACTAAAATTTGACTAGTAAAGAAAATGTGTTTGCGTCGTCTATGATAGCCTTGATAGAGAGGTTTAAGGATAGCATAATAGCGATCGATAGCGATTAAGCATAAATTTAACATAGAGACACCGTTGGAGGTAAATGTAAAAAATAAAACTACCCTACAAAGAATCACGCCTCCATCATAAGTAAATTCGTAAGAGACTAAGAGGTAACCAATACCAATAGCAAGACTTGATAAAATATCAGAGATGACAGAGATTCGAATTAGTTTATACGAGATAGCCTGAAACTTTTTATCACTCATTAATACGCATAATAGAAATAAATTAAGAGAACAGCCTATGATCGATACGGCACCACTGATTAAACTTGCGTAGTCGTACATGATATTATCAAAGTTATTTGTTACATTACTGTTAGAAATGTTGTGAGTAAACGTCTTGGCCATGGCTACTTGAGTTTTATTTTGAATAGGACGGAACCAAAAGTTGTGTATTCTGTTAAAATTTCCAGGTATTGCTTTCTACTCGTTATCGCCGTTAATCAAAAATTCGGAAAAGAATCGAGCATAGCCTCAATTTGAAAGGGTGAAATTAAGGTGATACTGAAGATAATAATCATTCATATACTACTAAATATGTTAAATTTATGACTTATGCAGCCTTAGAATAAATAGAATATATCCTATTTATTGTATTAATAGCGCTAAAGTCAGGGTCCTACTTTCCTTTTAAATTGAATTCTTTAATTAATTATCGTCCGGTCTAAACTATCTTTCGACAACAGAGACGGAGCAATCTGTCTACATAGTTTTCATTATCCGTGAACGATTCAATCGTTTTATTATATATATATATCTCGATATCTGTTTTGATTTTTTTCTTAAATACAATTAACATCATATCTAATCACTTTGGGATATTTTCATGAACCTTTCAAAGTATTGTCTGCTCAATTATTTCACTTCAATAAACAAAATGTGAGTAAACAATCATAATTTCACAGTTGATACAGTAATTATATTTTACAATACATACTCGAGTAGTTTTCTTTTCGCAATAGGGTATTCTATTATATCTACGTTGCGATACGGATGATCTTGCATGTTGTTAACTTGTTATTTGATTTTGTAGTACTTGAACAATTGTAAACAAGGAATGATAATTCAATCTTGTGTGACTACTTATATAAGACAGATCACTATCATATCTAGTTTAATTATACTATATTCTATAATTTAATTGCATTTACAGGAATCGCCGAGAGATGAATCCTCCCTGCTTAGTCTGCGTAATTTAATTTATAAATATTCTCTTCCCATTCGTATGTCCTCATAAGTGTATAACTCGTTTAGTCGATTTAAATATCGAGCAACGATGGTTTTTTTCTCAAATTTATGCTTCTGGATAAAAATAAACTACTTTTCATAGCTACTAATAGCCAATAAGATGCAAGCAGAGAGGTTAAAATAGATAGTCCCTACGGATACAAGTATCATTATTTCATGCCAGTCGATGTTTTTGACCAGTACAGAAAGACTTATACTCTTGTATTCGCATCTACAATCCTCAAGTTTACATTCTGTTACTATGCCATTTTGCAACAGTAATCATTGTCTTGTATCATATATTCGTTTCATTTCAGAAGCATAGCATTATTCCATGAGAACGTTAAACTTTAATAAACTTATCGAAGTTTATGATAATGACGATATCCGAATTTTATCTCGGCATCAAAATTTATAATAGCCTAAAATAATACAATCTAAAACTAAAACAACATCAAGGTCAGTTATTTTTACATTACTTATGTGTCTTTATAATCTAAAGTTCATTTACATACAACCATAAAGTAGTAAGTCATAGCTATTCTACGGTGACTATCTATGAAAGATTATCTTAACAACTGTCACTAAAACTATGATATAAAATATTGTACTCTACTAAATCGACTCTGCTATTCTATTTTAATTAAACTTTAATATTTTAAAGATCGACAGAGAAATATCGATCTTAAATTTAAATTTCTCTGATGTGTCTGATATTTCAGTTACCCATTGTAGACTACGTAGATTGATTGTTTAAATACAAGTCAGATCTAAGCAGTAAATACAATGACAATTCTGAATAGCCGTAATACGCAAAATTATAATTCAGATCTATTACTAAGTCAAGATGAAAGAAAAAATATTTTACAGGAAAGTTTTGAGTTTCACTCTCTTTTAGAGAAATAAATCAATGAAATAAGAATACAAAACTGGGATAGCTATTCATGATATTTAGAGTCTATTTTAGGGATATTTGAGTTTTATTATCGTGAGTTTAAAGATGCTCAGGCAGAGGCTACGCCATAAAAAGTTATTACGGTATATTACAATAGCCAATTAAGAGACTGTAATTTAATGAAGATATCTTGTCAGAACTTTAATAAGCTCAACTCGTGTAGTTATTATAATATGATATATTATTGAAAGGATATTACAGAGAATATCAAATATAGTAGTATTAGTAATACATAATGTATACTCTTATCAATGCAAAGTAATACGATTAGCTGTTTTTACTAATCATATGTTTTCAATTAAAATTTAATTAATAATTAACCGATAAACAAGCAATTATCTTATAGTAGATATTTTCAAAGGTTTATTCTAACACCTAAGACTGTAAAATTATCGAAATACATGTTACGCTCAACTACAGTACTGTAGACTATCTCTATTATTCTGTTTTAATCAAAGTTCTATATTTTCTGAATGTTTAATAATTATATATATACAATTCTTATTTCGTAGGTAAGAAAATATGTAATATATACTAGAAAGTATAAGTAAAATATTAACTGAAATACTAATCATAGTCTCTTATAACTGTAGATTTAAGAGATTTCATCTTAGAAGATTATTATATTCTATTAAGTAAAATTTCTTCTAGATTATTTAAGTTTCTAGTACGACTACTTATAACTTTAGTTATTCACGTGTTAGTAAATACAGAAAACGATGCTATATAATGTAGATTTGCTAGCATAGGTGACATAGATAATGTTAAGAGATACCTTCTTAGAAAATCATTATATTTTTATCTAGCAGAATTATTTTAATTGTTAGCAGAGCAGCAAATATAGAAAATGATACTATATAATGTGAATTGTTAGTTAATATTCTGTAAATATCAGTTGGTAAATCCGGTTACTCTCCGTATAATAAAAGTATTAGCTTCTGACTTCCAATATATCGTCTCTAGATACATAAAAGAAAGTTTAATATTGATTTATACTATACTGTACTACGATCAAAAATAAGATATACTAACGAACAATACCTTTACGTAAAGTATGGCCATACGAACACATACGAGAACTAGAATTTTGTAATAAATTATCATAATAGACTTAAGTATTACTATGTTATTTTCTCAGATAACGACTACTTTTCTCTACTATAGTACGTTAAGATCTTGATGTTGATCCCACGTATCGCCCATTTCTAATATACACGTATATTCCGACATTGATTAAATATTGAAACTTACGGATATACATTGATAAGACGAATCAAATGATATTTATATGTATAAAATAAGCTTTTTGATTTTTATTTTGCAATGCTGTAAGATATAAAATATCCCATTTTAGGCCAATCGTACGCGAATATATACAACATTTAGTTGTAATTGTAAATTAATCTAGTAAAACAGTTTGCAAAGCATACAGATAACTAAGTTTTTACGATAGTTTATTTAAATAATCTTATTTTATGAAATCTTTTAATTACGTTTTTAATCAAAAGATAGATGCGACTACAGTACCGTTAATAAATAATACATTCCTTTTGATAACAATAATTTCTTTACATTAACGAAGAAATAAAGACTGTAACTGTTACAACGCTACAATAAAGTATTGCATCATTTGTCTATTTGTAGTGATCAATTCTTGGCAGAGAATTATATAGTAACTATTAACTACGTCATAATAACTTACCGATTTACGAGATTCAATACAATAATCACTATTTACTTTAACTAATGTTATAATAAAATTATTTTCTTGTCATTTCTTAGTTCGATCATCTTGATAACTTTTCCTTTATTAAGAGTCTCTCTAGATATAAACTTATCTGTTGTTGTTAATGTATGGAATTAAAGTTCTATAAATTTCTTCATATTATTTTATCATCGTCATTCAATTTTTAAGACGTTAATTCGTAGAAGTCATCAACAAATACTTGAAGACATGTTATTTTAACGGTATCAATTTGCTCATGTAGCTCTTTTATATACAACTGTACTAAAGGACAAAAAGCAGAGTCCTTTGTAGCTTTTAGTATGTAACTATTTTACTTTACTATAGAAAATACTTAGAAAGTGGTAGTATCTTTAAGTTTTATCCTGCCAAATTATGATGTCGCCATATTTTCTTTTTACTATTTTACAAAGTATTATAGAAAGTACTATAGAAATAGCCTAGGAGCGATCGCCTAAACTCAAGAAAGGGCGTTTAATAGTCTACTGGGATTATAAATGAATTTGACTTAGTAGCAAAACCTTATCCATAGAGAAGGGGGATTTATAACATGACAGTAAAGTACTATAATGTAGGTTATAATTGTACAGTTACCGTACAACTTCATACTAAACATCAACTGTCAATATTAATGTCAGAAAAGTAGTCATAGTTTTCATATGAAATTTTTTGATAAGCGATTACTGTGATCTTTATAAAATTCGGATTCAGATTCCTGAATCGGGTCGGATCTATATCCGATATAATTTTTAGATTTTAATTTTTGGAAAATGTTATAAGAGTTGATTTTTGAAATTTGAACTTTTTGTTGAGAATTTGAAACTTTGGAATTTTATGACGTGACATGATAGTTACATTAGGAAAGTTTAGTTGAGAAAATAGAAAATAAGATAGCAAATGGAAGGGATAATGTTTATAGTTAAACAGTTAGACTGCTATTTTTATGACTAAATCTTGATGTTTAAAGGTTAACTTTTAGACTTATATAATGTATTAATATTAGGAATTATGTTAGAGGAGAAGCTTGATGTATTTTGCGATATTTCATAGTTAGTTTGTTGGTTTTATAATGATTTGCATGGAAATCATAAGGTAAATTGTGTCTGAACTTTGAATGATTTTTGTTTTCTTAAGTGGTGCAAGGTAGTTTTCTAAAATAAATCTTAAGAGCGATCGGTTAATAAATGTGTAGTTTTAAATACCACTAAGGGCTCTACGAAGCCTGTAAATGATAGTGCAATCAGAAAATTTACAGTAGAGACTAAAAGAAGATTCTTTCGAAGAACTTACTGAATTTTAATTTCTTCGAGGTCGAACTGTTGTAAGTGAAAACGTTCTTCTTTATGTTAGGTTGTTGACATTTTTCAGTTTTGTCGTTTTTCTTCAGTCACCCGTATAAGACTTAGAAGTAAGTATTTAGAA